CAGCAACTGGCAATCCCAAGGGTCTCCCTGAGATTACTTGTCCCCTCCAGGGTAACATAGCAAAGACAAAGGTGGGGCCATTGGATTTGCTAGCACCATGCTTTTTGGGGGGGAATATAGAGGAATTGGATTGGCCTACTATCCACCTACTTGCTACAGTCGGTGTGTCTATGTTGAAGTATTATTTGATTTGTCAGCTCTGCAAACTGCAGGGATAGAGGAATAGAAACATTAATATGTGCTCTTTTTGTATGCAACTTTTACAGAGAAAAGAGAAACAGATTTACTTCCATCTTGTTAAGCATGCTAGCACGGGCAAGTTCTTTTATTTTAAACATGCCTTCATCAATGAAGCGGCCATTAAAAGGAAATGCAATACATAATCTGACAGCAACAACATCTGCTCTCTATTTTTGAGGGCTATTTTTGCTTTTGGCCATTCACATTTCAGACATCAAAGACTGGAGATCAGAAGTGCCCAAGAGCAAAACAACAACAACAAAAAACAACAAAAAAGCTCAGAAATATATATTTGTTTATTTCTGTGCTTGGAGAATCTTTTGGTGACCTTTCCTATCACCACTTGCTAGTCCCCAAGCCGGATGCTCAGCTCAGAGAGCATGTTATATAAAGGGAACGGGCATGTGCAGCCAAACTGAGCAGGATTTAACCCTCTGCTCGAGTGACAACAGCTGATGGGTGTGGTTTGGGGGAAATCGCTTTTTAGGCCAGACTGAACTCCCTGGTAAGGCAAGATTGGGCCATGGGGCAGAGGCTCTCTACTCCTGCTTTAGCAGAAAGGGCATCTTCCTGTGCAAAACACCTGATTGTTGCTAATTTGCTTAACCCACTGCAACCCCTTGTACCCCATGCAAAGCTGCTCCTGAGGGTTGGGGACCTTTTGCGATAGTATTAGATATGAAGCAAAGGGCTGCAGTAGGCAGGGGGAGAAGGGTAAAAATAACATCAGGTGCCCAACCCACCTGAACAAGTGGAAGTGCTTTCTGACAGGCAGAAGCTGGTGGCCCAGTACTGCCAGTTCATAGTGGTGCAGCAAAACCATAGAATTTTACGGCTGACATGGGCATGCAACTGACATTTCTCTTCTGCCTCAAAACCCTTGCCCCAGTCATTCCATTCTTTTACAAACTGTATTCCTTAGGGTAAAAAAGAAAAGAAAATTTGCCAACTCTGATAAAAAGAAAGAAATGCATTTTAAGCTCACTAAAAAAACAACAACCATGGCATCGCCATGACTGCAGAAATAAAATGCCCTTCTTACAGTCTTATAAAATGGGGTTTGCTTCCGCTGTCCTGAGTTCCTCAAGAATAAGTGGGTGAATGTCTGAAAAGGGAATGTCTAAACGCCTGCTTAGAATTTTTAATCTTTGTTGGAAGCCACCCAGAGTGGTTGGGAAGACCCAGCCAGATGGGCGGGGTACAAATAATAAATTATTATTATTATTATTCCCTTCACAAAAAAAAATAAGAAAGCAAGGATGCAGCATTGGTCAGCAGCAGCCCTGGTGGGTCCCACGATGCCTTTTTTTTCATCCAGAACTCAATTCTGGCACCTGTCAGCTGGGCGCCATTGCCATTATAAGAGAACAAGCGATGTGTTCATGGTGAGTTCCGGCACCTCTTTTTCTACAAAAATAGCACTGCTCGTGGCATGCAGGATTCTGACCATGGGGGGGCACTGTCCATCATCACCTGCCATTCTTTTGAGGGTCGTCTGGGAAGGCTCCCCCCCCCCCCGAGTATAGGATCCTGAATTTTTGTCCCCAGGGTCCAGCCCCAGTTGCACAAGTGAAAAGTCACCACTGGATACAACCCTTTGTGTATGACTAGTTGTGCCATGGATGGAGCTGCACATTCAAATAGCACATCCAATTGGAAGCACGTTTACCTGGGAGTAAGTGCCACTGAATAGAGTGAGATTTCTGAATAAACATGCATGGTACAGCTGTGTTAACCATGTTGTTGTTTTCCTTCTGGCTTTCTTATTCCAACAGGCTTTGGGGAACTGACTGCTTTTAATGAATAAATGCTGTGTTGCATTTATTGTTAATTATCTGTATGTGTTTATTAGAGCTTTTATATACAGAGTTTTAATTCTATTAATGTTTAATTGTTTTTTTAATTCAGTTTTCGCTTTATTTTTTAGCTGTTCCTATCTTACCAGTATGCCGCCTTCCCTGCCAAGGAAAAAAGGCAGGATAGAAATAAATATATAATAATGAGTAATAGCAATGACAAACCTAGACAGGATCTTAAAAAGCAGAGACATCACCTTGCCAACAAAGGTCCATATAGTTAAAGCTATGGTTTTCTCAATAGTGATGTATGGAAGTGAGAGCTAGACCATAGAGAAGGCTGATCGCCGAAGAATTGATGCTTTTGAATTATGGTGCTGGAGGAGACTCTTGAGAGTCCCATGGACTGCAAGAAGATCAAACCTATCCATTCTTAAGGAAATCAGCCCTGAGTACTCACTGGAAGGACAGATCCTGAAGCTGAGACTCCAATACTTTGGCCACCTCATGAGAATTGAAGACTCCCTGGAAAAGACCCTGATGTTGGGAAAGATGGAGGGCACAAGGAGAAGGGGACGACAGAGGACGAGATGGTTGGATAGTCTTCTCGAAGCTACCAGCATGAGTTTGACCAAACTGAGGGAGGCAGTGGAAGGCAGGAGTGCCTGGCATACTCTGGTCCATGGGGTCACGAAGAGTCGGACATGACTAAACGACTAAACAACAACAACAACAATGAGTAATAGTAATAATAATAATAATAATAATAATAATAATAATGTATTTAACTCTCCCAGTGAAATCAGTGGGACTTTAAAGCAATGTATGATGCAGTCTTGCAAATTAGACCTCTAATTTGACTATATATTTTTATCTAGGAAACCAGCACTTTCTAAAGCCATATCGTTCACAAGGTGTGTGTCTATCAATAATTATCTGAATTAACAGCCGAAAATAAGAGTTATAACAGACCGTCAATGCAAGAGTTTTTAACTGAGCTTGACAAAGGAAAGCGTGCAAGTCAAAACATTAAGTCACATTTTGATTTCACTTTTTTAAAAAAAATAAAAAATTGGCTCACTAATCGTTGTTATCGTACAGACCGTTCTGGGTGTGTAAACCCTCTCACAGAAACATAGCTCAGGGTCCTTAACTTGCCCCACAGAAGCTTAAGCGGCTCTGCTTTTAGTGTTAGTGAAATGCTGTTATTTAGAGGTCATCTATTTTAGAGCCGGGGAAATTCTTAAGCTACTTAAAAAAACGATCTTAGCTCTTACTGATCTTGAGACACTCCCTGATCAACCTAATCCCATGTGATTTGGGCAAGAACCCTGGAGCCGACACTCTGCCAGAAGCATGAAACTTGGATACAAAAACCCCCAAAGCAGTACAGTTCAGCATCTACTGGGTCAATGACTCACAAAAGGAGGAGGAAGTGGAAAATGGGTTTTCTGTTGAATGAATTTCTTTAGTGGGATCTGTATCTTCTATTCCGCAGGCAGCATCTAGGGTTCAGACTACAGGCACAGCAACCATTCCAAGCAGCCACTTCCTTCAGCTTCTGCTTCTTATCTGAAGCACTTGTGACTCTGTGGGATCTTGGCTTCGGAGAGGCAAAGTCCTGTGTTCAAATCCCACCAGCGATTGGCCTTTCTACCAACTGTTCCCCAAAACAATTGAATCCCTATTTGGCTAGCTGTTAGGTGGAAACTGCATTTAAAAAAAAGGTAAAGGACCCCTGACAGTTAAGTCCAGTCATGAATGACTCTGGGATTGCTGCACTCATCTCGCTTTACTGGCTGAGGGAGCCGGCGTTTGTCCGCAGAGTTTTTCCGGGTCACGTGGCCAGCATAAGCAGCCTATTCAGATGAGCAACATAACATCAGAAGGGGTACTCACAGATAACTGCACCTTTGCAGCTCATTCTGTTCAAGGAAGCAGATATACTCAATATTCTTAAGTGATACATCCTTTTCTGAAGTTACGCCACTCAGGTGAGTAGCCACTGAGGTAAGCTTCTTTCATAGAGTGCTCATCTTCCATAGAAGTGTAGAGTTGGAAAGGACCAACCCCTTGCAACGCAGGAACCCTGTTCTGGGTGGGCTTGAACCACCAACCTTCTGGTTAACAGCCCATTTTGCCATATTTCTTAATTACCTGTTTAAAATCTGCAGGAAACCCTCACATGCCACTACAGCCAACAAGTGTATGATGATTTATGTTGTGAACTGCCCTGAGATCTATGGGTATAGGGAGGTATACAAATTTAATAACTAACTAAATAGAATAAAATCACACCAACAGAGTCCCCAGCAAGGAATCTGGCATGTAGGAACAGACCAACACAGGTTTCCATCCAATTCCTACACAGAAGTAAATGCCTCAAACCACGCCCCCCTTCATTTCAATGGAGTTTACTTCCAGGGGTGTAAGTGTTTGTTGTTTATAGTGTCCCTAGGGTGTGTGTTGCTTTAAGAGCACAGGTCCTTGCCCCTAGGAGCTTACAGTCTAAAACAAACAGCTGGAGGAAGTGAGGCAGGGGTAAACAAGAAAGCAAAGGTGCAGTTGTTTGCATACGCTCAGACTTGGTTATAGGCTGTGTTACAGTAGGGCGTGCATGGGAATTAGGGAGCTGAGGTCACACCCTTTGCTCTGGCACGTGCGTGGACCGGCTGCGCTGACCCACGAGAGGAATGCACGCTGCTGCTTCCTTTATTCCCACTGCACCTGCTCCAAAACGGAAAACGAGTCCCGGCCCTCCGCCTTGCTGCAAACTGAAACGCTGCCCTCACTGCCCTGGGTGAGGCTTCCCTCCCCGCTTGGCTCGCCGCCTCCTCTGCCGGCAACACGAACAGCAAGAGGAACGTGGGGAGAGGATTCCTTCTCCTCCCCAAGGTTTTTATGGGGAGGTGCGCGCGCAACCCGAGGCGAAGAAGGAGCGAAGCAGCAGGTTGAGGAGGAGCCAGTCGCGCGCTCAGCCACCCGGGGAAAAGGAGGCTTCTCAGCTGCGCTCCTAAATCGCTCTACCTCAGGAGCCGTTTGCCCCGGCGCTGTCCTTAAGGAGGCGCAATTCCCAACGCGGCTGGCGGTGGGAGCCACAAATAAGCTAAACTCTCCCACACAGGCGCGGGGGGAGAAAAAAAGACTGGTCTGGAAAAGCGTTGGGCGCAGACAGAAAGGGATAAGCTCCGCGCGCCGCTCTGTTCCCTGTCCTTGAAGGGCGACGCTGTGGAACTTTGGAGACGCTTCTTTTTCCTCCCACCCGCCTCCAATGTGAACACATTTTCTACTGCAGGCTGCCCTGCTCTGGAAAGCGCCCGCTCCCTTCCCTCCCACCTCGCCAAAGGCACTTCTTTTCGCAGACAACTTCGGAGCGTAAGAAGAGGGAGGAGGCGCGCTCTCATTTGATAAGAGTGGCGGGTCTTTGACTCGTCTCCAGCAAGGGGAGGAGGAAGAGGAGGAGGAGGAGGCGGCGGCAGCGGCGAGGCCGCGCCGGGCCGGGCGGGGGTTCGACCATTCTGTGCTGGAGAAACCCGGCGTACTCCCTTCCCATGGACGGGGAGGAAGAGCGGCGGGCGAAGCGCGAGAACCGCGAGAGCAACGTCCACAGGTAGGTTGCGCCCTTGCAGAATAATGGAGAGCGCTCTTGGCTTGCCCTCCTGCTTTTTGTATGTGTGCCCTTAATATTCTATATAGTAATATTCTCTCTATATATCATGCCACAAACGTAAATATATATATATATATATCTTCCTGGGTTGGTGTTAAGTGGCCCCTCAGGTGTATCTGTGATACAGCAGGAAGTTTAAAAAAAAAACCAACAACAGCAGCAGGATTTGCTTGAGAAAGGCAACCCAGAAAACTTATTTACGTTTGGGGTAAATCGATGCTGGGAGTGCCCCATTCCCTACTGAAAGCTCTTCTTGCGTGTGGTTTTCAGCTAAAGTTTGTATTGCATGAATTCCCCTTTGGTTACTGAGTACACAGTGGGGCAGTTATTTCTGCCCTTCAGGTTTCAGTTGGCAGTGTTGGTATGGCTGTTTAATTCCGTGGATAAGTTAATTAAGCTAATACATTGCCCCCCCCCCAATAATTAAACTTTCAAAACCCTCTTACCAAAGATCTTGATTTGTTACTCTTTCAGGTTTTCTTATAATAAAACTAACCTTTCACTGCCAGGATTAGTCGTTTACAGCTGCCACAGTAAACACCTACTCCCTTTGGAAGGTTACATGGAAAGAATGAACTTGAAAATTTCAATCCACTCGAAAATTAATTTATTTCAGTTCTTTACACTTAGTGGCATCTTAACTTCATAAAATAGCAGATTTAATTTTTTAAAAAATCTCTCCCCAACACCCCCCCCCATCATCCCTATTGTTATTGCCACATAGAACTTTAGGAAAATGCTTAATTTGTGAAATAAAAATTAAAACTATAATAGACTCTGTCCCGAAAGGCTGTCTAAAATACTTTAAACAAGAAGCCCTTGTTATTATAAGAAATATCAAAACAATTTGTGTACTGCAGTACTCTATAAATACAGAAATATTATAAATATGGGAGCGCAGAGGTTGGTAATCACTGGAGAATATGGAAATGCTGAATGCTGTCTAGATGGAAGTTATGTTTATAAATTTCCTTGTAGCTGGAAAAAAGGCTCAGTGGAATTTCTGCAGAGATAAATGAGACATCAAGGATGGGCTGACCATCATTTCCCTGTTTATCACCTGACAGTGGCTAATGGCTATGCAAGGATGTAACATAAGAGCCGCCCTGCTGGATCAGATGAAAGATCCATAATTGTTCCACATCCTGTTCTCAACAGTGGCCAACCAGAGGCTTATGGGGAGTCCACAAGCAGGACTTGAGTGCACCAGCACACTCTCCCCACTTGTGAATCCTAGCAACTGGGATTCAGAGTAACACTGCCATTGCAGTATTCTTTGTCCTGGTGCATATTATCAGGCACAGCCGTTTATACAATACAGTAGCAGAGGCAGATTAAGGAGAGCGCAACCAGTTAGGCGTGGAGCCTTGGGGACACCATAGCTGCAATTTAGAATGGAGCATGAGAGGTGCTGAATTTTTTAATTTGACACCCCAAGAGCTGCCACTGACTAATAAAAGCTTTTCTCCTGAGCTGTACCACTTCAGATTCTATAGTGATAATGATGATTTATTATTTGTATGCCGCCCATCTGGCTGGGTTTCCCCAGCCACTCTGGGGGGCTTCCAACAAAGATTAAAAATTCATTAAAATGTCACACATTAAAAGCTTCCCTAAACAGGGCTGCCTTCAGATGTCTTCTAAATGTCAGGTAGTTGTTTATCTCTTTGACATCTGATGGGAAGGCGTTCCACAGGGCGGGCACCACTGGGCGCCACTACCAAGAAGGCCCTCTGCCCGGTTCCCTGTAGCTTTGCTTCTCACAGGGAGGGAACCGCCAGAAGGCCCTCGGCACTGGACCTCAATGTCCGGGCAGAACGATGGGGTTCTAGTTGGAACCTCGCTTGTTTGAATGCCATCCTCCCAACAAGGCTGAAAAGACCAAATGGAATGTGGAAACATGAAGTCTTAAGTTACAAGGAAACACAGTGCGATACTTTTTTTTTTAACAGTGCAGCATAGAAACATGTTGTATTAGTAGTGCAGTCCAGGAAAGGCTTGCTCACCCACACTGCTGTATGTATAAATTGCGGTTGAGCAATTAGGAGGTATTGTGGCCATCTCTTTTGGAAGAGTACTTTTTAAGGATTACGTTATTATCCAAAGTCCCATGCGTGCTTTTCTGGGAGGCTTGAGAAAGTTGTGCCTTTTGCGTTTGAATGCTAAATATACAACTTGTTTGTGCTGAAGCGCTGAGCTTTCCTGAACTTTTGCAGTGATTAAATCTGCACAGTTATGCATGCTTAAGTTCAGTGGAAACCAATGGCACTTAAGCACATGTCCTGTAGCTGAACATTTCCCTTTATAAGTACATGGTGAAACTGATACAATTTATTGGAAATGTCTTAAGCGGTGATACTTTATTCTCTCGTTTGTCTGTTTTCAAGCAGCTAATAGCCAGAGGCTAAAGGGAGCAGAAAATGGATTGATTGACCTGCCTTATGTATGCATTTAGATAAGCAACCATGTAAATCAATATTGGTCCCATTATACAGAGCTTGATGAGGTTCAGAATTTAATGCAAAACACACAAGTGACCTGAAAAAGGCCTTGTCTACTCTCTGCAAGAGTGTTCTATCACTTGCCTGAGTAAACCATGACTGTAAAACTGAGGTAAAACTCTGGTCACTGAAAAGATCATTGATTTGTAACAAGTACTAATAAAAAGAAAAATAATCAGGATTAAAATTACAAAACATGCAATGATATTACTCTGTATAAATGGTCCATTAATGTCCTGGTTAGATAAAAATAATTACCAGGTTATAATGTGCTTTATATACAGTGTAATCTTTACAACAGCCCTATAAGATAGGTTGAAAGTGTTACTTGGAAGGAAAAAATAAGTATGTAAAAGAAATCCCTGGACGCCAAGATCCAGGTTTGGGGCAAGTACTCTTTGGTGAGAGAGCTCCAGCAGACATAAAAATCACAAAATACGCAGGAAAGTAAAGTGTGAAATAGATCGTTAAAATATGTCCTTCTAAGTTCCTTCCAAAGTCCCCCTCTTCCCTTAGCATAGAAAAAGTCCACAAACTTGGTAAGTTAAACTCTCCAAAGGTTAGGTTCATATGCTTTTCCACACAGCATTTAAAAAGCATAGGCAGTAAAACTTGGCTTAGTTACACTGCTGAAAGTTCCTAAATCTCTGGTATAGAAACTCAAAAGAGGCTTACTAGAGCCATGTGGTCTGATCTTGGAGCAACTAGCTCAGACCTCGCATGTTGAGCTTCTGGGGTCTACTTAGGTACAGCAGTAGGCCCAATTATCTTCCTCCCAAGGGGAGTGACCTAGCTAAGCCTGGCAGGACCACATACTCTATGGCATTAACCCTTCCATGCATTAATTAGACTTAAGCATGTTGGTTATATGAGGCTGGTTATCCCTCAGGGTAGAACCAACTGTAACCTTCCTTAGTGTTGCCATTGTAGACTCAGCAGGGAGGATGATGGGGGCAAAACTAAATTTGCTCTTCCTGTCATTTGTTCTGGCTCCACCTACTGTTGGCCTCTTTGTCTTCTTCCCTATCAGTCCTAATTAGCATCAACCACCACCAAAGCTAATGGGTGTTAGCTGGGTGTCTACAAAAGCAGACACATCTTCTAAACTTCTGGAAGGTTTATTGAGCCCATGTTGGCATTTCCAGTCGATAAAACATTTTTCATTCTGACATTTTAAAGTCCAGTTTTTCCTCCCTCTAAGCTGCATTTCTGGAAAAATTTTTTTTAATTTAGGTATGTGAAGTTTATATAACTACATAAAACTAATATGTGTGTACAATGATTTCCCTTCTGTTGCAGAGTGGATCCATATGGGTTTGAAAGGCCAGCAAACTTTGACTATACATCATATGAAGATTTTTTTTCTAGATACCTAGTGATACTCACTAGGAGGGCAATTAAATGGTCCAAGCTTTTAAAGGGTAACCGCGGTGTACCGAAAAGCTTAAAAGGTAATATTCCAATATGAAGCTGTTCCTTGTTTCCTTCTCCTGTATGAAATCTTGCTTGAATCTTTTCAATAATAGTTTTTCAATAGGGGGAGGTGGACATTGTTTTCACATTTATTGTAGCGCCAATGTCTTACACCTACCCCACTTTAGACCTTACTTTGATTCTTTCTGGACAAACAATGTAATCTATACAAATGTACTCTGAAGTATATTCTAGTGCAGGCTTCCTCAACCTTGGCCCTCCAGATGTTTTTGGCCTACAACTCCCATGATTCCTAGCTAGCAGAACCAGTAGTCAGGGATGATGGGATTTGTAGTCTCAAAACATCTGGAGGGCTGAGGTTGAGGAAGCCTGTTCTAGTGAATTCAGTAGGGCTTACTCCCAGGTAAACAGGCATACAAATTACAGCCCAAATGAATAGAGTTTATGGGGAAACTGCAAGGAGGGTAACCCCTGTTTTTGACAGTTGATCGCTGATGAATTGCTTTCATTTCTACGTAAATTCTGTCCTTGTAAGAAATAATCTGTTGGCTACTACGGATGTTTAGTAGGAGCAGCTACTTGTTGCAAATGCAGCACAGTGAGTTGCCATGAATAGAAACACTCTTTTTCTCTCCAGCGTCTCTGTTCCCTCACCATGTTTTAAATATGGCATGTTTGGAAATGTCGGTTTTCAAATGCGTCATTATAAAAGCAAATGTAAATGCTGAAAGGAAGTATAGAAGCTTGTTCCTTTAAATGTACATTACTGAAGCTGAAACAATAAAATAAAGTTTAATTAATTAATCATTCCAAATATCTATTGATTCCAAAGTTTCTCCAAGATGAACAACAAGGCACTTCTTCTTAGTCTATGGTTGTTGTTGGTGGGTGGTGGTGGTGGTTGTTGTTGTTGCAGATTCCCCCTGTGCTGCCTCTCATACTGTTCTAGAAGGTTCCCCAACACTTGGGGGCAGATTTTCAGGAAATACATAGGGCATTCAGCAGGAAGAGGATATGAAAGGGCCCCATTCCTTGGAACAGGACTCTGGTCATGAAGGTGGAATCCAAGCTAATGAGATCAAACTCATTTAGTGAGTTTAGTGAGTAGGACAAAGTTTGAGGACGAATCATGACACTGAAGCTAATTAAAATATTTTCACGTTTGCATATTCAAAGCCTTCATGGGCTGAATAGGAAAAGGGGAATTTCACAGTCAGGTATGCGTAACTTATTCCTCTGTGAAGAGAACTGGGCGAGTTCATGACTCGGTGTTTGCACAACAATTGCAGCTTACTGCTGGAATGGTAACAAGTAACTTGCAATTATACAGTTTTCCTGTACATACGAAACTGCTATAACCAGTTGGGCGAGTAAGATGCCACTGATTATTAGTGGCTGTTTATCATAATTAGGCCCAACCACTGGCTTATTGCCAAACTGGAAAGTGATTAAGCTAATCAGAGCTGGCAAAATATTTAAATATTTTCTGCGCCTGTGTCTCTTTAGGTGCTGGCTCTACACATCTTTTCTAAATTCCAGCACAATATTCTAGGCACCCCAGGTAGCATTGCCCCAGCACTGAGCTAAATTTGTGAAACTTGGCTTCCATTTAAACTGAAAGTAAAAAAACACACCATCTCCTTAAAAGATTATTGATAAAGTTTTAATTTTGTAATCCTTAATGGGTGTAGGTAGAAGTTGGCTCAAACCCAAAATAGAACAGTTTGAGAGGTATTTTGGGTTCTTCTGCTCTCCCCTACGTATACACACATTTTCCTTTTTTTAAAAAGCACCCTCAAAAGATAGATTATAGAGGTATACAATAGTATGTCTCCCGGCTGCAGCACGAGCTTCAAAAGCAGAGACTGCTACAATTAACAATTGTTTTAACTGTTTTAAATTTGTGTGGGTTTGTTCTTATTGAGGGAAGTCAGATGTGTCTGGGAGGAGAGGAACTGGAGAGAACACAGGGGCCTCCAGTCACAGTGGTTCAGGGTAGGGGGAAGTGGGGCAGGCCAGGTAAGAGGCACACAGCTCAGGCCGCTGGTGACTATGCTGTGTGCTAGCCCTTCCTCTAACCTGGGGAATTGCTGTTGTCCCTTCAGCCAGCCCTTAGCTCTATGACTTCTGTTGCTGAATGCCAGGCTGGCTCTGAGTAAGACCTCCCTCATCCCTCTTCCATGCTCTGATTATAGATGAGGAAGCTGGTCTGGTCCGTATCACTGAAACCTGGGTAGGCGAGCAGAAGGGAGTTGGTCTCACACAGCTGTGCCCACCTGGATACTCAGGGCAGCGTCAGAGCAGACTTGAGGGCTGGGAAGGGGGAGTTGCTGTGGTTTATAGACATTCTCTCTCTCTCAACCTTGTGATGTTCAGATGAAGGACAGTATCTGAGAAAGGAATGCGTGGCCTCCATAACTTAAATTTACTTTTCCTCATTGTAGGCCTCTGCAGGGCTGGCTCAAGGCCTTCTGGCACCTGAGGCATGCCATGGATGCTTCCCCATCACCACAGATCCGGACCCACGCCCTGGTGGGGTGGGAGGAGCATGCCGCCTGAGGCGGGTTGTGTCACTGGTGTGTCAGCCATGCTAGGGCAGGAAGCTAGCTTAGAGGCTGCAGGGCAGACCACATGGCACACCTTTCTAGCCAATGTCCAGCTCTCTGAATTTGCCACCTGAGGCAGCTACCTCACTCTACATCATGGTATGGCCGGCCCTGGACTCGTGGCTTTGCTGTCAACAACAACAACATTAAAGAACAATGTAACCTCAGGGTTGCATTCCCCTTCCACTGTCTACCAAAGTCATGAGGCTATATCCGATTGCAGCATCGGATTGAGCTGTGTTTTAAGCTGGCTTTACTTTTAAAATCAATAGCCATGATGGGAAAGGGTTAGCTGCAAATGCAAGAGACATTATGGAAACAATATTCAAATACGGTGCTTTGCTTAGCCATAAATATCCACATACTGTAATATCCATACACTAAAAATGCATAAATAGATTCTCCACCCCAATCCTTTTTTTTGTAGATGGGAATCTTTTGGCTATCGGAATATTGGCAGCATTTTCTGAGCCAGATTTTTAATTTATTTTAGAATTGTAGGGAGATTTTCATATTCCTGATCGACCTAATCAGTCAATCAAATCTTTATTACAGTCATAGATCAGCACAAGTAGGGTGCGGGTACAATCATTTAGAATCTGTAAAACGTTTTGGAAAGCTAAAAAGTATTAAAACAGAAGGTATACTAATCAACTTTAAAAATGATTAACCTGGAAAACCCAGGAGTGTTTGGTTGTACAAATAGCCCACGTTGAAACAAGTGCTTCTTCCATGGCGGGTATAAATAAAGGAAGGTAGAAAAAGATGGGAATAAATAAACAAATCACCTCCTTTTTGCCCTCCTCCATGATACACACAAACTACCTCTCTCTCAGGATTTTTGTGGTCATCTGAAAAAGGCACTTGTCTGCTTTTTGTGTGTTCCTCTTGTCGCAGAAGTTTCCTACCTTTCTTACTAAGGTCACACAAATGTTGGTTTCAAGCTCTTGTTTGTGGAATGATCAGCAATTGCTGGTTAATAATAATAATAATTTCATTTGTACCCCGCCCATCAGTGACTGGGCTGCCCTTGCCACACTAATTACCTTGATGTCCTTTTACTTCCCTTGGAGGTTTTTTGTTTTTTGTTTGTATTTTAAGTATCCAAAATATAATGCTTGAAATATCAACTGGTGTGCTTTTTCTTTTGCAGTAAAACGCTATATCAGGAAAGGCATTCCAAATGAGCACCGTGCACTGGTTTGGATGGTGGTGAGTGGTGCTCAGTCCCACATGGAACAAAACCCTGGATATTACCAGAAATTACTTGAAGGAGACAAAAATGAGAAGCTCGTGGACACAATTAAGACAGGTTAGCATCTAAACATAGATGTGGTTGTCCAATCTAGTCTGCTGTTTACCAAGGAGCCTGTAGCCAAGTATTCCGTGGATAGAGAGACAAGTGTGGGAATTTGTTTGTTTGTATATTGTATTTCATCTGAAGACCACAGGGTGGTTCACAACATAAATATCCAAAATCAGGACACAAAATACGTAATAAAACAAACAAACAAACAAACAAACAAACCAGTAGCACCCCTTCCACAAACACATTTAAAATGCCATATAATGTTAATCAGTCAAAGGCCTGGCTTATAGAGAAACGTTTTTGCCTGGTGCCTTTGTGGACTTGTGCCTTGGTTTTGGAGACAAATGAAAACCTGACCCTTTGCAGAAGCAATGGTGTTTGTGTTCAGTGTGGGACATTCTCTTGGCAATTCCTATGCATATACAGTGGTACCTCGGGTTACATACACTTCAGGTTACAGACGCTGCAGGTTACAGACTCCGCTAACCCAGAAATATTGCCTTGGGTTAAGAACTTTGCTTCAGGATGAGAACAGAAATCATGCAGCAGCGGCAGCAGGAGGCCCCATTAGCTAAAGCGGTGCTTCAGGTTAAGAACAATTTCAGGTTAAGAACGGACCTCCAGAACGAATTAAGTTAACCCGAGGTACCAATATATGTGTGTGTGTATCTATATATCTCTATCTATCTATCTATCTATCTATCTATCATCTATCTATCATCTATCTATCTATCTATCTATCTATCTATCTATCTATCTTTTCCTGCTCAAATGGATTATTTGGCTTGATAGTCTGCCAGACTGGTACCAGCAGTATCTCCATCAGTATCTCCATAGGTCTCAAGTGAGGTTGTGTATACACTGACCCATCCATAGTAATAATAATAATAATAATAATAATAATAATTTATTATTTGTACCCCGCCCATCTGGCTGGGTTTCCCCAGCCACTCTGGGCGACTTCCATAGAAACCAAAAATACACTAAAATATCACACATTAAAAACTTCCCTGAACAGGGCTGCCTTAAGATGTCTTCTGAATGTCAGGTAGTTATTTATCGCTTTGACATCTGATGGGAGGGCGTTCCACAGGGCAGGCGCCACTACCGAGAAGGCCCTCTGCCTGGTTCCCTGTAGCTTTGCTTCTCGCAATGAGGGAACTGCCAGAAGGCCCTTGGCGCTGGACCTCAGCGTCCAGGCAGAATGATGGGGGTGGAGGCGCTCCTTCAGGTATACTGGGCCGAGGCCGTTTAGGGCTTTAAAGGTCAACACCAGCACTTTGAATTGTGCTCGGAAACGTACTGGGAGCCAATGTAGGTCTTTCAAGACCGGTGTTATGTGGTCTCGGTGGCCGCCCCCAGTCACCAGTCTAGCTGCCGCATTCTGGATTAGTTGTAGTTTCTGAGTCACCTTCAAAGGTAGCCCACATAGAGCGCATTGCAGTAGTCCAAGCAGGAGATAACTAGAGCATGCACCACTCTGGCGAGACAGTCCGCGGGCAGGTAGGGTCTCAGCCTGAGTACCAGGTGGAGTTGTTAGACAGCTGCCCTGGATACAGAATTGACCTGCACCTCCATGGACAGCTGTGAGTCCAAAATGACTCCCAGGCTGCGCACCTGGTCCTTCAGGGGCACAGTTACCCTATTCAGGACCAGGGAGTCCTCCACACCAGCCCGCCCCCTGTCCCCCAAAACAGTACTTCTGTCTTGTCAGGATTCAACTTCAATCCATTAGCCGCCATCCATCCTCCAACCGCCTCCAGGCACTCACACAGGACCTTCACCGCCTTCACTGGTTCTGATTTGAAAGAGAGGTAGAGCTGGGTATCATCTGCATATTGATGGACACCCAGTCCAAACCTCCTGATGATCTCTCCCAGCGGCTTCATATAGATGTTAAAAAGGACGGAACCCTGAGGCACCCCACAAGTGAGGGCCCAGGGGTCTGAATGCTCATCCCCCACCACCACTTTCTGAACACGGCCCAGGAGGAAGGAGCGGAACCACCGTATAACAGTGCCCCCAGCCCCTCTAGACGGTCCAGAAGGATGTTATGGTCGATTGTATCAAAGGCCGCTGAGAGATCCAGCAGAACTAGGAAACAACTCTCACCTTTGTCCCTAGCTCGCCGGAGATCATCAACCAGCGCAACCAAGGCAGTTTCAGTCCCATGATGAGGCCTGAATCCCGATTGGAAGGGATCCAAATGGTCCACATCCTCCAGGTGTGCCTGGAGTTGTTCAGCAACCACGCGCTCAATCACCTTGCCCAAGAATGGAAGATTTGAGACTGGGCGATAGTTGGCCATACTGGCCGGGTCTAAAGATGGTTTTTTAAGAAGCGGTTTAATGACCGCCTCTTTCAGCGGATCTGGGAACGTTCCCTCACAGAGGGAAGCATTCACCACCCCGCAGAGCCCATTGCCCAGCCCTTCCCGGCTTGCTTTTATTAGCCAGGATGGGCAAGGATCAAGGAGACAGGTGGTTGGTTTCACACGTCCAAGCCGCCTGTCCACATCCTCGGGGGTAACGGATTAAAATTGATTCCATGCAACTTGACCAGACAGAGCTCTAGCACTCTCCCGCCCCAGCCCTGCTCCCACGGTGGTGTCTAGCTCCTTCTGAATATGAGTGATTTTATCTGCAAAAAACTTTGCAAAATCGTTGCAGGAGATCTTGGGGTCTTTACAAGGCCCCGGTGGTAAAGGTGGTTCCGTTAAATTGCGAACCATCTGAAAGAGTCTCCTGCTACTATTTTCTGCAGATGCAATAGAGGCGGTGAAGAAAGTCTTCTTCGTCGTTGCTATCGCCACTTGGTAGGCTCGACGTTGAGCTCTAACCTGTGTCCGGTCAGATTCGGAGTGAGTTTTCTGCCACCGACGCTCTAGCCGTCTCAACGATTGTTTCATCGCCCTCAGCTCCGAAGAAAACCACGGGGCTGTCCGGGCTCCATGCAATCGGAGAAGGCGCTTCGGAGCCAGACAGTCGATAGCCCTGGTTAACTCCACATTCCAGCGGGCCACCAGGGAATCAGCTGAAAGGCCATCAACATGGGATAAAGCATCCCCTACCACTCTCTGGAAACCATTTGGATCCATTAAGTTGCGGGGGCAGACCATCCGAATTGGTCCCACCTCCCTGCAGAGGGGAAGGGTCGCGGAGAAGTCCAGTTAAACCATAGCACAGAAATGTAGTTTTTCTCAGTCCAGAATCATTCATGGTTGTCCTCAACATGCTGCTTTCAGTTTAGATTGTTGCTAGATCCTGTCGTCCACAAGGGTTACTGGCTATGCATTTTAAAACTCTCCCCTTTATCAGTCATGCCTTTCCCTCCCTGCACATGCTACAGGTGAATGAAGAAGGAAGTGGTGATGCTCACCCACAACATCATTGGGCCTGGTGTGGGTACCTCCCTGTTCCCATTGCTGGAACTGTTCACATTGGTTTTCACACGGGGGGGTTACAGAGAACTGATTTGCAATGAACTTTTATTTTTGGAGTGAAACCAATTTCACAAGCAATGCTTTTCAGGGGCAATAAATAAATGCATTAGATCTAGATTATGTTTGGATTATATTGGGGGGGGGGAATACTCTTTCTCTGTTGATTCTAGAATAAAATGTCAGTTTCTGCAAGTATAACAAGCCTCTCAGAATATCAAGGCAGTGTACAGAAACCCTTTAAAAGCAATGCAGTACAAACATTAAGATGACTGCAGCGATACCACCACATAGTTAATGTTCTAGGCAAGCAACTATGGTGATTATTCAAGGTCATTGGAATCTTGTAAAGGATAATCCCCGGAATGCAAAGAAACAATAAAAGACTTCTCTGCAGTCCTGAGGGAGATGGGATAATGTTAAATCCATGGACAGTCGACAGACGAAATAGACACACAGTTGTGGCACCTTTAAAGACACAACAAATTTATTATGGCATGAGCTGTTGTGAATTACAGTCTATTTCAGAGTTGTTTAGAGTCAACCTTCCCTGTTTATAGACATATAGCATTTTGCCTGCATTGCTGAAGAATAAAAGGTTTCTTAAAGCCTGTAATGCTGATCTTCTTCCCGTACAGAAAACCATGTTCAATGTGCAGATGTTTAAAAACAACAACCTGATATTGAGGACAGGGCTAAAATCATGACGCTGTTCTGCTTGTTCAGTTCTGTATTTGAGCATCCCCTACACACACAAGTCATGCATCCATAAGGCTGCTTCGATTCTTTCAATAGGACAGCTGAACCGTATTGTTGATCAGTCAGGGAATCCCAGATAGATAACTTGCTGTCAACTATTGAGTTCATGGGTGAGAAGGCAACTTCAGATCCCAAGACTTTGGTCCATGAATCATATTGCTTTATAGATACATTTTTAATTTTTGCTGTTTCCTTTTTTTACATTTTAGACATGAATAGGACATTTCCGGATAATGTAAGGTTCCGCAAAACTGCTGATCCCTGCTTACAGAAGACACTCTACAACGTATTAGTGGCATATGGGCACCATAATCAGTCTGTGGGATACTGCCAGGTATGTGACATTCGGAATGCAATCGTGAGCTTCTTTTAAAGCAAAGCATTTACAACTTGGGTGGCCTTGATGGCAATGCAAGATTTGAGAAATGTAGATTTGATGCACTTAACCTTCCCACCCTTCTATTTTAGTCCTTAGTCAATATCTTAAATTTGCCATAGTTTAGTACTTTCCAGTTTGCTCCTTTATTTGGAACTTCCCAGCCCTATCCAAAACAGCCTCTTGCGACTGGTGCTCAGAGACCCTCGCACCACCTCACATGCGAACAATACCTATCGAACTTACACCATCATTGCATATCAAACTGCCGTAGGTATAAAGTGAGTTGCTACTGTTCTCTAAAATGCACTGTAAACCTCAACATTGGTTGGGAGACCTTTTTAAAGCAAAAATTAGACGTTTCTTTAAAAGAAGGCGAAGCCTTTTCTGCAAGGTAAAAGATTGCTTGCTGAAAAAAGTGCGCTGGGGGGTGGGGGCAGATTGCTTTGAGTCCTTTCAAACACCCACCAAGTGTGGGACAATGCTTGCGAACCTGGGGCACCCGAGTTTGTGTTTCAGCAAGACCTTCCTAATGCTTGTAATGTTAATGTGCCTGACAGTTAACTCCCTGAGAAACATCACTGTGAACTCTGAAGTTAGTGTTGCCTTGCTATTGTACGCTGCAGTACTATGCTTCAGTGCATGAGCTTTTATGCTGGCATGTACAATTTAGTTTGCTCCATGAATGTCTGTTGAGGGGCACTCTTTTGTTGCAGTGCCAAATAACCCTCTGTCACCATGGTTGCTATTGTTGAGCAAGCTGGCAGTCTGAGGGCTGAAAACGTACCCTCACAATTGGAGGGCAAATACCCCCATAAAGTAGAATAGAGGGTTTTGTTGTTGCTGTTTACAACATCTGTTAGCTTTTTTACATTTCGGGGGAAATTGGAAACAAACGTTTTTGAACCATGCCCACTAGGCACAAACAGATGGTTATGAATTCTTGGTATTAAAAAGCCAAACAACTGGAACTATTTTGGATTAACTGAACTACTAGTTATGGGACAACTCTTCATTTATCCAGGAGTCAGTCCCCCCCCCCCCCATCTTCCTTCTTGAAACCAAATGCATTGTTTATGAAATAAAAATGAGAGCGCCTCGTTCTTTTCCATGGAAGATGATGGTAAAGAAGAGTGATTGGTGAAAGGTTCAGGGAGGTTTCAAAAGAAAGAGATGAAACAGGAGATGCATTCAAAGGCCGGATCTGACAGACTGCAATTGATACTAGTGTCCATGAATGTTTTAAAACGATCTTACAACTTGTACACTTCAGACTTGCGGACTAGCAATTGCTGTGAGTGTGACTAGGATGGCTGCAAAGGAAATTCATGGCAGGGTGTGTGTGTGTGTGTGTGTGTGTGTGTGTGTGTTGCAGAAATAGAAATAACAGCACAACCCTATCCATGTCTACTCAGAAGTAAGTCTTATTGAATCCATTGGTGGCTAACTCCCAGGTAAATAGGGTTAGGGTTGCCGTCAAATGTGAGCTAATATTATGATGAACTTGACGCAGTCCTACTCTTCCCCACCACACAGACAGCATTGAAAATGCATTTCTTGCACAGAGACTGCCTTTTGTCTGCTCTTTCTTCTCCATGCCAATTAGCCACATCCATGCCAATTAGCCACATAAATCATTGAGTTAATTGCCATTTCGCTACTTAACCCAAATTATATCAATGCTTGTGATGATGCACTCATCTGGTTCTGGTCCATGGCTGACTGCCTGGGGACCACATGCATCCTGCCTTTGGTTCTGTGATGAAAGAAAGGTAGGGCATAAATGTAAGGAAACAAAAATAAAACAACGTTACATCTTATGATGCAAAAACCAAACAATGCAGTTGTATTTCCTGTGTTGCTTTTGTGTGTTATACTTCAAATAGCCAAGCTGTGAACAGGCTGTAATTCTGGAGTCAGCTGTAGAATTCCTAACTGGTATTTTTTTAAAAACACACCTAATTACTCTGGGAAAAGTTTGAGTATTATCATTGGCTCAAAGTAAAGGAGTGTGCTTGGGGTGAACACTCAGTGAAAAACACAACTGGGAGCCATTTTGGCATATAAGCGGTATATAAATTAATAAATAACAATAAATGAAAACGGGGCTTATTCACATCCCTGAATACCGCTTCTCTTTTATGCATTCATTTGTGGTCATCCAAGCAGTTTTCATCCGTCATTATTCAAGGCAGTGGAATTCTAGACTTCGCACAACTATAAATGGAGACTTAAGTCTGTGTGATCTTAAAGTCAAAGTGGCCCAAACATTATTTTCCTTTTAATGTAGCCTTGGCAATTGAAGTGTTTTACTCTTGCATCTGCAGCAAGAAATTGCTCACAACACTTTTAAAACTGACTCTTGATAAGCGTGAATTACCATTAGGTCCTCCCTCTGCCCCTTGCATTTATTATCTTGGCTCCTTTTAAGATTACTTTTGTCAGCATTGTATCAAGCTAATTAGATAAATTGTTCCTTTGTGTTTTAGGGCATGAATTTCATAGCAGGCTACCTGATTCTTATCACAAGGAATGAAGAGGAATCCTTTTGGTTATTAGACGCTCTCATTGGTCGAATATTGCCTGGTAGGTCAAACTCCCACCATTTCTATCTTTGTGTCACAGATAATTTCCTGTGTTTGAGCTAAGTAAGAGTGACTATCAAATGGGTAGTCTAATCATATAATATCATAACTCCAGAGAATTACCCAATTACTACATTGAAAGCAGTTCTCTGTAGGAAATAGCAATCACATTCCTCTATTCATTCTATTTACACTTCCCTTTTGTATACGTAGCAAAATACATGTTGATATATTCTTCTCTTTTTACTATCTGCGAGCACATAGCATAGCATTTTCTGGCATTTGGGTTATTTCCTTCCATAAGAGGCCGTACGTCCTATCACAACATAATCCTATACTATATATATATATATATATACACACACACACACACAGAGAGAGAGAGAGAGAGAGAGAGAGAGAGAGAGAGAGAGAGTGATATATATTGGAAAGTTGCACAGAGCTAAAACAGACCATAGAATTTGTGATATTTCCATGCAAAAATGCTCCCCCAAATATTTGTGGTGGGTGGCAAGGGGTGGGGCCGTGGCCCCCCTAGATGCGTTCCATTGACCCCAAAGTGTCCCCGGGCCCCTAATTGGGAACCACTGCTCTATACCAAAAAGCATGTACCACAGAGAAAACCTGGAAGATGTTTCTCACCTAGCCTTTTCTGACATGCCGGCTATCTGTGTATGAGGAATGTCTTCTTCATGGTACATCATTCCATCATGTGAGCTCCCACCTGCAATATAAAGTGCTGCAGTCTGGACATAGACATAGTTGGTGTTTTGCTGTACTTCTCATCCTTTACAAAAGGCAGGCAGGCAGCAAGGAAAGGAAAAACCTACATAAAAAGAATCTGCGAAATTGAACCAGAGCACTTCTGTTCATTTGCATGTTAATTAAAATAGTTAAGGTGTAGTACAATAGGAACTTCTAAAGCATGCTTCTTAAAAAGGAAATGGAATCTTTAGTGGTTCATTCATCTTCCAGTGACTGGAACTGGAACTGCTAGATGTATTTTTTTAAGAGCATGTCTTTAGAAGGAAGGCCTGGGGTACAAAACCTGTGACATCTTGAAAGTCTTGTTTGCTTTTGAATTATTTTTGCTACATTCCTTGTTTTTGTTTTTTGAAAATAGTTTATTAACCATTATCCCAAAGATAATGGGAATTTTCAAGACACCAGATAGCGGTCTCTCTTCCCCCTTTCTGCTCTACCCAACAAGAAGCAATTCACAGTGAAAATGTGTAACTACAACCTAGCAGAGAGTTCAAAGTTGCTGGACCTGAATCCAGCATTTCAAAGTTGCTGGATCTGAATCCAGAATTTCAAGCATTGTACAGATCTATTTGCAGCATCCTTGAAATCTGATCAGTTCCTCAGTAGCGGACAGGACAATTGAGGTGCTTTTGGTGTTTTGAGAGTTCTGAGAAGATGCCTTTAAAGATGCCTTTAAACAAATGCTCCTAAAAGTATGAATGCAAGCATAGCCTTGATTCTTTCTCCTTTAAAAAATGTTTGAATAAATGCACATCTTTCATAAGTTGGGTGGGCTGCCAAGTATTGGGGAATAGTCCCCCCCCCATGTCCCCAAGTGCTGCACTTAATCTCTTCTTCACAAGAGTGAATAATCACTAGACACTGACGTAGGAAAAAATGAAGAGGTGTGTTTGGGGGATGTTGTTGGAGGGCTAGAATCTTCTGGATATAGACTGCAACTTGCCAATTTTCATTTTGACTTCTTAAGTATTTGGGCTGTCTTTTCCCAGTTAAACATCCAAAGTTTTTCTAAAACTTTCTTGCAAAAGTGGGTACAGCAACCTTGTGTTGAAGTCTAAATGGGCATGCATATGCCGTGTTTCAAAAGATGATTCTTCAGCTTCTTTGCATTGTTGATCTGAAGATGGAGATTTAAAAGTAGAAAAGGTCAGGGAACTGCACCATGCTCTATTTCTGGATATTCTTTTTAATCCATTTGTGGCAGAGAACAAGTCCACAATAGCCTTTATAATCTTTATTCCTTATTCCCTGCAAATCTCATTACTGGTCCATAGAAGAGTTTGGAAGAAGAGTTTGGATTTGATATTCCGCTTTATCACTACCCTAAGGGGTCTCAAAGCAGCCAACAATCTCCTTTCCCTTCCTCCCCCACAACAAACACTCTGTGAGGTGAGTGGGGCTGAGAGACTTCAGAGAAGTGTGACTAGCCCAAGGTCACCCAGCAGCTGCATATGGAGGAGTGGGGACGCGAACCCGGTTCACCAGATTACGAGTCCACCTCACTTAACCACTACACCACACTGGCTCTCCCATAAGACAATAAAGCAGCTGCAACTTTATTGATGCTTTATTAAAGATTGTAATATCAAGACTCAAGCAAATCTGGCAAGCAGAATTCTGTTGAATTGTGAGCCCTAAAAGCCACTGTGTGTGTGAAAATACCGAGTCCCAGTGATGAGCATCATCATAACCCTATAGGGATCTCACGTGCCTTATCTTAGGAGTTTTTCCTCTGTCAGTGCTGCAGCAGATGCAGTTTTCAGCTGTTGTCTGAATCAGAGGTATATATTGTGAGTTAAGAGGAAGCAGTATAAAGCATACCTCTGTCCAGCACATTGGGAAAAACAGCGCTCTCTCACTCTCTCTCTAACTTGGATAGGGAACATAATCTCTTAGATCACTTTTACCTATTTTTTAAAAAGGAAGCAAACACATATCAAGCTTCAACTGTTTTGTAATGCCAGTGCAAACCTACAATGGCCAGCACTCACATTTTAATTTCTTATGCCTGTGTCTCACAAGGATATCTTTGGACTACATCATAAATTTGCATGAGAGAGAGAGGCTCAAAAGCTATTGAACTCTTCCAGGTGAAAACATTGGTTTTCCTTTGGTAATTGCAAGTTAATGCAGTTAATACAATTGGTTAAGTAACACGTCAACATCACACTGCAACGATTTCCCAAACAGCCTTTCAAGCTGATACACAAATACTAAAACCACTTCAGTAAAATGCAGGTTTGGTACTTAAGGGAGCTAGCTTTCCTTTGTCTCTATTGCAGCTGTGTATTTTGTGGTGTTGTTTTTTGTAGTGTCGAATACAACTCACTTGGTCTATGACAAAACTTGCTGCCTCAAGCCTTCCAGCTATTTCATGACTTCAAAGGCTGGTTGCTCCAAGAACAGGACATTCTAAATCTGTTCACAAACGAAGGAGCTTGAATGTCACAGGGCTGGTTTTGATGCTTCAGATTTTAACTGATCATATTTGATTATATTAAGTGATATTTGAAATTGTGGGAATGGCAAGCAAAGTAATGACGAGATAGAAGGGAAAGATGCAGGTAATACAGGACATTGGATAAATCTCAGTTAGACATGTTCATAGATGAACTGAATAAATCAAGTTAACATAGGATGATTAGAATTGTTAAAAACAGGACACAGTTAATTTTAAGTTTTTATCTCCGCCGTGAATCAGTCTCTTTCCTCCCCTCATCACTGAGCTGCAGTAGGTGACAACATATGCCAGGCTTCCTCAGACTTGGTTTTCCAGATGTTTTTGGCCTACAACTCCCATGATCCCTAGCTAGCAGGGCCAGTGGTCAGGGATGATGGGAATTGTAGTCTCAAAACATCTGTAGGGCAGAGGTTGAGGAAGCCTGGCATATGCCATGAAACTTATTCCCTTTGAGTTTTTACCTAGTCCATGCACACGGGATGGTTTGTTGCTTAGCAGAAGTTAGTGTATCTGTAGCTTAAGCCACTCCATAGAATTGGATGTGCTATAATAGTCTTTTAGTGGACCAACTATACCATTTCTGAGTGCCTCAACTGGTAAAGATCTCCATCATAGGCAGTGTTCAGAACTCCCATTGTTCTAGGTGCATTTTATGACATGGAATTTCATTAGCGCAGGCAGTTCCTGAGCTCTGGGCGCAGTACTGCGTCTAAGATTTCGGATTAAAACTGCAGAGTGTAAGAAAGGAGGACCTTTTTCTGTCTCCTCACTTCCAGCTACTCTCTGAAGACTGGGGAAGAGACCCTCTTAAGAATATTAGGGGTGGGCAGGGGAAGGACCAGACCATGTGAAAAATGAACATAATATTTTAGCAGCAGTTCATTCATTTTCAGCTTTGTACTCTTGTTATAAAAAAGCGCACCCAGACATATTGTTGTTGCATCCATAACCAAGGTTTAAGGTGCCCCTAGCTTTCATATTTCAGTTTCTAACATTGATCATAGGCTTGACTCATAGGCTTTGATTCTTTAAATAGGTAGCTACTGGGTGTAAGGCTCTCTTAATAGTGGCTCCTTGGCTATGGAAATCTCTCCCCTTATCTTGGTTGGTGCCCTACTTGATCATCTTCCAACACTCAGTAAAAGCAATTCTTCATTTCTGGGCTTTTTCTTGGTACTCTAGGAGCCAAGGGCATCCCTAAAGTTGATGGGCATTGCCATTCAAATGGTGTGCATGCACTGTGTCTTGTGATCAATTCTGCAGGGTGAGGCCTGCCTACCCCTACCCCTGCTCGATAGTATTTAAATGGCTCTTGCGAGTTCCAGTACAGTGGTACCTTGGTTTACAACCATAATCGGTTCTGGCAGTCCATTTGTAAACCAAAACAGGTTGTAACCCAAGGCACGCTTTCGCCAATGGGGCCTCCAAACAAATTTGTTCATAATAAAAAAAAAATGGGTTGTAATACAAAAAAAGTTTGCAAACCGGAACATGCACTTCTGGGTTTGACATGTTTGTAATCCAAAACATATGCATACCAGACTGTTTGTAAACCAAGGTAAAGGTAAAAGGACTCCTGACCATTAGGTCCATTCGTGGACGACTCTGGGGTTGCGGCGCTCATCTCCCTTTACTGGCGTACAGCTTCCGGGTCAAGTGGCCAGCATGACTAAGCCGCTTCTGGCGAACCAGAGCAGCGCACGGAAACGCCGTTTACCTTCCCGCCGGAGCAGTACCTATTTATCTACTTGCACTTTGATGTGCTTTCGAACTGCTAGGTTGGCAGGAGCAGGGACTGAGCAATGGGAGCTCACCCGTTGCGGGGATTCGAACCGCTAACCTTCTGATCGGCAAGCCCTAGGCTCTGTGGTTTAGACCACAGCGCCACCCGCGTCCTTGTGTAAACCAAGGTACCACTGTACTATTATCTCAAGTTTTGCTGTTTTTTATTTTTGTGGTTTGATTTTAAATATGTTTTTCTACACTGCCTGTTTTGCAGAAAGGGCCCTCCCTCTTTCTATTTTGTGCCTGGATGTTAATATTCCATGTGCAATAAGGCACACTCTGCGTGGCAGTGATGCCAGAGAGAATCCATAGAACACTGGGGCACAGACTTGGAAAACTTAATTTCTTTTTGACCTCTGTGCTCAGTTGGTGCTAGTATTTTCTGGTCATGAAAGCACAGTAACCCAATAATGGCACGCCTAGGCTCAGTCTCGTTTTTTAGCAGCTTGGAAAGGTGCCCTGCTAGCCTTGTGGGAGCTTTACCATTCGTTTTCTGCTCTGAAGACTGAAAGCAGCAACTGCTGTTCCCTGTCCACAGATCAAGTGATTAATGTTGAACATGATGCAATGACTTATGCCAAGTTACAGAGCACCCTCTAGAGGCTTCCTTAAGAAAATCTGTTTATTTTCTGTATTTCTTTTAAATACTTAGTTTATGTAAAAAAAAGGGGGGGCGATTACTTGAATGGGATTACTTGGTTGCCTGTCTGACAACTTTTTTTGCCACCTGCCCCCAAGCCTATTATGGTGCCAACAGCAGTTTCTGTAGTCTTGAATTACATTTAGCAACTTTATATTTTCAGGTGCCTGTGATGGACTGGGAATTAGCTTGGAGCAGTTTCTCTAGGGCTTATCAGGCAGGACCCCATCCAGAATGAGACCCAGGGACCCACAAATGTAGTTTCTGATGACTACCAGTGCTCACAAAACCATTTTTGCAACCAGCTGCCCCTGATCACTGTGCACAAAGTAAGAACCCTCCCTTCCCCTGAGTTTTCGGAGAGTCTTGCAGAACTTAATAGGTGAGAGGAGCTATTGCACTGTGTGGTCCTTGGTGGTGACAAATCATACTAAGGCTGGCACTAATTTATGGAGCCGTACTGAGACCTTTTCGAGTTCAAATAACTCTGACAATTGCATGTGGCCTTCGAATGTTTTGTGGACCCACATGTTATAGGTAGGGCCTGAGATGCTTTGAAGGATAAATCCCCAAAGGTACCACATATAGTCACACACAGCTGTTTATCTGTCAACTGTGCATTTGTGTATCTAGAGTTGGGTCTGCTCAAGTCATGGAACACAGGGCACTTTGACAGCCTCTCCTAGTTATAGCGCAATCTGAGCCCTCTTAACAGCTGTCACAATATGTGGAGTTGAGCCCTTTACTCTTGAAGTGGAAAGACATGCTGCAATTTTACCTTTTGAAAAATGAGCTCTTTCCCTTCCCCATATACTGTTTTTCTTTTTAATGAATGATAGCACTTGGATCATTTTGGTGATTAGCTTTTGTTTCCCCCCTTCCCCCCCTCTTAAAGATTATTATAGTCCAGAAATGATGGGTCTGAAAACAGATCAAGAAGTTCTTGGAGAGCTTGTGAAAATGAAAGTTCCTGCCGTTGCAGAATTAATGGAGAAACATGGCATCATGTGGACTTTGCTGGTATCGCGTTGGTTTATATGTTTGTTCATTGACATTCTTCCAGTAGAGGCAAGTGAGAACTTGATGGTATTTTTAGCTGTGTGGGTTTTGTTTTTGTTAATGACATGGGCTATATATATGCTTTAGTGATGCCTTTAAACAAAATCTTGTCTCCTACAGACTGTACTTCGAATTTGGGACTGCTTGTTCTACGAGGGATCAAAAATAATATTTCGTGTGGCCTTAACACTAATTAAGCACCACCAAGCTTTCATTTTGGAAGCCACCAACTTCCCAGATATCTGTGATAGATTTAAAGAGATCACCAAAGGACCATTTGTAACGGAGTGTCACACTTTCATGCAGGTAGGCGTCCCATGTTGTAGAGAACTATAAACTGGCTAGAAACGCTGTTTATTTGCTGTTGCTTTTCTGCATACAGTTGTACCTTCAAAGTCAAACAGCCTAGTTCTTGAAAGTTTTGGCTTCCAAATGATCGAAATCCAGAAGTGACTCTTCCAGTTTTTGAACGTTCGATGGTGCTTCCGATTGGCTGCAGGACCTTCCTGCAGCCAATCAGAAGCCGCGCTTTGGTTTTTGAACGTTTTGGAAGTCGAACAGACTTCCAAGGTACAACTGTATTGCTTCAATGTGCTTCATGGTGCTCTTGAACTTGGGTTGGTTGGATATAACTAGCAGTGGGTCAAACGCTATAGGATATACCACTAGAGAGAGGAGATTGAGGCAATTTTTTTCTGATGCTCTCTCTAATCTCCTGTAATGCTGCTGTCAAATAGATGTTCAAGGGATCCCAAAGACGGCATCTTTGCTCTGGTGGGAATTTTCACTGGATCTCCTTCCCTTCTGCTCACAGAAGAGCAAGTCTGAATCTGACCCATCGTTTGCAGTACTGAAGTGACCACTCTGGGACACAAGCCTGGGCAGAGTGTATGGAGGTGGTCCTGGGCTCCCCAGCCTCGCTGATGTTGTCCAAGGGAAAGATCCATTATAGTGATGGGACTACTCAAGGATGTAAAATGAAGAACCCACTTGTAAAAAGAATGAGTGCCCTGACTTACACTAACAATTTCTAAATTCTTAATTCTAGAAAATATTTACAGAGCCTGGAAGTCTGAGGATGGCTACAATAGAGAAACTACGAGAAACTTGTAGAGCAAATCTGATTGCTCAGACATAAATGGACAATATTTAAAATAGACAAAATGCTGCAAAAAAATGGGCACATTTCTTCACTTAATTCCACTGATACACCTTTTCTTCAGTTTCCATTAGTGTTGATTGACATGACCAATTCTCTCCAGCTTTCAAGTAAGTTTTGAACTGGGTAATTTGATTATTTTTATTTTTTGTAAAAACAAAACTTTAAGTTATATGAGAATAAAATGTGGTCACTGTGGCGGTAACCCTTTTTTTTTTGGAAAAAATGCACTACATACCTTCAGAAGATTTTGTAATATTTAAATACATAGATTTATAAATATCAGTATAAAAATGCAAAATAAATTCTATTTTGAAATCTCCTCTTCTTGAATTTGCATAGTAAAATGGGCCTAAGACCTCTAGCAGAAGTATTTAAGAAGAATCTTCAGCAGCTGGAAATATTCAGTATGCTTCTACATGCTGCTGACCTTAAAAAAATCGAATTTGGTCTATGTATTGATCACAGGGAGGTTTTGCTGTATTCCCCCCCCCCCCCCGCCAAGAGGAGTAGGCTGACGCTTGAAATAGTTTGTGTTGCGAATCAATTGTATGATTAGGAGCCATCTGGTATGCAGATCTTCGAATGAATGGCTACTAGAACAAGCACAGCTTCTATTTGCACCTCTGAATTTTTAAGTTGTGTGTGCTTTGTCCTGTTGCGACTGTATGATATAGGGTCTCTACCTGTTAAGTAAGGCTGGGCAATATCTGGTCATTAACATTGTGATGCATCAGCAGCTAAATGCCATGATTTACTGATATCATGATGTATCTCGGCTGCTGCTTCCTCTCCACCTTAGGGGAGGAAGAAGCAGCCAATATACATTGCCCAGCCCCAGGCCGTTGTGGCTCACAGTGAGCAAGAGCAGTATGGGGGCTTGATCCGTGCCCCTCAGTTGATCAAGCCCCACCTCCACGCATAAGATGGGGGGTGGGGCTTCCTTAAACTGCTCAGCTGAGGGGCAGGAAGCCTCCAACCCCACAGCTGAGTAAGCCACCATACAGCTCTGGCTTCCGCAAGCCAGAGGGGCAGGGGGAAGCTGCACAGCAGGAGTGAGGTACGTACTGTGCTGGCAATGGCTGCCAGGCATTTACACAACAGCCCACCACATATTCCCTTTGTCTGTAGGTACCTTGGCCCACTGCAAACCCAACTGCTCTTTCGTCTTCTGAAACTGCTTCTCTGGGGCACAGAGGCAGACTAGGGAAATGAAGGTGGCAGGCACAATTTGCTGCTTGGGTTTTGCAGTGCGCCCTTTCCACTTCTCTTTACACAAAGATGTCGCAACTGCTCAACTGGACACTGACAAAACATACAGAAAAGTCTTTATTAGCATTGTTACAGGCAATGCATCCATAACTGATCCTTGCAGTGTACAGTCCCAGCCAAGATCAAAGCAAGAATTAGCAGACTGAAGTCTATTATTGTACACATGTGCAGAAAAAGGACCTCCTTTGAACTTCAACAGAAGAGACTGAAATTCACTTTACAAAAAATAAAGTAACACCCATTTTTTTATGTAAAAAAGGGCCAGCTCCTACCAAGCTGACAGACCAAAAATATCTTAGAAGTCAGCCAAATTGTATCTCCACACCTTGCATATACCAGGCTTAGCATTTAAAGCTTATTAATGATACATACCTAGGTAGAGACAAAGTGGGAATTGTGTAAGTTTGATTGGTCAGTCATTACTGTAGTTACTGCACCTAAGCAGTTTAAATTCAGCACAGGGTGGTAGTATAAGAAAAGTGGAAATTTCCCTTTGTTAGATATAATTAATCTGAATTTTAAGTGAATGAATGTGAATTAACTACATCACATCCATTTAGAGTAGTTGACATTAAAAACCATGCCAATTCAGAAAAGCATTCTTAAAACTTCAGCCTGTTTCTATGTGGGTGAATACTTAACCCATTAGCAAAATTAAACAGAATTATAGAAGTTATCCTTTGTGCATAGTTAAATGCCACGAGATGGATTTCACATTTAGTAAAAGCAGGCACTGCAAGAAACAGTTGGTAAGGAAGAGATTGTGCTCCCTCATATCAATCTATTTGAGGGGAAGATGGGGAAATGGGGGGAATCGATGTATCTGCTTCTTGCAACTGCTGTTCTCCCACACTGGTTTAAGGAAGTGCAAATCATTAAATTGTTTGATAGCCAGCATGGCTACGTTTTCTGCCAATTAAATATGCAATCAGCACTATAAGGACAAGTCCAGCAAGGGCTGCACCAACTATGATTGGGATCAACATATTGTTTTCATCCATTGGGCATTCTTCCGCTGAAAGAAAGAAAAAACAATTCTATTAAGCAGCTTTAGTCCTAAAATTCTGTTAGAAAAATAGCAAGGAACCAGGCCAAACACCAAATAATCATTCCAGGACCCAATCTATTCTACTCTTCAATGATCTGTCAGGGTATCTACATTGACTATCAGAAAGTGAATTTAAACCATTTTGCCTCCTAACTTACTGCAGGTGCCTTCCAAATACTTTTGGACTACAATTCCCATCATGCCTAACCCCTAGCAGGCTCATGCTGGGAGTTGTAGCCCAAAATATAAGAATTCTAGGTTCCCAACTGGTAGAACCTTGGAGGAACAACTTCCAAGGTATTATTATTACAGTTGTTACCACTTGGTAAAACAGTGTCTGTATTTATTCAAAATTAATAGAAAGTACAATGCTACTTCAAACTCTAAGTTTTGACAGTAGTAGTAGTAGTAGTTCTAATGGTGGAAGTGCTTTCTTGCCCACCTTTGAGCACAGGTGGTGTCTGAACTAACCATTTCAACCTTGTTACTTTGCCCTTCATATGAAATCAGGCAATTAGGCAATTTCAAGCCTGAGAAAAAAGGTACACAATCTTACAAGCAACATCTTTAGTTCAACTCTAGGCTCTCTAATCATGGCTATCATATTTTCTCCCAAAAGTAATGGGAGACAACTCTAACTTTCTGTGGAAAGGCCATATGCACTACACCAGTCCCTCAAGCACACCAGTATAGGAACCCCCTTGCTAGCAGTTCAGCACAATGGGATGGATGCAGAGAAGTCTGGATTGTTGCAGCATGTAGCGCTAGGATGAGGAACCTAAGTCCCACCAGCCACAGCTGGTGACTGGGAGCGATGGGTTAGCTGTTAGCAATATGATGCAAAATAAAATGCTCAGCAGTCAGATCAGATGGCGTCTTGGCAAACTCTCCTTAGGAATCTGAAGGGTTAATAGCCAAACATTTGTAGCATACTAATTAGCTATAAGCACAGTTGTGTACTTTTGCAGTAAGGTCACCCCATAAGGCAGAAATACACACTTTATCAATCTACATTTTTTCTCTATACAGTGGTGCCCCGCAAGACGAATGCCTCGCAAGACGGAAAAACCGCTAGACGAAAGGGTTTTCCGTTTTGAAGTTGCTTCGCAGGACGAATTCCCCTATGGGCTTGCTTCGCAAGACGAAAATACCTTGCGAGTCTTGAGATTTTTTTCCGCTTCCCCCTTTATCTAATCTGCTAAGCCTTTAATAGCCTTTAATAGCCTTTTAGCAGCTAATCCCTAAGACTTTAAGCCTTTAATAGCCGCTAAACCGCTAATAGCGCTAATAGCACTAATCCGTCAATGGGCTTGCTTCGCAAGACGAAAAAACCGCTAGACGAAGACTCTCGCGGAACGGATTAATTTCGTCTTGCGAGGCACCACTGTACTGTATATGGCATTTTGCTCTGTGCCAACTCCCACCCCCCCACCCCTTTTGAAACTGCAAAAATGACAATCTTCCTTTACCAATTGGGAGTCAACTTTAAATTAGTGAGGCTGCAGGAAGAAGAATGCTTATTGTGGAGTGTTCTGGTACGACAGACTAGGAATCAATGATAAGTCTTCCTTCTGAAACTTAGTTAAGCTTCTTTTAACTACCTTCAGTCTTTGGGCAGAGCCAAGATGAGCCACCGTATAATAAAACTTACCCCTGAGGTTATGATGAACAAATTAATCTACATTTAAGTTACAGATCATGTGCTCACCCACAGTAATGTAAAGAAACAAACCTATAAATGTGTACAGGTGACACCACTGAGTAGGGCCAAGCTAGATCATCAAGTTACTATTGCTCTGAAAGAACGAAGCATTTGCACTGAACTTGTGTTTAATATGTAGTTATACAGCTTACGTGTTCCAAATGTATTTCCTGTGATCTTGAAGGCCTGGACTTGAGCATTGAATATATTGAGAGAAGTTTCATTCGAGATCCAAATACTCTCTTCTGAAAAACACTTGTACGATTTTCCAACTGTAGCTTTGAGAGCACTCAGGCTATCGTTGTCAGCTTTAAATGTTCTTTCTGTATTAAAAAAACGCACAGATGAGATTAAGTAGGACTACACTCTTTTGTAAAGGCACCAGCCCATTTTGCCACCATGTTTTCATAGGTGGTGTGAAGTTACTGATGAGCAGTAACAAGCCAAAAGTCAGGACCCCTTTCCTGCTGTCAGTACAGCATTGTTTTGGACAAGCTATTGCACCAAACTTTATAGGCTATTTGCTTTCCTGGGCTTGAGGACCCTGAAATCATGGTGTGGGTGTCAATCAAACCAGCTGACTGTACTTCAAGGTTCATGGCTTTCTCCCTTATCTCCTAGTGAGCCTTCTAAAAGCTAAAGAATGAATAACCCTGGCATTTCAAACTGGCAGTTAACACAGTTTGTGAATACTTGCATCTCTTTATCTTCTTTGAACTCTTTGCTACTTTGGACATTCTTTGTATCCTTCAAAATCTAAGCTATTAAAGTCATTTTAAAATACATATATATATATTACTTACTTATAGATTCAGGAGGCAGACTTGTGCTCACAGAGATACGGTGCAGAAAATACTTGTCAGTGGTTGAGTTCTTAAAAAGAAAGATAAATCTTAGTTACTGGTTGGGTTTCTTTTAAAAGGCTAGCCTATGCATGCTACAGGGCCACCATATCACTGGTAAAATATGCTGCAGTTGTTAATAGAAAGAGACAACATACATAGCATATACATCTGCATATCATGACAAGCCATAATTAAAACATGGCTTATGTGCATGCACATGCTGCTGAATCACTCCTGCTTCATTCCCTTTGTTGAGCCAGTGACAAAAAACCACAAGCACTGGCAACTACAGATCAAGAACCATGGTTTAAACACTAAAGACGACACTGAAGAAGAAATGCCCTATTTTAAGGGTGTGAACTCCAGATCCCACTGGAATTATTGGTGATTTTAAGATAGTGAGGCTGTTTCATAAGCTCAAGTAAATAAACGGAAAAATACAAAATGGCTATCATGCCAATCTGCTCATTTACAAAATTACAAGTCATCTAAAATTGCCACTTTATTTTTTAACAAGTGCCATTTATTTATTTCCTAATTTGCACCACCTTCCTCCAGGGTGATAAACACACCAATAGTAACATAATGAAAACCTCTAAAGCAACCTTCTAAAAACAGTCTAAAGCTACTGAAGTTCTGCACATAAGCTGTTGTGCCCTGATCCATGATCTTCCCAATTACTGGTAGAAGCAGAGTTATGCTCATAAATAGAGTAATATTTGCATGGTCTATACATGTCAAACACAGCTCCGCCTGTAAATCAGAAGCAGTCAATGTGGAGTCCTCCCAACTTCACTGGCTCCAGCTAGCATGACCAAAAGTCAGGGACAATGAGGGGCATAGACCAATACCATATGGAGTACATCAGCATTCTGTAAGTGTCACATCAAACTATGCTTACCTGCTCAAAATAAAAAACCAGGTCAGTGCTCCCAGAAGTCAAGTTCAGAGTAACTGTGGAATCTCCACAATGCCCAGAGAAAGTTGTATTTGCTGGAAGATTCAACAACTCCCACTTCTTAGTCTTGGAAACAGAAAAACAAAAAGTTATGACATATTTTCTTTTAAAAAAACCTTCTCACTGGAGATTAAGCAATAATGTATGCACTTTCAGTAAATTTGGTGTAAACAGCTTTGGGAACAGTGTGCAGAAACAGGGAAGCAACTTTCCTAGCAGAACACAATAGGGTTAAATTGGATGACTTTACTGTACAGGCTTTGATCTGTATGGATGTTGAAATGAGCACATTATTAAAAAGCCTTTGGTGCACAGCAGTGTTATCTCCTTGATTGTTTTTAAATTTTAGCTATTTTTAATTGTCTTGTTTTGCTGCCCTGGGCTCCTTTGGAAATGGGGGCAGGAAAGAATTTTCAATAATAACCATAGTGCCATGGGGGTGATCAGGAGATCAGCTTTTCCAGATTTTTGCCATGTTTATGATTAGTCTAAATTTAACTGGCAGTTGTGCAAGAATAAGAGATCCTGGCCAAGTGTGCAGGACACAGGGCACAGGTGGACAACACTAACCTCCTTGAAACACATTATTGTGTGGCTGCTGGTGGTGAAGAGCCTGGATTTAATAAGCCCACTAGTCTGGTCTAAGGTGCATTAGCTTCCCATATATCTCTATGTATTGCTATGTATAAAATAATAAATATGGAAGTTACCTGGTTTTTGGTGGTGTAGGTAATATTAAGCTGCAGGCCCATAGAAGCAAGCAAACAGCCAGTCAAATTGTATCGTCCAACATCTGGAGTTTTGGGGGCTGCAGTTGGTGCTGCAGTTGGTGCCACACTTGTAGTTGCGGGAACGGCGGTTGTAGACCCTTTGTCTTCACTACAGACAGTTTCTGGAAGGCAGTGATCACAAATCATAGCATGGAAAGTAGTCAATTAACACCCAGACAACCTTCATTTTTTCACTTTGTCCAGTCTTTTCTCCTACTTTGCTCCCAACTACAAAATGTGTACTTAGCCCCTTTTCGTTTTTGAAAATATATTTTAATATCCCTTGTACAACTGTGTTCTTCGAGGCAATTCATAGTTTGTTAAGCTCAAAAACAAAGACGTTTACTGATAATGCAATCGTTAAAAAGCCCAACAATATGAAACATACGATGAACACGGGAGCTAAATATTTAAGCATCAGCATGAAGCCTGCAGGGGCAAATTTACCACAAAACTCAGGAAGACAATAGCATAGGCAACAGGTGAGCCTTTTTGCAGAGCATTACATAAATGGGGTGCCACCATCAAAAAGACCCTCTCCATGGTAGCCACTCACCTTACCACATTAGGTGTGGAAATGTGGGGAAGAGCCAATGAAAATCTTAAGGCCCCGGGACAGAAATATATGAGAAAATATTCAAGCAGCCTGACCCCAAGCCATTTAGGGCTTTAAAGGTTAAAACCAACACTTTGGATTGGGCCCAGAAAATGGGCTGGAAGCTACTGCACCTGTGCAATATGATTTTATTTGCCAATCCCCATCAGTAGTCTGACCACTCTTATTTTGGACCAACTCAAGTTTCTAGATAATTTTCAAGGGCACAATGCTGTATTCCAACCAGGAGCTTTGTTGAGTCATAGGTCAACCAAAACTGATAAAAGGTGCTCCAAATCACTGGACCACCTAAACCTCATGGGGGGGGGGGCAGCAGAGTGCTGGATCTAGAAGCACCCACAAGCTAACTTTTTGTCCTTCACATGTTTTGGACCATGATGAACTGCAGCCAATATGACTGTGCTGTAGTTGGAGGAGCCTGAGCCACAGTACAAAATATCTAGAGGGCACTGGTTTGGCAATGGCTGGGCCTATGATACTGAAAGCTGCTGACAGGTAAGAGAATCAATTAGGTCACACTCTTCACCTGTCTTGGCAGAGAACATCTCATAGGGAAACACAGGCAGTTTCTGTTCTGTTCCAAACCCAGTCCTAATACCTCACTAAGGTGGGTCTAGAAAATCAGAGCCATCCAAGAGAGCTTGGAGCAGCTAAGCCTAGGCAAAGTTCCTGTCTCACTCAGGTGCTGTATAGCTTGGATCCACTCCCTCTCACAAGGATGAATTTACATTCTCCTGGATCCAGGCAGACAGCCCCTTCCTAACACAAGTGGTTGGTCAAACTAGTCCAGAGCCATGTCACTACCCTCAGACCTCATTAATTGAAACTCCAAGCAATAAATTGGACCAGACAGTGTTATGGAGCCCACCTAAGGCACTGCACTAAAAGTGAAAGGTGCGAGGAAACAGGCATAATTATCATCAGTCAACATTTCTTTTCAATCTCCATTTCAAAGAACACTTTGATAGGAACACCCACCCACCAGATACTAACTGTTACTTTACCCCCCCAACAAAAGACTAGATAAAATTCCACCAAGACCCAGTGAACCCAAACACCCAGTTAGCAATAGTTAAATGGCCAACAAACCTTCTCCCTTCTTTAACTCCAGGCACCAACTAGCTTCTCAGAAATGACTCCATCACTAAATTGCTCCCTTAAAAGGTTAATAGGGTAGCCCTCTCCCTCATATTACCCCCTCCACTGACAATGGCACAGCAAAACACACACCCTTGCTTGAAGTAGTCAAGGCTCTTGGCCTTTCTCAGCAAATTCTATCAGCTGTGAGGACTGATGTGAGTCTCATAGCAGGGATGGTGGCAGCTGGTGCTCTCGCCCCCAGCCGGGTTTTTTGTGTGGTAGCAGTGAGGAGCAGAGACCAGATGGCAAAACAGATCTCCTGCTGTCCTACCTGTGGCACTGCTGTTCCAAATTCACCCTTGTATTTTGAAGGAAGCGGTGTCTCAAACTAAACTTGGGTGTCAGGCTCCTCAGTGTGATAGCAATTTGCTTCCTGGAAACGGGCCATTTCAAAATTCATTCATTTGCTGCTACATTGCCGTTTCACAGATTGCACACAGCAAAGAGGGCTCCTCCTGTTCTTCCAAAACAGAACACTGTCGGAAAGACAAGTGAAAAAGAGAACTGGGAGGAAGGTTCTCCCAATTTGCTCTTCTCTTGTCCTTTCCAACTAGGCTTCAGCTGCATTTGCCAGTAATACTTACTACTTCCAAACTTATTAACAATACCCTTCGGCTTTCTGCATGATAAGTTGTTGGCATTCAAATCCAATGCTTTACAAAGACTGTTTTGGCTTTCCCCAATCAGAAACTCATTTTACATAAACCATTACAAAATAGCAATCTTTCAGCACAACCCCAGACCTACAGAGAAAATGAGAGTCCCTGGGGTATGACTAGTTCCAGTGGGAAGAGTTGGCATGCCATAAGCTTTTTGAAAATACAATGCTTACCTTTTCCACTGAAGGTGTTGTTTACAAGGTATGCTTCAAGCGTAACGTTGCTGAGAAGGACAGTCACATTTTTCATGCTTATGGTGTTGTTGCTATGACATGTATATGTTGTCCTTAAGCCTGCTCGAATATCAGTTTCTTCGGACACATTTCTTGCTCCAGCTGCAGAAAGTGTGCAATTGTATTAGTGTGTGATGGTCTTCAGATAATTTCTCCATAAATATGGCAACCATCCTATGTACCACCAACCCAGCTACCTTCATCATACTGTACTTTGCAAAGCCTCAAAACACTTACTTTCATTTGAGTTGGGGAAAAGGCTGGCATCTGACAAGTTGTAGGTGAAAGTCAGACTCTTGACAATGTAGACATCTGCATTTCTTACAAATGCCATCTTTAATGAGTTATTGTTGCTAAATCCAATTGCAAGAACTTCTGAAGTGTCGTTTGGCTTGCCACATGTGCTTTCTGGCAGTACCACGGCATTAGAAGGAAGTGAAAAGACCTTGACCTAACAGACAAAAACAGTATTGCTGTTATAGTGAGCATCAGAACTGTTGTAAACATCAAACAATCAAAAGTAAGTAAAATGCTTCAAGGCACTCAATAACCATAGTAGATTTTTGGGGGTGGGGGTGGGAATACAAAGTCAACCTATGTACGTTTTAGTGGTGCACCTTTGGGTCAGGATCAAATTGCCGTTTAATTTCTACAATGTAGGATAAGGCTTTAGAGTGAAGTGTGGGAAGGAAGGATCCCATGCCAAGTAAAAATGTGTTTTGCTTGTTTTTTATTTATTAACTAAAGGTTAGGCAGGTGGGGTGTGCGTTGGGGAAAGAATAATCCCTCCCTATGTTTTAGAAAGGATTTGGCACAGAGTAGGTTGGGGCTTACCACATTTCGTTTCTGTCTCTATTCCTAAACCAGGCAGGCATACGTAGCAACAGAAAGTTAGCAAAACAATAGTGACAGAACCAATGGCGTACTGATTAGAATGCTGGACTAGAACAAGGGAGATTCAGGTTCAAATCCTAACACAGCTATGAAGCAGATTTTGTGACACTGTGCCAGTCATTGTCTCTCAGCCTGAATTACTTTACAGGGGTATTACAAGAATAAAATGGGGCTTTAGCTTCTTGGAGGGAAGGCAGGATAAAAATTGTAAAATTTAGCCGAATCTCCTTTCCTGCAATTTCTATCCATTAGCTCCAGTTCTGCCCTCTGTCAGCTCCATTTTCTGCATGCTATTTTTGAAAACTGCTATTGTGCCTACACCCTATCTTCTCGTCTCAGGCTAAACATGTCCAGCTTTTTCAACCATTCCTCATAGAATTTGGTTTCCAGACTCCTCTGCACTTGGGTCACTCTTCTCGAGGCACACTCTCCTCTTTCAGTGTCCTCTTTAAAATGTGATGCCCATAACAGTACACAGCTGTAGCCTGACTAGTGCAGAATGGAGTGGAACTACTACTTCTCATGGTATGATTCTGGACACAATGCTGCTACCAAGGCAGCCTAAACTTTCATTGGCTTTTTTTAGTAGCTGCACTGGTGGCTCGAGTTTAATTTGTGACTAACAAACCTTTAGTTACTAAAGATACTTGTTTTTCACATGTATTGCTTCAAAGCAGGTCTCCCCTATTTCTACACTTGTGGCCTTGATTTTGTAAACATAGAACTTTACAATTTCTCACTGTTCAACTTTATCTTGCTGGTTTGGGTACCATGTTTTAGCCAGTGATAATCACTTTGAGTCTTGATTCTGTCTTCTTCCAAGCTTCCTGTCATCTACAAATTTGATAAGCATATCCTCTACACCCTCATCCAAGGGATTTATAAAGATGTTAAAAGGCACAGGGCCTCAGACAGATCCTGTGCACTACTTCACTCAGGACCTTCCTCTAGGTCAGGGTTTCCCAAATTTGGGTCTCCAGCTGTTTTGGACTCGATACTCATCATCCCTGACCACTAGCTAGGGATGATGGGAGCTGTAGTCCAAAAACAGCTGAAGACCTAAGTCTGGGAAACTCTGCTCAAGGTTGATGCAGAGACCATTAATGAGCACATGGTGAATACGGTTGTTTGAGCAGCTATATAAGTGAAGTAAGCATTGTGTGCCTTATAAACAGGGCTATTTTTAATCCTATATTTGCTTTGGGGCATTATTACTGATCCCAAGGAATTGGGTTAGGACATAATTTTATGTATAACTAAATTTTACCCTCATCTCCCACCAGTAAATGATATTACAAACTTGTTTTCCATCAAGCTCTGCCTTCAGTTGACCACAAACACTTCAGCAAAGTACTTTCCTTTCTGAGTGAGTTTTGAGCCAATTCATGCATCACTTTCATGGCGTACATTTAAAATTATTTTCCTACCATGTGGATAGGATGAACATATACACATACTAACAAATCAGAGACCAAGGTTTAACTGCCGCTCCCAATCAAATATAGAAATCCAAAATTTCTTCAAACAGACTCAACCGTGAGTGCAAATTAAGCAGCTTCAGCTCTGAAAGCAGCATCTTGCTGCCTTTAGCCACACAACATAGCACCTTAAAAGTTATGTCTCTGTAAGCAGCTTTCTGGCCCACCGCTCATTTAAGCTTCAGCATCCTCACCTCTTTACTGGTTTTTGTGTTGTATTCCACTTTAAATAGCACAGAAAAATTGGCTAATATGCAGGTTTTGTTTTTCCCATCTCTTACTTCAAACGCTGAAGATGCTTGTAAAAATCCTGCAAACAGAAAGCAATAAATATCAAGAAGTGCAATGCCGATAGACATCTTTGAAGAATACATGCAACGTCCATATGTAACGATGGGCTTCACTAGGACAGATGACTTTTGTGGAAGCAGAATATGATTGCTTTTAGAAAGCCTGCACTTACTCAGTGCAGGCACCTCCCCACTCGCACACAATTGATTTTGGCGTCAAAGAGGGTGGGGTAGAAGGGACCCCCATGCAGCCAACAAGAACAGAACCCCCACATAAGCGAGGATTCCCCTGTAGCAATTCTTGCTCGCAACACATTTTAGTGTGAAGATAATCTAAGCCATTATTATTAAACACACAATATTTAAGAACCTATTATGTATTAGTGCGTTTCTACATTCATACAAAGCATGTTCCAAAGGGATGAAAAACTCTTAAGCAACCATGAGAATGATGTAAGGAAAGTTAATTTATGCCAACCAGAATCACAACCTTTGTTTGCAAAATGGTTCATTGTATCTCCACTGGCTTTATTTGTATCTAGTCCTCTTGATAATACACTGATAAAGAGCCCTGTTACAAAACTACCAAACATTCTTGTTAAATTTGTCACGTGAGAAACACAAGCTAACAAGTTTTATCTACATGCTAAAGAATCATTTTCATTTGAAAATATACAAAAGCAGAAAACTCACCACATCTCCATTTTTTTATACTTTTAATTGTTTATATGAATGGGTAGTATATATTTTCATAAATACAATACCAATACTCAAGTGTACAAGACAGCTTTTTAGTAACTGAGCCATGGCTTACATTAAGGCTGTACGACACACACAAAAATACTATCTAAATAATCACTCCCATTTTACTGAAAATTAAAGGCATGTAGAAATCCCCACCCCACAAAGGTGTTTGAGTATATTCTACCTCTGGCAGTGATCAGTATTTTTAAAATGTGAACAGGCAATATTAAGTTGACCTCAGCTATCAGATGTCTTCATTAATAAGGTTCTAGTTTCTACAGTACAGGCTGTTGCCAAAGGCAACTACAGATTACCACCTGCAGGAGCTAATGATTTACTCAAATTGCACCAACATATGAAGATCTGCACAAAGGACAATTTTTTAAACCTCCACCTTTTTAAAACTGTGCAACTATAACACGTGTGTGTGGAAGTCTCAACAGGACCCTACCCCCTAATTTAAGCTAGAATCTTATATGCTTTCCCTCTAGATTTTACACGAGTAGTACCGGTACATTGTTAGGCTTTTTCTACAACAGTGACATGTTTTGTCAGAGGGGAGAACAGGAAAGGGTTAGGGAGGTGCTAGGCCAGGGGGTGGGGAACTGGATAGCCAAAACTAAACAACTCTGTGAAGTGAACTGAATACAGGTTTGCCCAGCAATATGCAAGCGGGTTGGACTAGATGACCCTCAGGATCCCTTCCAACTTTACAATTGCATGATTCAGGCTAAGATACCATTCAGTCAACTGTTCAACAGGCACAGAGTCTGGTATACCAAGCTTCTCATCCTCTCTCCAAAGGCCAGCCAACCAGCACGTCTTAACTTTTCTCTAGTGGATTTGACTTGAGAGCAAACATCATGTACTGTGAATTTAAGACTGGCTGTACGTTGCTGAAACTTTCCATTGCCTATGACTGATTTGTGCTTCTTTGTCCTCTTCCACAACAACCATGTGCAAGCTGTGAGACTACTGAAAAGTTAAGCAGCACGTGAATTTGTTTTCAATTGCTATAGAGCCAAACCATTAATAGGTAAAATATGTTTAATTGTCCGACAGCCTTAATACTGAAATAATACTTTCCCCCCAGTGCTTCCCCTTTCCTTCCGAACTGTAGCGACTTTCTTCCCTCTCCAAAAACACAAACAACTATCTTGGAATATCAAGTAGTGACCTGCCAATGAAGAAGCATTGTTGGAAGACACAAAAATCGAGCAAGTTTCACAGCCTGATTATACCCCATCATTTTGTTGATTTTGTCATTTTTGAACATGCTGGAGTGGCAGCAATTCAAGCCCATTATGAAAGTGCATTCATACAAGTTTTTTCTCCCAGGAACTGCTTAATGCAGAGAGAAGGGCAAAGTCCACTGCAATGTTTTCCTCTTCTACTTAAAAATGCAGGAAGGCTGTAAGCTGTTTGTACTTCTGGATGACAAGTTTTACTGCAGTAGAATTGTGTTCCATTTGTTGTCAGAGGTCTCCTAACATTTAATTGGGAGTATATACCATGGAGAGATTCCTCTAAAATGGAAGAAAACTGCTACAGAAATCTGCATTGCAAACACACTGCTACATCTCTGAATTGTTTGAATTGTATGGCAGACTCAGAAAGAAACAAATGAGCTACACTTCCAAAACAGCATCCAACGAATAGAACATATTCTCCACAAGAGACTAGTCTAGCTTATCCAACTTTGAGAACAGGTGTTTCAAGCAGTTTTAAATCACTTAGTGCACAATCCAAACTCCTGATGTGCCAAACAGTTTCACCAGCCTCTGTGGGATGGGATGGGGCTAAGCTGGCCTAAGATCCAGGCCCCATCCCTACAATAGCTCCGGAAGCAGAATTTTGCCTGCCCTGCACCCTGGCAATGAGAGCAATAGAGATGCAGACGTTGTGGAAGCTCCGCTGCTCTATGTGTTTCTGCTGCCCAACCAGGGTTTGGATTGCTCTGCCAGCGTATTTTCAATGCCAGTTTCTTTAAAGACTTTTGTCATCAAATATTCATACCCTATGCAAATAATATTTTAACCAAAATGCTTGCTTGGTTTTTTAAAGATATGCACCAGAACCAAGAAACACAAAGGCCTTTTTTAAAATAGATAAATCCTTTTTACTGGCCAATTCTCACTGGTTTGCAACTATCAGCATTATGCAATACAGAGCTGGAACTGCTTATTAGGAAAAGGATAGGTGCTTTACAATATGCAAGCTAACAAGATGAATATATAAATCAAAAGAAGACACACCTGCCTTACTCACTCAACACCATATTAATAGGGTGAAAGAGGCATTTTAAATACAGTGTGTGGACAAATGAAATTTTTAACCTGTGGGATCCATGGAAAGTTTCTTTGTATTTGCGAGCGCATTTAAGATCTGCAGGCAGGCAGCAAACTAGGGCACTAGTCTGACTGTAGCCCCACCCGTGCATTTCACAATACTGTACTGCACTATGGGAGAATGGCTGCTCCAACCCTTTATGCAAGTGGATAAGAGCAGAGACAGGAAGACTCCAGGGCAGCCTGAATCACTCTCTACATGATGTGTGCCATGCTCAGAATAGTAGAATGGTAGCTACATGTTTCATGCAATGAGAATCTGAACCATGGAGATACCTAGTCAACTTGAGTGAAGAGCAGCTATGTGGGAAAGCAGTTCACATTAGGATTGCGCACCCCATCTTAACTTATGAGTAAGGCTAGGTTAAGTTTCAGTGGATCATTTAATAGTAAATCTTGAAACCAAAAAGTTCATGGTTATGCAAGACAATTTATTACAGCTTCCTGCTAAATAGTTGTCCCGGCCCAGATTTCATGCTGCATCAGCTCTTCCTGAGTAAGAAATTCTATGCTACGGATAAACATAAAACACAAGTGTTAGTGGAAAGTCATTTGTAAGCTTCATGTTTTGGATTATACGTATGTGAAATGAGCTGGTACAAAGAGATGTTTCTAGTGTTTATGCACCAATGTAGGTTGCTTCCTTGTGACTATGGGGCAACTGCAGATAAACCTATGGAAGGAATATTACCCTTCCAATAAAGCAGCCATTTTAAAAAGCAACTCCCCCACTGCTTTTCATCTGATAAAGGCACCTCCGTCCTCCGTCATGAGCCCTTTTAAGTTAGTGCCTTTTAGAAAGAGATTAGATGACACCAATTTGTCAGCAACTCTGTAATATATGCAAGGACTTTGGGCCAACACTGCACTGGGAAGATCCTAACTTGCATATCAAGAGTTTGGCAGCACTGCAGTGTTCAGACTTGACACACTTTTCTAAAAACACTATCTGTGCAATTTTCAAAAGCTGAATTGGTGGCCATTAATTTAAAGCAAGAAACACCTGCTATGTTTTCCAAATACAGCTTCTTAACACCTAAACTGGACAAGTCCACTGCAGAAGGGAGTTAAAACCCTCCAACAATTATCTACATATCCAGAGCCCTCGGCCTCATTTAGGGCACTGGAAGGATTATCATTCCTTTTACAGCTCTTGTTTATCTTCTTTGTTTGCTCCTAGTAAATCAACTAGAGTTTGGCAGTTCTGGAGAGATATCTACCAGGCCTTGCAGTTAGCTGAATTATTGTGCACATGCACAAGGATTCTGTACCATGAAATCCATTCAAACTGCCCAAAGTTTCAAATTGTTATAGAAACCTCATCTCATGCCATAAAGCTGATTCTAGTTCAACCAACTGTAGTTGACAGCTGATCTGGAAAGTTTAAGAAAGCCAGCCATTTTCATGTAGGCAAAGATGTACTAAGTTTATAGTTGCTTATGGAAATTTATTCCAAAGTCCTGAAATAATCAAGTTCAAGAGAAGCCACCAGTCAAAGTTACAGCTCCTACACAATTAGATATCAGTTAACAATATTATATTTCACTGAGCACCCGTAAGTCTTTTGAAGACATGGGCATGAATGAGAGTTCAAGAGAAGACAACAGTTGACCAAAGAGTACTAAATCATCCAACAACAAATATTGTTTGTAGGCAGTAAAAGAACATGCTCTCCTGTCCTTTTAAAACCTTTATTTTGGTGCACAGCAGGAAACTGCAAAGTGAAACTTGAGGGAGCATCATATAAGCAAACTAAAGTTGAATTTCAGGAAAAAGCAGGTATCACACCCAGAATAAAATCCACTGACAATCAAATCCATGAATGTATCTTTAAAGAATCCAAGTTCAAAACCATTAAAAACACACACCAAGTACACATAATTAGTTAAAGTAAAATAAGTATTCATTATTTTGCAGTAAAAGGGGAGACTAGTATCATTACTCCCAGGTTTGTCTCTGGTTTTCCTAATATTTGTGTTTTAATGCCTTTAAAACATTGTAAATAAACCACTCTTGAATTTGCTATACAGTATGTAGCTTTTTACTTCTAACATACCTCTGCTTTTTTACAATAGGCCCAAATACTTCAGCCTATAATGGCAAGGCTAACTTTAATGACAAAAGTGAGAAAAGGAATCCTGGGGAAAAACACTTCAGGATATACATAGCCACCATGTACTGAGTTGGGATGGAATAAGGCAGACCAGTGATTGCAGACTAATAATCAAATACAAATCAAATCAAATCAAATCAAATCAAATACAAATCAAGTCAAAGCAGCACAAAAGGACACAAATTCATGAGTCATACTTGTTCTAAATTCTATACTCTGGCCTACATTACTGGGATGCCCAGGTTTTCTCATTGACCTCATGCTATAGTGAGAAGATTGTATGATTTACAGCCTAATCCTATGAATATTTACTTGGGGGATAAAGTCCCACTGAGTGCAAGAGAACCTGTAGAAATCTCTGCAAGATAACAGCTTCATATCACCAGTGTTATACAGCCAGTGATAGAGGTACTGAAACTAGACAATGCCACTTAGGAGAAAAAAACCAGCAGAAGACAACTACTATCAGGAGAGAAGAATTTCACCTTCAGCTGGGTCACCTATTACATTCTAAGTTCCTTCACATTTGCTACATCTAGTTTCCACAAAACACAAGTTTGGGAAGATGGGGAATGCCTTGCAAAACAGCAGGGATGCAGAACCTCTTTTAGATGGGAGGACACATTCCCTTCTGAGAAGCCTTCCTAAACCACATGCCAATTATGGGTGGGGCCAGAGGTAAAAGTGGGCAGAACAACAAATGTATATTTCACCTTTGTACAGCAGGTTGGTTTGTTCACTCTCACTCTCAAACAAGCCTTCCTATCCTCCATCCAGAGAAACAAGACGACTTATCAGAGTTTAGCCAAATATTCACAAGAAGGCTACAGCAGTGCAGTGAGGGTCAGCCAGAGTGGCCTCAAGGGAGCATTGCCAGTTTTGTTGGTACAATCAAGCAGAGAGGAAACCCTCAGTGCTCTCTGCACCAATATACCAACAGTGAAAGTTATCTATTTCAAATTAGCAGCATGCAAGGCCTCAAGCACAAGAAGGCAAACAAGTTCTCTTGCTCACACCTGTGTTGCTAGAAGAGGGCGCTTCCGCAAAAAAAAAAAAAAGTTGTTTGCAGAGCTGCTGGGGTAAAACAGAACATAGGGACACAGGATTTGAGCAGCCTTCAAAACACAGTTGCCTTGGAAGGAGAACAATAAAGTGGCAGTATGTTTCTTAAGATATGCAGCTGCAGCCAAAAGGAATTAGGCGTCAAGGTTTAAGGTTACAAAGCCATCCACACCCTGGGTGTGCAAGCTAGGCAACGGTTGGAGCAAAGCTACAGCAGCAACTAGTCACCATCTCACAATACAGTGACCTGGAGGAAAAGTAGGTGGTCAGCTCTGAAGATTAATAATAATAATAATTTTATTATATATACCCCACCCATCTGGCTGGGTTTCCCTAGCTGGGCGGCTTCCAGCACATAAGGGGAGAAGGATGGGGGACGACGACATGGGTTTCGGTATACAGCCAAATCACACCTGCCTAACTGAGGAGAGGCAGCTCCTTTAAACGTTGAATTCCGCGTTAGCGGTTGAACTGCATTAAAGTACACCGTGTCCTGCGCCACCGTTTCCCACGGCGGAAAACAGTCCTCTTGCTTCTCCCTAACGCGGAGAGGCTGCTCTGCCCTCAGGGCCGCATGGGAGGCCCGCCTGCCCTTTGGCGCAGACACCTGGCCCGCTAACTTCCCAGGTGTGGGGGAAGGAAGCGGCTGCGGCGACCCCGCGGCCCGGGCTCGGCTCCAGGGAGAGGCGCCACACGGGAGGAGGCCGCCGCCGCCGCCTTTTTCCTCGCCGCGGGGCTTCCACGCACAGGGCCTCGAGCGGAGGGCAAGGGGCGGCGGCGGCAGGCAGGGCGCTCCTTCCCTCCTCAGGGAAGCGGCGGAGACCCGCGAGAGGCCTGCGAAAGGAAGCCGCCGCCGCGGATACTCACCCAGCAGGGCCGCCGCCAGGAGCAACCCCCAGCTGTACCGAGGCGCCATGACAGGAGCGGGCCGAGACGGGAGACAGAGAGAAGAACGCGAAGCTGAGCGGGGAGCGCAAACTGAGGAACGTCGGCGTCGGCAGCACCGAAAAACGCCGAGAGGCGCGTCACGTGATCGACGTAGTCGTCGCCGTCGGCCCACCGCTTTTTTTTTTTTTACCTCCGTCACCTGATCTTAATAAACCACGCCCGGCCTCTTTAATAAAGAGTGGGGAGGGGGGCAGAGAGAAAGAGAAGACGGGCAGAACCAGAGCCGTGATCTCGCGAGAACGGAGAGAAGCAGGCCATAGGTTGAGGCCGTTGAGGGGCTTTCTTCCCCCCCTTTTTTTTAACTGTAGCTTTTTAACCGATTTCGGTTCGTTCTCACGTCACGGGGCCGAACTGCTAATAGCGAAATACAGTGGTTCCTCGGGTTACAGGTGCTTCAGGCTACAGACTCCCTCGGGTTAAGTAGTACCTCGGGTTAAGAACTTTACCTCAGGATGAGAACAGAAATCGTTTGGCGGTAGCGGGAGGCTCCATTAGCTAAAGTGGTACCTCAGGTTAAGAACAGCTTCAGGTTAAGAACGGACCTCCGGAACGAATTAAGTTCTTAACCCGAGGTACCACTGTATAGGGGAAGCTCGAATCGGCTTGTGGCGATTATAATCACTATTAGGCCCGCAGCCCATCCTGGCTGGGAATTTGTTGCGGGGAAAACGACGCTCTTCCCGTGCGTCGTCCGAGGTCGGCTGGTGGCAGGAGTTTGGTTTCCTTTGGGAGGCTGCTCTGGGGTCAGTGCCAAGGAAATTACTCCAATGTCACATGAGCTCTCGCGATAGAGTCATTTTTTAAAAAGAAATTTTATTATTGTGTGGGCGGAGAGGGAAAACAAATTTTATCCGAAATATAAATCCTCTACTGGAAGGTTCTCAGAAAAAGCAAGAGAGCCCCTAACAAATGGGGCTTGTCGGTTGTACTGTCGCCACAAACGCGACTTGATAGGCATTTCAACTACAGACATTTTAGGGCGAGGGGCAGGGAAAGTCACATAACAACATGCCAGTGAGACAGCAGAAACCTAAACACAAGCTGCGTAAGTTTGAAGTTGCTTTACGTTGAGCTGAAAGAAGTTTTAAGACCTGCTCTGGCTTCTGAAGCCACCTGCAGCAAATGGAGGTGACAACCTACCAATGCCACGAAACCTCACTAAAATGGCTACTGCTGTCACTGGTCATTACTGCCTTTAAAAAGAAAAAGGACGCTAACAAAAAAGAGGTCAAGAGAGGGACTAACGGAAGAGGGTAGATATGAAAATGAGCTTGGCAAACAGGAGGCAGTCTTTCGAGTTCCCCCTCTCCCATCCCTTGATTGATTATTGGAGTCGAATATTTCCCTTTATCTCTCTATAAATGCATCTCTAATGCAGTTGTCTCCCACATCCAAATGACCAGGCACAGAACACTGGAAAGCTGTAAACTGAACCATTTTCAGGCCATCAGTATAGGCAGATGTGCAAGCAAAAATCTAGTACTAACTGGGAGAATTACTACGTTTATTTAAAATTGTAGTGTTGACAATAATAATTTATAAAATACATGTTATTAACTTTTATATTTTTATTTTTCTCTTTTATACTTTTTCAAGCAATCGATAAGTTTTGATTAGTAAACTGAAGTAGGATCCTGGTTACTGATATATGTTGTTTTGGTTTATTATTTTGTTTTCCAGTCTAAATAATAATGTAGCTATATTTATTGTAGAGATATTGCCCATAACTTTGTTAACAGCCTTCTGTGCAAGCTTCCAAGCTGAACAAGTGTTGCAGGAAATAAAGCAGTACTGGAGACAAGAAAAGAAAAATGAGGATGTACTTTGTAAAAATACTGAAACATTGAACTAATCCCTTGTATGAATCGTCATGAAGGTTCTTGTCTTTTAGAAAGAGGCATACTCATTATAGCATTAAAAAGGTAGCAACACAATTTTACTAATATTGGATAGACAATACTCCATGCTATTGCAAATAGGAAAGAGATTGTCACATTCATACAGTGGAAAAGCAGTTACTATGCACGACATCTGCTTTAAGTAAAAATCAGATTTAAAAGTTTCTATTTGCTTAAGATTTTTTTTTTTTTGAAACAGGAAAATTGGAAGGAAAATTCAATGAATGTTGGATTCATCACTAACTCATAGTAATGCAGATGAGAAAAGGATTTTAATTTGCAGAAGTCAAAATAATACAAGGGAGTTTATATAATAAACCAAGTTACTAATTTTATGCAAAGCATTTTAATAAAGATACTACTAACATTAATGACACAAAAGGTCAAACTCCCTTTGGTTTCTTTTAAACATACATCATTATGCGTATCCTGTAAAGCCAGCAGTTACAACTGTCTGTTAACATCGCTTTCTTTCTTCAAAGTTCGGTGAATTTCCATGTAAATGATATGAAACAAGCTACTTCATCTGTCAAGGTAAAACTATGAGAACAATCAAATCTTCCTGCGTGCAGAAAGTCCAGAGAAACTTTGCAAATGAATGCACAGTATGGGATACAAGGGAGGAAAGCTACCACAATAGGAGTATTTTCTCATGTTTTCTCATGTTTCAGCAAGTATGATCCGAAGAGGAGCTGGATTGTTTTTGTTACAGGGCAAAAAAGCCTTAAAAAAATATTTTGAAATTTTCTAAGATCATGCCACTGTAATTACCCTGTGTGTAACTTTTAGAATAAAACTATATTATCCTGTAGTTTCATTTTTTTTACATGAAAGGTTATAAACAATTATCCCAGAGCTAGAAAGTGCTTATTTGGTTCACCTTCATGTGGCCAAGAAGAAAATATATTTCACCAATGAATATCTGAGCTCATTAGAAAGCTCATCTATTGTTTTTAATGCAGTTATCCTCTTGGCACTTGATCCATCTAAACAGGGATAAGGTATAGAAAACAAAAAGACAAAACAAAAATCTAACAGAACAAACTAGAATTCTTGGTGCATAGTTAAAACTTCAGTGTACCCCGAGACCACTGATTGTTCTTCAACAGTGTTTAAAAGAAACTCAAATAATTCTTGAAGCGAAAAATGGCAGCGTAAAGTATTTTTATGATGTGCTGTCAAACACACACAACCACTCTTCAGGCAAAAGAATTATATCATACAGAGGACAATTACCATTCACTCCAACTCCAAAATAAATTTTGAACAGAATTCTGAAAGAAATCAAGAAGCAGATCTAAAAATAATTGTCTCTGAATACCACCACAGATTCTAGGCAAGGATGTTTCAAGTATCAGCAGTACATGCAGCTGCTTAATGAACATCATTCCCAGTTCTGCTAAAAGTAAGGTTTGGGAACAACACAAGTATCCATTGTTGGGAAGCTAATGTCCTCCTGTTTTATAAAAACAGTTTCCTCCTCATCATGCAACATAGTGGTACTGATTAGGGTTATCTTTGTCTCTCTCCATATAGTCTCTGTCTATGAGAGATTCAATCCGCTTTTTCAAGTCTCCAGGCTGTAATAAGAGAATAAGTTGACACTGTTTAGCAATGTAAGGACAAAGGAAATAAAATACTAGAGAGAGACAGACAGACAGAGAGAGAGACAGACAGATTGAGACAACACTCTGAAAACGATAATGTATTCTGTGATCACAGTAATTTTACCATAATTGTGCTCCCAATTTTGCCTCTCCCTTACTGTATTATACATTAATATTTCACTCACCTTTACTGGAAATTTTAGCTGATTATATAACTCTGAAACAAGAAGATTGTGACTGAGTGTCTTCCTCATCTTCATTATTCGTACTATAGCTGCATCAATCTGATACTGTCTATCTTGAAACACCCTTTCAGTTGTGCTGACTTGCTCTTCGACCTGTACGGCAAGTATGAAAAATATGCATCAATTACCCTGACACACAAACACACACGTGCTTACATACATGCATATTACTTGGTTAATTATACTTAATTGATAGTATGGAGAGAGGATCTATACCAAAAGAATTGGGGGATTAGTCAAGAGTGAAACAAAAGTCAACTAATGGTTGCATCATGTAAATTTGCCTCTCAGAAAGGAAAGGCAGCACAGGGTATGACTGAAAATAAAGGTCAGATAAATATTTACAAATTATCTACAAATTTAACTGGCTGAATCCATAACCATGTCAAATGTTTAGTTTTTACCCCTCAAAACAACCCCCCTCTCTGAGTCTAATACTACAATACTTGGTTGAGCCCGGAACAAAAGCACTTCTATTCAGAGCTGAGAATACAGCACATTTTTCATACATGTCTTAACCTCTCTTGGTTAAACCCAAACACCACCGCACTATAGACAGACTATTCCAAAGAGCTGTCCGCATCGAATACATACCGTTTCTTTCATCTGGATTTGATTGATCTTTATTCTGAACAATTTATGCTTAAAATCACCATTAAAGGCAAATTTGTCTCCATCTTCTACATCCTTTCCTCTTGGACTTTTATTCAGCACTCTTGCTTTACCACAGGCCAGAGACTGCAAGGTTCTTTTTAATTCGCTGTCCTCTGTGAAAGGGGTTTAAAATGCAAACACACAGTGGAAAACTGTTTACAATTGCTGTATCAATTGCCACAAAGCACAGACTGAAGAAGAAATGAGCTGGAAAAGTGTTGAGATAGGGGCAGGTAGAGATTGCTCTAGTTCAGTCCTGAAAATTTACACATATCTACTTGCTTAGGGGAGTTAACAATATCCTAGGAGATCAGGATATCAAACAGCATATTACAAACTGCTTCTGTCCCCCTCCCTTCTGCTATAGTGCAGAAGACTGTGAAATATAAGCCTGCCATATACAGGTACAGTAGCACCTCGGCTTACGTTACCCTCGGGTAACGTAAACTTCGGATAGCGAAAGCGGCAAACCCGGAAGTGTTTCACCCCGCGCACATGAGCAAGAAATGCTCTACTACACCGTGAGCATGCACAGAAGCAGTCTGCCGCCACATGTGCAGAAGCGGTCCCTCCGGTTGAGGAAACCTCGGGATCCGACTGGAGTTCTGAAACGGATCCCGTCCGCAACCGGAGGTACCACTGTACAACTACCATAGTAGTTTGCTTGGGGAAACACAGCAGTACTATTGTGGATCCATGTGCCTCCCCTGGTTTTCTTCTGTGCTTAAGTATAGAAAAAAGCATGAGGGAATTGCCAGCTACCATAATGCAGTGCAATCCATAGGTACAATATTCAGTTCAGAGTTCCATTCAGTTCAGAGCCCAGGGTCAACTACATCCTGTATGTCATAAGCAGTTATTGGAAAAACCGCTATTTGCAGCCTAAATGTGTTCCACAATATATTCTGAAACAACAGTAGTAACATGTAGTACTGGTATCTCTTTGTATTCATGTTTACCTCTATTAATAAAGCTCTTGTAACAAGTCATTCTCCTGTACAGTGGTACCTCTACTTATGTTCACCTCCGGTTATGTATCCTTCAGGACACGTACGTGGCAAACCCCGAAGTATTTTTCCGGGTTTCGCCAGGCATGCATGCGCAGAAGCACTCTACCGCGCCGCATGTGTGTGCAAAACAGGCACTTCCGGTTGCAGAAAACTCAGGATCTGACCGGAGCTCCGGAATGGATCCCGTCTGCAACCAGAGGTACCACTGTATTTTAATCCGATCACATTTATGCCAGATCAAATCCACAAGATACCTATCTTTTCAAAAACTATTACATACCTATACCAGTGGCCATTTTAATTTCTTCAAAACTGAATTCATCTCCTTCATTGAACATTAAAAGCACTAAGGTTTGGAAGAGTGACACCTGAAACTCCTTCTTGCCCTAAAACAAACAAAATATTTATATTTATAACATTACACACATACACACACACACTAGCCTAACTGTTAATGAAGCTGTCCCCTGTTCTTTACCAAAGGTCATTTATCTGCAGGTGGACAGAACGATTACAAACAAGTAATATACATAAGCTGAACACTGGAATGGGTTAAGTTACCTGCCATACTCTACCATATCTTTAGGCCTTGGCTAAGCCAGGATAAAGGACTTATGCCAATGTATCTCCAGATGAGCAGGCTCTATGCTGGAGAGCCAACTATTCTAAACTCCCCTCATTCAGGAGGATCTTGGGTTTGAGTTGCTCCCTTTGTGTTAAAAAGGCAGGAAGAAGGAAACTGATGGATGACAGGTTTGGCATTAAACCATTCTGAGCTAAAGTGAAATTCAGCCTAGGAATTTCCAAAACCCACCTCTGCTATTTCCAAAAGAAGAAGAAGAAGAAAAAGAGTTCGGATTTGATATCCCGCCTTTCACTCCCCTTCAGGAGTCTCAAAGCGGCTAACATTCTCCTTTCCCTTCGTCCCCCACAACAAACACTCTGTGAGGTGAGTGGGGCTGAGTGACTTCACAGACGTGTGACTGGCCCAAGGTCACCCAGCAGCTGCGTGTGGAGGAGCGGAGACGCGAACCCGGTTCCCCAGATTACGAGACTACCGCTCTTAACCACTACACCACACCATGTTTTCCATCCTTAGTTCCAAACAGAATGCCAAAAGTCATTGGCTCAGTTCAAACAGTACACTCCCTGACTCTATGTGCAACCAAGGAGCAAGATTCCACCTGACACTTCTCAACATCTGTACACAGATGGAGTATTTTAACAGGATAAAGTGACATAAAATCTATGGCTAATTTTTTCTCAAATGAATCTCTGGAAGGACCATAAGCTTCAGATCTACATGTATCCAATTCTAAATGCTGAACTCTAAATGTCTGCACAAGCAAGATAGGCAAGTTTCATGGCAGGAAGGCAGAATCTGATTCCCGCACCATGCATAGAGAAAAGATAAAAATATCACGTGAATCAGAAGAAGACTACCAATATATTTTTGCTTGCACAGCAGAATCAGACTCAAAGTTGCAGCATAATATATATGGACTGATAAAAAATCTCATAGAATGTTGCTTAATGTGAATGCTCCAATGTTCACCAAACAACTAGTGTTTATGTTCCACAGATTAAGTGCAAGTACTCTTTCACACCTATTTGACCACAACTGCTCTTATACAATGCAGGCAACTAGTAGCATAAAATGTTTCTGATCATCAACCTCTGAAAATCCTTCTGGCTCCTGGAAGTGTGAATTTCTTTTATGTATGACCAGGGCTCTTTTTCTAGAAAAAAAGCTGCCAGAACATGTTGACCTTTTTATAGAGGGGAGCTTTTTAAAGCCAGCAGTCAACTAGCCAGGACAGGCAGCTCAGGCAATCCATGGAGGAGCTTTCAGGCCAGGCCAGCTCACCAGCAACCACTCTCCAGTCCTACTATACTGCTGCTGCATCTGTCCTCCTCTACCTCTGCCACCAAGAAGCATTTTTGGGGACAAAGTGTGTAGTGGCTGGTGAGGCAGCATGACTGGGGCTCTGTTGCTTTCCTGGCTTCCCAACACCATGAGTCACTGCGGCTTATTGAAGAAGGAAAGTGAGTAGTGTGTGGAGCTTGGTGCATGGTGGCAGAGTTGACCCTGATTCACTGCACTGAGTTCCTTGTGCCTTGTGCTTCTTCTCAATAAGCAGCAGCAACTTGGGGTACTGGTAAACCAGAAGAGCAACAGAGTCACACAGACACCACCCCTCGGGCTGCTATGCGTAAGGGAAATGGAGGGTTTGGGAAAGCTGTAAATGGGAGAGGGGGTAGAAGAGAAAAGATAGCAAAGATTAAGTTATTCAAACACACCTCTTTAAATTCTGCTTTCAGGACAGCATGTCCTAAACTAGTTTGCCACTGAAGTTTTCGACCACTATGCTTTCCAAGATAAAAAGTCTTAAATACTTCTTGAAGTTTAACCATCTGAAATACAAGAAATAATAAGAATAAGAAAAATAAATCCAGGCAAACACACTAATCCAGGCATAAATGGCAGCTAAATACAAGTAACATTTCATGTATTCATTCGTGTCTATAAGTAAAGCAGAAAACCAAGCAAAGAATGCAAATTTGTACAATTTGCAGGATTTGTTCCAACTGCAGGATATCGGCTTGTGGCATAGAAATGAATACTCTCCTTGAACATCCCATTAATATATGAATGACTAGGCGAGAAGAACTCAACAGCCCTTTATCAGTTTTGAAAAACATGCGGATACACTGCATTTATCCAGGATCTTACATTTGGCTTTAAAAATTGTTAAATCAGAATTGAGTAGGCTCTAAGGTGGGGTGCACAACCTGCAGCCCTCCAGATGATGTTGGGCTACACCTCACACCATCCCTGATCACTGGCTATGCTGGTTGGGGCTGATGGGAGTTGTAGTCTAGAAATATCTGGAGGGCCATAGGTTGTGCACCCCTGTTCTAAGGGGTGGAAGTAAGTAGATAAAAGTACAGTGGTACCTCGGGTTACATACGCTTCAGGTTACAGACTCCACTAACCCAGAAATAGTACCTCAGGTTAAGAACTTTACTTCAGGATGAGAATAGAAATCGCATGGCGGCGCAGCAGCAGCAGCAGCAGGCCCCATTAGCTAAAGTGGTCTTCAGGTTAAGAACAGTTTCAGGTTAAGTACGGACCTCTGGAACAAATTAAGTACTTAACCTGAGGTACCACTGTATACTGAAAGGTGTATTTTGTTATAGCACCCCTATATTTCATGCAGAACTACTGCATTCAGCGAAAACACACAACCCATTACTCCTGGGGATACTTCACTTTAGGATTCATGATGTGCTTACATATGTACGAATATGTGCTTACATATGCACACATGGGGTGACTGGATGTCTGCATGCTCCCATGGCAAAAAGTTTCAGGAACAAGGTATTATAGGCCAGATAGAATAGTTTTCACATTCAGGAATCTTTCAACATGAGAGTACATTCATGTATTCAACCTCTCCCCCTGCAGTCTGAAGTTATTGCATCCTAGAAAGAATTACCATGTGCATTCCCTGCACTACTGGCCAGCGTTTCCCAATTGTTGGGTGTTTATACTACATTTTTAAAGATTTGCCTTGAGAGAGTCTTTAAACCTCTTTTGTTGACCACCAGCATTATGCTTTCTATCTTTAAGTTTGGAATACAGTAGCTGCTTTGGAAGGTGATAATTAGGCATCCGAACAACATGACCAGTCCAACGAAGTTGATGTTGAAGAATCATTGCTTTGACACTGGTGATCTTTGCTTCTTCCAGTACACTGGCATTCGTTCGCCTGTCTTCCCAAGTGATATATATAATTTTTCAGAGACACCATTGAAGGAATCTTTTGAGAAGTTGGAGATGTTGTTTATAAGTGGCTCATGTTTCCACAAGCATACAGTAAGGTTGGTAGTACAACAGCTTTGTAAGCAAGTATTTTGGTTTCCCTGCGAACATCCCTCAAACACTCTTCACTTCATTCGGGAGAAAGCAGACTTGGGCAGACCTGACCTGACCCAACCCTAAGGTGGGATGAGGCGACCACCCCAAGGGGCACCCCCAAGGGATGGCATGCTTGTTCCACTGGTCATCTTTGCAGCCAGTCTCCTTGGCTTCTGGGGCAGAGAGGGACCAGAAGCAATCTTTGAGGAATGCTACCCCCACCTCCAGAGTTGGCGAGGGGGGAGACATTCCACCATCCAGCTTTGCTGCTGGGCGGGCGAGGGAGATTTTCCCACCCCCACCTGGAGAAGCTGGAATAAAGCCTCGCTGCCAGGTGGGAGAGAGAAATCCAGAAAGGATCTCACCGCCACCATGACAGGGGAGACCCTGCAAGGGCATCTCACAGAGGAGTCCTTACGGAGGTTGCTCCCAGTCCCTGCATTGTGGGATGCTTTGCCTCATGTGCCAAAACACCTCTGGTCACCCCTGGTGGTGGGATCAATAGCATCTAAAGGAGCCACACACTTCCTTATAGAGCAGTGGTGAAGCTACAGTTTGGGGGCCCTGAAGCATGAGGCAACCAGCAATGAGGTCTGAGTAACCCTGGCTATCTTCTCCAATGGTGGTGTTCCACGACAGATCACCACACCTTTACAGCATCTGTGCTACTGACTCTCAGACTTTGGGATTGTTGAAATATATACAACAAAAAATTAATCCATTTGAGTTGTGCTACTCAAATTAGGCCTCCTAAACCCAAAAAATTTAAGCAATGTGGACTAGAGTCACTTCTCGGGGCCCCATATGGAAAAGTGCTTGTCCGTCAGCACATGCATGCAAGACTAAATACCTGATCTAATGACACGGAACAGCTTTCACCAAAAATCACTGAAAGCGTCTGTGCTCTGGTTTGTGCATGTGTAAATCACAATGTATGAGCTTCCAGAGATCAAATCCAACAAACCAGTGAACATCAATAATTTTTTTTTTTTGGGGGGGGAGGGATGTCCCAATACTTCAAGTGTAGTTGAAGACTTACCTCTGGAGGCAAAAGGACATCCATAGGTGTATAAGTTGGCCAGTATCCCATTGTAAGTATATTTACTGTTAAGTCTATATTCCCTGGGTCCTTTTGATTCTGTATGTACTATGATAAAAAAGAAAGAAAAGGATTTTCAATCATGTTAATGAGTTAAGAGGTTTTGCCAGGGAACAAAGAAGGAAGGAGGAAAGAAATCACTACTACTGCTGCTGATGATGATTATTTTCTACAAAAATGTCAACTTTATTCAAATAGTGTAGCAATTTTCACCAATATTTACAGCAAAATTGAATTTAATCATTGAAAAAATGACTTAAAACTGTTATTTAACAAAGGTTGAATTCAGTGATACTCTACTTGCATGGTAATGTTATTAAAACTCAATAAGGAACTTAAAATACTATTTCGAAGTGATGTTGAGGTGTGAGTACTTTCCTAATTCTGACCTGCATTTTTACCTATTGAAGTATTAAATTTCAAAATCAAAGTTTGATGCATCTACGTTTTTAAATAATGCAACATTTCCAATTCCTAATAATACATTAGGATATATCTGTGTCAGTTAAAGTGAATTCAACTGATTGACAAATCTTATGGCAGCATATTCCATAAGTTATGTTCTGCGTGAAATATTACTTTATAATCTACAAAACTAGTAATTAGCATGGATTTTAAAATGACAAAATAACCCACTATATTTGCAAATGCTCCTCTCTCTTCTTTCAGCACAGCTGCAAGGATGAGTTCAGAAGATTTTGCTTATAGTTTTGTCCAAACATAGGGGAAATGTAGTTAATCTTAACTGTGATTTGTTTGACACAAGCCAACTTCAAATCAAGAGCTATGAAGCTTCAGTTAAAATTAACCACAGTTTAGGGTTCATATCAAACACTAAACTGCAGTTAACGAAAAATGAAAGCTTCTGATCTACTCATGGCTGTGCCAGAGGTCTTCGGTGGGGGTGGGAAGTGTTCAAGTCCAATGTTCATTTGCAGCTCATTTCTGTTATGCTAAACCATCATTTATCCGGTCTGAAACTAGTCATATCAAACCAGCTCAAAATTTCACTGAACTATCCAACTGAAGTGAAATCTTACCTGTTTAAACTGAACCATAACGTCTTTTGAAAGTTCCATATCCTTAAACATTCCTTCCAGTTTACTGGTGAAAGCAGCACCACATTCTGTTACATAAAACAAAAAAAAGTAATATGGATGCTGTAACTGGAACTGTCAATTTAGGCACACAATGAAGGTAACAAACTCTTCAGAAGGTGTAAAGCAAACCAAACATGAGATTTTTAAAAAATGTGCATTTGTTTGGCATCATAGATTTCCAAAAGGACTAACCTGTTCCATTTCCCCCTATATAAGGGCGCAAACTTGTAACTGAAGGAACCAAATTCACAAATGCTTACCATGCTTAAGCTTAGACAACATAGATTTCTCAGCATCTACTGAAGCGCTTTTCCCAACCAGAAGTCTTTTGGCCAGATCCTTTTTATAAAATGCTTCAAATACATCTTTACCTGCATGGACAATGTTGAGGAGGATGAGAAAAAACATCACTAAAGCACATGATGTGACTTTTTTTTGAGCCACAGAAGAAAAAAATTAACTAAGAATATATATGTCTGTCTGTCTGTCTGTCTGTCTGTGAGAAAGCACAGGAATAATCCTATATTTAAAGGAAGTAGCAGAAGCAAGATTCTGTCACTTTGTTGTCGCTTAGTCGTGTCCGACTCTTTGTGACCCCATGGACCAGAGCACGCCAGGCACTCCTATCTTCCACTGCCTCCTGCAGTTTGGTCAAACTCATGCTGGTAGCTTTGAGAACACTGTCCAACCATCTCGTCCTCTGTCGTCCCCTTCTCCTTGTGCTCTCAATCTTTCCCTACATCAGGGTCTTTTCCAGGGAGTTTTCTCTTCTCATGAGGTGGCCAAAGTACTGGAGCCTCAGCTTCAGGATCTATCCTTCCAGTGAGAACTCAGGGCTGATTTTCTTAAGAATGGATAGGTTTGATCTTCTTTTAGTCCATGGGACTCTGTCACTATAAACCTCAAAATACTACAGCTTATACAAATGACACTTGTTCAGTAAATAACTTAAAACTTGACCTACACGTTCTACCTGTGAAAGTGCCAAATTTCAAACTGATCTGATAAAATTGCCACAGATACAGCAAGTTTAAAAGTGCTGGAAATATAAAATTTGACTCTTCCTCCCCAATTATTAAGATAACATATATATTTCTTTCCCATTCTGGTGAAAACTACCAATGTGCTTTATATAGACTTGTTGCAGAACCTACATGTCTGTTGGGTTTCTCAGAAGTTATAACAATGTTCCTGCCCCATTTCTATTGAAAACAAGTAGCAGAAAATTGTGTTGTGCATGGCTGAAAGAAAAATTGAAGCTAAAGATCTTGTCAGAAGTGCAATGTTTGTAGAGGGAGCTACAATTCCTATTCCTTTAGCTATAAAATATCATTGGATCCTTCAATGTGCAGTTCTATAGAGTTCAATCTTATCCTTCAAGTGCATGAAACCACTGCGTAGTGTCATTTACTGCAACATGCATCAAGCCTTTGGTATTTTGGTTAAAAACTCAGCAGTGCAGAAATGTATGATACACTTTAAACAGTTGTTTAAAAAGAGATTCCTTACCATGAATAAATCTAAATATTATCATAATTTTGTCAAGGATTCTTTCCAGCTCTTCATCTGTTGCTTCCTTATTGCCAGCTCTTAGCTTTGAGTCCACATGTTTTGCTAAAAATAATTAAAAATAAACAGCTTAAAACTAATCTTGGGGGGTGGGGGTGGGAAGGATCATTTGGTTTCCACATATTAGTTTTAACACATCTAAAACTACACTACGAGTTTTATAAAAGTTGAAAGAAACCACTCAATGCCAAAAACATATAGTCTAATAAAAATATGACACACAAAAATGAAGGAAAAGCCAAAAAAAAGCAGCAGTGGCAGTTTTCCTGTTACAATGCTGCAAACAAGCAGGCTGCTTGCATTTCATTTGACTTCAGTGAGATTAATCCGGTCTGTGCATAAAACTGCAATATTTACAGGGTTTTTAAAAATCCAAGTCTGTGCCAGACTCAGAGGAGGGAAATATGAGGAGGGAAACTTATGGGCAAAGAGTGGCAGAGATAGTAGAACTATAGTGATGATGATGATGATGAAGATGAAGACAAAGCTAAAAATTAACAGTAAAATAAACAGTTTGAAATTAATATACAAATCTACAGAAAGCCAATGATAGTGATAATGAGAATGATATTATCAGAGAGGCTAATAATAATAATAATAATAATAATACAAGTAGCAGAATTGAGAACAAAAATCTGAAGCGTTCAATGTGAAGCAGGAAAACCAGTTAAAAATATTACAGGTTAGGTGCCGTGATAAAATTAAAATAGTAGTGAACAGAGGCAGTAAACTGGCAGATATGGGGAACTGATGAAAAGAGTGTGAAAGAGAGAAATTTAAAAAGAGGGAAATTTAAAATATGCACACATTCACCAAAACTATGAAATAGTATTTCCTCTTTCTGTACCTTTCTTTACTATACAGTGGAATATGTATACACCCACCCATGTAATCTTAATTTTTGTAAAGCTTCAATATTTATATAAAAAGCACTAACATATTTACGCACTATTTATTAAGTTAGGGAATTTTTCAACATTAACATACTACATGAAAGACCTAAACTTCTTTATTTATTTTTTTACTCTAAGCTATTGTAATGGCTTAAAATGTTTCTAATGGCTTGATGGCCAAAAAAAGCCCCCAGGATTACACTATGAATCTGAAGATAAAAAGGCCACCTCCTCCAATTAGAAGTAGAATGAATGAAAAGGAAGAATGAAAAGGGCATGTTAAAAGGTGAGAACTCATTCTTTCACTGATTTCCTTACTCATGGTTGTTAGAGGCAGTCACTGTAAAAGCAGATCCAAAAGCCCCTTGATATAGATAGCACCAAGCTGTTTTTAAATATACTGATAAAGTTCTTATAAGCCATGCAAAATCCCTGAACCCGTGGGAAAGAGCAGGGTGTGCACATAATAAAGCAAATAAAATAATTTAATTTTCCACTCCTTATTACAGAGCTCTTAAGAGATTTCTACACAGATCTCAATCTAGATATAAATTGTGACACAACAGTTTCCTTCTGAATGCTTTATGCACAAACTAACACCAGCTGCAAAATAAGTGCAGGCTCTTTTGACGGTAGGGCAGCTAAATGAGATTTGTTAGATGGTAACTCAGGAGAGGGCCTTCTCTATGGTGACACCCTGGTTGTGTAAATGCTAAATATATAGCTGGCACCATCTCTGTTGAATCTTTGGCAGGCAGCTAAAAACACACTTGTTTGAACTGGCATATGCTGAGCAGAGGGTAAACATTTAAAACACATTACTTCCTCCAAAGAATCCTAGAAACTGTAGTTCACAGAGATATAATTCCCAACAACCTTAAAAACTAGTTTCCAGGATTCTTTGGGGAAAGTCATGTATGTAGTCTGTGTTTGCTTCTACTGCTGTTTTAATGTTGTTTGGTTGTCAATGGCTTTCATATGCCCTGTGATTCACTTTTTATGTAACCATTATGTTTAACTTGTTTTATTGTACTCTGACCTGCGACCGCTTGTTGATAAGGGGCAGGTTTAAAATGTTCATGATTAAGTAAGAAAATAAATAAGTGCAAGATGTGGCCAAACTACAAAAGCTTATCAACTGAAGTCTATGTCCCACAAGACTTCTGCAGTAGGATACCCAGGTTAAGGACTGCAGGGACAGTTTTTCAGTTGTTCTGCTCCTGCCTCGAGGGTCAATTCAAGACAGCAGGAACCTGCTACTCAGCAGATGCTATTTAACATCCACATCAAACTGCGGAATGGAGGTCATCCACAGACTTGGGACTTGAGTGGCATCAGTATCCTAACAACACTCAGTATCCTAACAACACCCACCCAACTAACCCAGTTAGTTAGCCAATCAAGAATATATTACCAGAGAGGGTAAATAAAACTAAGAGTACAATCAGAATTAAATCACATTTCTTTCAAAAAGGGAAACTGGTTAAACATTAAAACTCTTGAATTTTATCTCCCCACATGTGATAAGCACTGCAAGAGCACTGGTGTTGGAGATACTAGAGGAAGTGTCTGCATGCCTACTCCCCACTGAACTCTCTCTTCCCAGAATTTTACCTGTTGTTATATCCACTGCTTTTGGGAATACAAACTCATGCCAAATCCAGAATTTAACCAGACCTTTTATGTCCCACTTCTAATCAATATTAAGACGGCTGTGGTTCCCCCCCACCCCTCCTGCATTAGAGGACAATGGGACAACTTCCATGGCAGGGATAGGAAATCTGTGGCTCTCCTGATGTCGACTACAACTCTCATCACCACTAGCCATGCTGGCTGAAGCTGATGGGATTTGGAGTCCAGCAACACATGGATGAATCATCTCTGTTTTATGGTTTGTGTTCTTTGGACGTGTGCATGTGTTTGGGTTTGTTTGTTTTGGCCCCCTGAGGTCTTTACTTTGGAGACCTTAGGAAAGACCACTGCTTTAGATAGCTCTAGCTTCTCTCTTTCATCAGATCACCCCAATAATAAGCAACACAACCAAAGTTAACTCTGCCTCTTTTGGAGCTTCCTTAAATAAAACTATGTTGTAACAGCACTCTAATTTCCATGCAGTTTTCTGAGCAAATGGCACCGCAGTCAGTCAGAATAAAAACAAGCACAGATGCACAAGGAGAGGAAACAATCATGTCTCTTAAGAATGCAGCCAACATCCTTATCAGAATGCACACACAAGCAAATATTTTCATGGAATAGATATTGTACTGCTGGACACTGGCATATTTAGCAACTTAATCCTAGACAGTATAAGTTTTAGAAACAATATTTTTGCAGAAAAATAGTTATACCTATAAGTTCTGCTGGTTTATTTGGTCTCTTGTTGATAAACGTTTCAAAAGATTCTTTCATCAAGTTTATACATTTCTCATTTTTCTGAAAACACACTTCTATTATATGATCCACTTTGTCCTTAAAATCTAGCAGCTCTTGCACCATATCCTTGTCTTTTTCAGGGTTTACCACTATTGTTGTCCCATAGTTCTGCAAAACAAACACTTTTGATCAAACGTGTCAATAGTACTTACCTCTCTTATTTCCTAATATTCCCCCACCATTTACACTGATAATAAAATCATTTAAATCACAGTTGCTTTAATGCACCTGAAACATTAAAAACACCAAAACATGAGAATCACACTTTTTTTTAAAAAAAAATAGACACTTAATAAATGTTTTTCCAGCATGTGATGCTAATTGACACAGAAAATCTGTTTGTACAGTACTAGTTTAGGCACAATACAAAACTATAGTTTAGTAATACAAGAACAAGTCTTCTCTTCTGGCAGTCTTGCATACTCTCCCCACCCCCACTTCCTTAGCATGACCACAGGAAAGTTTGGAAGCTTGTGCTTCAGTTTTTGATTTAACTGAAATTTGCTAGGGCTATCCAAAACCACTACGAAGCTAGTTTGCTTCCACTAACCATAGCCAAGATTAACCATTGTCCAGAGATTCAGACAACACGTTAAACCGAGATTACTCTAAACTGGAAACTGAAGTATTTTATTGCCTCCCCATGGCCACACAGCAAGTCTGAATACAGCCACAGATCACTGTTATATAATATGAAAAGGCAAAATATGTTTCGGGAACGTTCAGAAAAATAGTACGCTGTGGTGTGTTGGGGGGAGGGTGCGGCTTCTAAACATACCTTTAATTGCAAAAGAAACTTTAAAAAATAGCAACACTCCCAGACTGTGAAGTCTTTGTAAGTCATGTATGAGAAGGGAAATATACACAGGGGACACATCATTTTAGGCAAATGCAGCTTAAATATTCAGAACATCTAATAATTCTGCTGTTGATTAATAAGAATTGCTATATGACAACATGCTGCAGTATACATCATTTCCTAGCTGAAGTGCTTCTATAGTATCCACCTGTGGGATACTAAAATGTAAGGAGCTCAAGCAAGGCATTACATACACACACAACACACACTTTTCATTTTTCTTTCCTGACACTAAATATTCTGTGGCTACTGTGTATGGTCAATCCTGGAAAGAGGCTGGAAGGTTCCCATAAGTTGTTTTTTTTAAAAATAGCTCTTGTATGTCTGCAAATTTTGGGGTTCCTCCAAGCCTGCTAACACTTCCCTCTTATTTCTCGGTGGCTCAGCTTTGCCTGTCACCAGCAGCAATCACCACCAGTTTGCTGTTAGGAGGAGTGATAGCAATTAAAATAATATTGGTCAAAGATGGCTTTTGTTACATTGCTCTCAAAAGTTTCCAGTCTTAGACCTCAAGCCACTATTGAATTGAGAATATTTTTGAACATTTTATTTATTTCTTTAATTCTAAAATGGTAAGGTAAAAGGTAAAGGACCCCTGACAGTTAAGTCCTGTCAAATTTGACTATGGGGTGCCGCGCTCATCTCCACTTTCAGGTTGAGAGATACGACCTTTGTCGGCAGACAGCTTTTGCAGGTCATGTGACCAGCATGACTAAACTGCTTCTGGCGCACAGAACACCGTAACGAGTGCCAGAGTGCATGGAAACACCGTTTACCTTGCCAGCACAATGGTACGTTTATCTACTCGTGCTGGTATGCTTTCGAACTGCTAGGTTGGCAGGAGCTGGGCCAAAGCAACAGGAGCTCACCCCGCCACACAAATTAGAACTGCCAACCTTATGACGGGCGAGCCCAAGAGGCTCAGTGGTTTAGACAGCATGTCTCAATGCTAAAATACTGCAGACTTAAAGATAATAGATAGCAATGTAATTATACAAAACGAAAAACAAAAAAAACCCACCATCCTTATCCCACCACTTAATTTTTCTTTCTCCTAAATAATCACTACGTTAAGCTGACGACATAAATTCAGAGGTAACATACTGTCAGCTTTAGCCTTCCATAATGAGTGATCCACTTCTCAACCTGGTAATTCTTCTGGTCTTTTAATATCTGTGAATTCAGCCTCTGTGATTCTAGCTACCAATCAGGAGAAAGCCCTCAAAGAATTCTACCACTCCTAGGTTCTTTATAAATATGAGGTGGTTTAGGTTTTCCTCAGGCAGATCTTCTTTGCGAAGCTAAACCACACTCCAAACACCAGGAATACGATTTTCTAAAAGAAAAATTGTGCTTAACACTTAGGGTGCTTACTACTCCCATGGTTCTTTTGTATTCCCTCTCAATATGCAAATGTGGCCTTCCTGAGGATGGATTGCAGGCAGTAATAGCACTTCTAGAAGTAGGTGGCTGCCACACAAACTGTTTGTTGCTTATAAGTGGATTGCTGCAAATACTGCAAAATATAGTAGCCATGGTTCAAAGAAGGATTTTTTCTTCTTATCCTGTGGTATATTTTTCCACATGCAAAGTACACTAATATATTCAACTTCGATAGGACTGCTGCTGAAGAGTAGAGAAAACTGAAATGAAGCAAAGTTTCACTTTCTCAAGGACTTGCCTTGCTTTCAGTATCTGATCAATCTTTTTGTTTATTCAATAAAAAGGGGATTTATTATGAATTGGTTGAAATTCTAAGTTACTCAGAATCTAGATCAAGCAAATCATTTTTGACTTTTTAAAAAAAAGTGCAACAAAACAGCATGTTTCTAAATACCTTGATGTATTCACTCCAGTGCTGCAAGAGGAGCTGTTGTCCGGTTTTCACACGGCTGAAAAGCTGGCACATCTGGGTGAGATCTGCTATTCTGTTTTCATCAAGCAAATTATCAAGTCCTTAAAACGAGAATGATTAACACGTTAAATAAGGTGGTATTGTTAGAAAATGGAACAGAACTTTCTGTGAGTTTAAAGCAACAGCAACTAGACATTATGGTGGTTGCAAACAATGCAACTTTCCCTCCCTGTAAAGAATATATGATTGACAAGTGCTTTATATACAAACTGAGTTTCTGTCTCTCATATACATAGATTTTTAAGATACTATATCGAAATGGATTGGCTGTGGAATTCTAATGGGCTAGATTTGCAACAGCTTGTCCTAACAAAACTATCAGCCTGCTGAATTTAAAATATTTCAGAGGAGCTGTTGGATTTTAGTTCATGGAAAAATACAGGCCTGTTATTGCTACAGCACCAAGAAAGAGCTCTGTCAGTTATAGAGGTCTGCGATTAAATAAGCAGTTTTCAGAGAACTATCCGTGACCCAACATTCCTGGCAATTCCTTCACATACAATGTTAGCCAGTTTTATGAACAATTTTATGAAAAATTTATACATATCCCTTAACTTTTATTGTTCTGAAAAGGGTTTGCTTACATTATTTGTTGCCAGTTGCGTGTGGGAATGTGTATTGGCCATCATATTTTAAGAATACTTGTTTGTTCCAATGGCTTTTCCCAGGCCAAAGAGGCTGCTGTACAATCTGTTTTCAGTTTCCCATAAAATGTGAGCAGATTATGCAGCTTAAAAAAAAAAAGCTAATTAGAAAAAAGTACCTTTTTGCAAAACAGCTGATAAGTGCTCTCCTAAAAGCTGCCTCTCCACACAAGCAATGAGTGGCTTCCTGTTTAAGGCAAGAAAAAGAATCTATGAATACCTGTACAATTTAGGATGAAGAGCCTTCAAAAGGTGTGCAAGTGTATACTCTTGGTTGCACATACAATTGTAGGTAGAATACAAATCTTAGGTTCACCAACTCTATGTTTAACTACATACACAGAGGGACAGTATAGCAGAACAAAAGTATTCAGTTAACAACCCAGCCATTCTTGATGTAGAATCATCAACGTGATCTTTACACTAATCAAAAGGAAAAACTTAAATATGAGAAAGAAGGCACTTACTGTTATGTATTAATCCTAAATGTATATAGAGCTTAGCAGGAGAACTATAAAGTTCTGTAGGTGGTGTTATACTGTCTACTTAAAGCACCCATGAAAAGTGTGTACAGAATCTAGATTAACTGTCCAGCAGGTTGAAGGACAGCAAGTGGACATCTGCCACATCAAGGGCTTACACCTGAATTATGCTGTGGAGTTCTCTTTTCACCTGTGTACTTTTTCTTGAATACCTGCAGATTTGCCTTGTCTGTGGGCGGCCCCATTTTGCTGCCCTACTAGTAATAATGGCACTCTGTTTCACCATGAGAGGGAACCATCTGAGAACTCCAATATGCTATAGAACGTTAGTGTATCCCAGGTATATTCTTGGCTCCCCACAGGAGTACTCTAGCCTACTATTATTTATGAAGAGGAAAAGTTTCAGGATAGCAAGTATTTCTTTTCCCCTGTCCCATGTTCCTGAAACCTTCCTTAAAGGGCTCAGGTTCAGGATACCAGGCTCAAACCTGAACACATTATTGTTGTAAAGTAATAGAAGAGTTTCTAAATCAAAAACGAGGGGGGGTGTGTGTGTCCTTTTTTTCTTTCCTCCTTCCAGAAAACTGCCCATGCAGTGCAGAGAGGAGAGAGTGCACATCAGTTGTAATTCCTATCTCAAGCTTCTAAAAGATTTTAGGAGTTCAAGCAGGTCAATCCCCTACCAAATAACACCTTCAACATTTCATAGGCTCTAGAAGCCACTGAGCAAAGATAGCAGCTGTGTTTTCATTTTTCCATGAAATTTACAAACGAGTATACTTCTGCATAACTCTCAAGTATGCAGAAACCAGTACCTTATTTATAGCTGGCCCCATTTCACTGCCAAACTGAGAGTAATCAGACCAGCAAATTAAGTATTAAAAGAAATGATGATATACAACGCTTCAGTAATGAGCATTCATTAATAAAGATCTTGGGGAAAGTCGAAAAGGATACACAAACGTAAGAAGAGTCCTTCTGCATCAGAGCAAAAGCCCATCTAGTCTAGCATCCAGTTCTCACAGTGGGCAATCAGATGTCTGTGGGAAGCCCACAAGCCCATCTTCCTTGCCAAAGACACTCATCTTCCATGACAGCGGAGGAGCAGCCACCCTGCTTCTCTCAAATCTGCCATTGCCAGATGTTCCCAAAGGCCTTATCTATTAACCTCTCAGCTTGTCTAGAGCAGCCACCTTGGTTGGCCTCTAGGGAACAAACTTGTCCCATGGATGCCAGGAATGCATTGATTGCACCAAGCACACAAACACAATTCCTGCCAACAGGTATATAGTTCTACATGTGACATTTGGTACACTACAGTGGATAAGTCAAATCTCTGCTGGCTTTCTACCTGCATACTTGTTACTGTTGTTTATTAAGTAATTTACTATGGAGCTTCAGATTTCTGGAGTTGAAAAGTGGTGCGGGAATAGCCTGATAACACATTAAGGAGGTCAGGGCAAACAGCTTTCTAACTTGCTTGCTACCTTGATGCTTTTCCACTGGTGCTGACGGTTCCCCATATTCAGCTGCATTATATTTATTGCCCTGACTAGCTCCCCAGAACTGGTGCTGCAGCCAAATTGTTCACAGTCCCCATTTGAAAAACACAAGGAGGTGTAAATCAGACTTGCATTGCAAAAAGCAAAATGTTATCTTGCAGCTGCAGTAAGCCAAAGCTCCTCTTGTAACTTTCAGAACAAAAAGCAGGTGATAATTAGGAACACACAGACCTGCCTTACACTGTCAGACATAGGTCCATCTAACTTAGTCCATCTACAATGACTGGTAGCAGTTGTCCAAGATTTTAGACAAGGTTTTCTCTCTCCCTTCCTGGAGATGCCATGCATGGAAGCAGACACTACCACTAAGCTACAGCTCTTCCCCTATGACTATCTGTAACTACAATTACAGATATTATCATTAAAGTTAATTATTAATGAACAGATAATCTAAATTGAGTGTTATGTAATAGACAGAATTCTAAAACTCCAAACATTGCTAAGCTTACCCAAATACCTTTTGCTTCTATTTCAAGAGCATAATTTCAAGAACATAATTTAAATATAATTTATAAAAGGTGGCACCACTACCCCTTTAGATATAAAGAGTGTTGTACAGTTTTCTATAGAACCAAATTTTAAAGCAAACAGGAACTGTGTATTAAAGAAAAAAGGTAAGAGGTACTCACTGTGTGCTGTGGTCTAAATATGTCACTACTCTATCTGCTTCTTCTTCTAAACGTTTGTTAACATGGTGAAGGTATTCTGGGACCTGTCAAATTAAAAAAAAAAAGATATTTGGAAGGGAATTTTGTTCTACAAAAGGACAAGCAGAGTGTAAAAGCTACTGAATAGTAAAACAGCATGACCATATGCTCGTCTGATCTTACCTCATGTAATCATATAGATAACTATATGCATTGATGGCTCTGCTCATTTATTTGTAGTAATTCTGTTATCCCACCCCACCTTTCATTCACAACAGGCAGCAATAATAAGAGAAAGTAAAACTGCTATTCATTGTGATTCCAGTCCTTTTTCTATGAACCAAAAGCAATTACTGCAGCAAGGAGTCTCAAAATACACAAATGGCAGTTTTAATCTAACCTGCCAGATACTCACCCCACCCCACCCCAAAAGAGAGAATTGAGGAGATATTATTATTTTTACAGCAGTAGGAACAATCCAGAAATGCACACACTGCTTTCAGTCCAGACACATCTGCAGGGTTGAATTCTCAGAAAAATAGCTCTGCAAGTTTGCAGCAGAAGCAGGCTGTGGACAGCACTGCTGACCTTGACCTGGCATCCATGACGTCAACAAGAAGCCTCTCTCTGGAGAGGTTTTTGCCTTCTGACATGCTATCTCAGTACTCACATTCATAATTACTTCAGCTTCTTTTACGAGAGGTACAAAATAGTGCATGTTTTATAAATTTTGTACACAACTTCAGAATCACATTTATAAATATTTGTAAATAAATAAATATTTAGAAATGTCTCTCTATATACTGAGGTGAGATTTTCTTTGCGTGGAATTGGAAACATCTAAGTTCTCAAACACAGTCACGTGGAAGCCAGATTATTGGCTCTTTATATAATTTTTATGCTATTTTACTGCTTTCCTTTGGCTGTAATCCCTCAAATATACAAAAATCCCATGTTTATATATACAGCATATACAGTATTTAACAACAAAACTGTTTCAAAAGGTAATTGCTATGCATTATTATGACTTTTTTGTTTATATGCATAGAGTTATTGAACAATTCTGCCAAATACAACTCCCACTCAACCATATGAACTCATATTGGGAACAATTCCTACTACATTTTGTTTAACTTCATACCTCTCTTTCTTGCATTAATCTTTGGCCTTCTGCAGTATATAAACGATTTGTATCTTCCAAAAACCTTTGTTCAAATGCATCTTTGTAAACCTATTTAAGAGACACATTAATGTAGTTTATCAGATTAGTGCCTAAATTGTACATCAATTTGTCAATAAAAGATAAAACGTAGCTTCTATGCAGTTTTCTTCTAAACGCAGGCTGTTTTATTCATTCATTTATTTAGATTACTTACCCGCCATTTACAATAAGATCCCAGGACGGGTTACAACAATAAAATATAGTTACAAAACAAATAATATAGCTACAACCATAAAACAAGTGAAGTGTAAAAAACAATTCCACATCTTAAATGTTTACATTGTTTTTACAAGAAAAATAGTTCCAATATAGATGCAGACTAATTTCATCCATTCTTCAAACAACCCTGTGGCATAGGAAATATTCCTACTTACAATTAGGGAACTAATAGTGAAGGAATATCACTTGAGCTAGTTTTACAAAATTATTGCATTTCCTTTTTTCATTCTCCTTCAGTATGGGCACAAAGAGAAAATCAAAAGCTTTCACTTCCTCTTTCTACTAATTGAGGTTTGCTGCTACATTCTAATCTGAAACTGTGGTTAATTTTAACTATGGTTTAAGAAAACAGTTTGAGATCAGAAAGCATAGTCTACGCTATTTGAAGTTGGTTTGTTCCACTAAACTTTAAGTAGACTAACCAGAGTTTCTCCAGGTTTGGACATAACATGTGTTATTCACAAATCACACTAAAATATGATTTACTGTGACACGCATAAGGAAGAACAAGCCACAACGACTCTCAGCCTCGCATGCTCCCCCCTTACCTCTCCCAAGTGAAGGAGCTAATGGTATGATGTGCTGTCCAAACCCAAAACCAAGGTTAACGTTATGCTTAGTTTAAAGAAAACTTCAATATGTGCGCAACCATGCACATGTGCATTGAGCCAAACCCAGAAGTGATCTGAAAAGTCACAAAAAGGGGCAGAATGGGGTGTCTTAACGCTAATGTAAATGGGAGGTTGCTGTGTTCAAAAAGACTTTCGTTCCTACTTCAAAACACTGCCTTAGTGATAATAATAATACTAATAATAATTTATTACAGTGGTGCCTCGCAAGACGACATTAATCCGTTCCGCGAGTGTCTTCGTCTAGCGGTTTTTTCGTCTTGCGAAGCAACCCTATTAGCAGCTTAACGGATTAGCGCTATTAGCGGTTTAGCGGCTATTAAAGGCTTAGCGGATTAGCTGCTAAAAGGCTATTAAAGGCTTAGCGGCTTAGATAAAGGGCGGGGGGAAAGCGGGGGAAAAATCTCAAGACTCGCAAGACATTTTCGTCTTGCGAAGCAAGCCCATAGGGAAATTCGTCCTGCAAAGCAACTCAAAAACGGAAAACCCTTTCGTCTAGCGGGTTTTCCGTCTTGCGAGGCATTCGTCTTGCGGGGCACCACTGTATTTGTATCCTGCCCATCTGACTGGGCTGCCCCAGCCACTCTGGGTGACTTTCAGCATATATAAAAACATAGTAAAACCTTAAACCTTAAAAAGCTTCCCTTCTTAAATGCTGTATAATTACTCATCTCCTTAATATCTTATGGGCAGGCATTCCACAGGGTGGGCGCCACTTCCGAGAAGGCCCTCTGCCTGGTTCCCCTCTAACTTCGCTTCTTCTTCTTTTTTTTAAATAATATTTATTGAATTTTAAAGGGTTACAAAAAGAAAAAATTAAAAAACAGCATATATCACAATAATAATAAAAAGGAAAAAAAAGGAAAAAAAGGAAAAATACAATAAATCTTCCCATAACTTATCTTTCATTTGCTTATTTCCTTGACCTCCTCACACCTCCCTTTTTTGTATTCTAGTTCAATTAGTAATTTCAGCAAATCCTTTCCATCTTTTCCAGTTTTTGTCCTCTATTTTATCTTAATATAATGTAACTTTACTTTCCCTCCTTCCCCATTTAGCAATCTATTTTTCCTTAATCCTTTATAGCATTTCTGCTAAAACCACATTATTTCATTCCAACATCCTTCTAACATTCCTTAATTTTACAATGTTTCTGTAAATAAACTTTAAATTTCTTCCAATCTTCTTCCACCAACTCTTCTCCCTGGTCTCGGATTCTGCCAGTCATTTCCGCCAGTTCCATGTAGTCCATCACCTTCATCTGCCATTCTTCCCTGGTGGGTAGATCTTGTGTCTTCCAATACTTCGTGATGAGTATTCTTGCTGCTGTTGTGGCATACATAAAAAAAGTTCTATCCTTTTTTGACACCAATTGGCCGACCATGCCCAGGAGAAAGGCTTCTGGTTTCTTCAGAAAAGTATATTTAAATACCTTTTTCATTTCATTGTAAATCATCTCCCAGAATGTCTTAATCCTTGGGCATGTCCACCAAAGGTGAAAAAATGTGCCTTCAGTCTCTTTACATTTCCAACATTTATTATCGGGCAAATGATATATTTTTGCAAGCTTGACTGGTGTCATGTACCACCTGTAGATCATTTTCATTATATTCTCTCTTAGGGCATTACATGCCGTAAACTTCATACCTGTGGTCCATAACTGTTCCCAGTCAGCCATCATAATATTATGTCCTACATCTTGTGCCCATTTGATCATAGTTGATTTCACTGTTTCATCCTGAGTATTCCATTTCAACAGCAAGTTATACATTCTTGACAAGTTCTTAGTTTTGGGATCTAACAGTTCTGTTTCCAATTTTGATTTTTCCACCTGGAAGCCAATTTTTTTATCCAAATTGTACGCCTCCCTCTAACTTCGCTTCTTGCAGTGAGGGAACCAGCAGAAGATCCTTGGAGGAGGACCTCAGTATCTGGGCTGAACGATGGGGGTGGAAATGCTCCTTCAAGTATACAGGGCCAAGGCTGTTTAGGGCTTTACAGGTCAGCGCAAACACATTGAATTGTGCTCAGAAATGTACTGGGAGCCTATGTAGGTCTTTGAGGACTGCTGTTATATGGTCTCAGCGGCTGCTCCCAGTCACCAGTCTAGCCGCTGCATAATGAGATGATAGGAATGCCCACTATGAAGCAAGTTGCTCCTTAATTGAGCAGGTCATGTGATATGGTATGTCTTTTCATATCAGCACCACTACAAATACCATGCCAAGTTGGAAATTTCAGCTCTTTTCTGTGAGCTTTTGCTGAGAGTTTGGGGTGGGAGGAGGAAAGAGTCACTGAAAGTCTACTAAATACTGATCCAGTGTAGATTCCAATGTATAGTTAGCAGAGTAACAACTTAAACATCTTGCAGGATTCCCAAAAAATAGAGCAGAGGCATTTCATCCAGCAGAGCTTTACTACTATTGAAGGCAAATGAGCATAATGGTCACAAATCCAGTACATTCAGGATTGGCATTGTCTAGAAGAAATCCAGTTACAGAAGACTTAACTCAAACTTATAATAAGTCTACAACTTAACACTAAGCATACTATGTACAGAACACCACACCAGAAGGAAAAGATATTGAAAGAGAAAGTGTGAAACCCAGGCTCCATCTGGCCTATTATTATAGTCAGCATGACCTTGACAGAAAGAGATAACAGAACCAGTTTAAACCAGCTGTAATCGGCTTCTCTGAAGGAATAACCCAAACAACATGAACCTTCTGCTTGTTTCTTTCACAGAGAGAAGCTTCCAGCACCCTCTTGAATTAAGTAGCATAGGAAAGATCTCTACACATCAGATCAATACGTTCTGCACTAAGAAATGCAAACTGACAGGAAGGCCTCAACTTTCTACACATTCCCATCCAGAAAAGCAGAACAAAAAGGAGTCTGTTTACTTGCCTGTAGCATTGTACATATTTGGCTTTTATACTTACTTGCAAATCAGACAGCATACTTAACAGACTTCGTAACAAGCTTCTATCTACAGCTTCACCATTCCGTTCTCGTTCAATCAACAGCAGGATTCCATCAATCGTTTTTGTTTGAACTAATTTATCATTAATAATATGGCTTCTAAAAAGTTCTAATCCCATATCCCTGTAAAATTATAACAGGTTAATTACAATTTGATTTTATATAACATTACATGTTCTTATAGACCTAAAATCATATTATGCTTCTATTCCACAGTGTGAAGTTTGCTCCCTAGTATAATTTCAACTATAGATGCTGGCATGGCTTGAGAACTGGTTACCACTGTAATGACCATTCCTTTTGCTGAAATTTAGATCGGCAGGAATGCATTACTTGCAGTTTTAGGATTATGAAACCAGAAGGGGCATAACAGAAGCCCTGTCTACATAGCTATTAAAGTTCTAAGAGAATTTTAAGGGTGCAGGTTATCAGTTAAATGGGAGCAGAAATCACCTGTTAAAATTGTTATTTTTGCAGAGACAGTAGTATAGGCTTGTGGAACCTAGGGCCCCTCCAGATGTTGTTGGACTGCAATCCTAATCATTCCTGAACATTGTCCATGCTGACTGGAGCTGGTGGGGTTAGGAGTTCAACAACATCTGAAGGGCCACAAGTTCCTGTGTAAAGGTACAAGGACTCCTTTACTAGCAGTTTTACTAGCAATTTTACAGCCCATATATCCACATTACACACTGCAGGTGCATAATGGCCAACACTGTAATAACAGATCCACACACTGCCAACATACATACTACTTAAATACTGTACCTACCATATAGAAGGTAGCATTGAATTCTGAAGAACATAAGTACGGTCCAAAAACAAAAAAATGCTTCTAATCATGATCTGCAAAAAAAAACCCATAAAGAAAGAATTAATCTTCTTTGCTTATGCATTACCTCTGCCATATATGCCACATTTCCTGATTTCCTATCCTCATCAATACCTAGGGTTATTATACATTCAGAATATATCTTGGAAGTTTCATGAAGGAAGAGAATCTACAAGCCAAGAAAGAATTTATACAGTATATGATCTCCAACAAATAAGAATTTTAAGGAGTTTTCTTAAACGTATATATGTTTCTTAGAGTTGTAATAATTTGGAGTGAAAAGCAGTAAAATAGGGCCAGCATAGACATAATATTGCTTATCTTAGCCAGTATCATTGCATAGTCAATTCCCAATAACCTCTTAATCTTAATCAACATTAATGTGTTACTAATCCAAAATTAATAATCTTAGCTTGATATTTTATGAGCACAACTGCTAAAGAAGTTTAACATAAAACATATCAAATATGGGGTGGCATTAATCCATAGGGCCAAATGACCATTAAATGTGAAAATTTATATATAATCAAACAGTATACAAATTTTGTTAAATGAATATTGCTAGCTAATATAAAGCCAATATATATATAAGATAATCCAAAACAGTATTAATTGGTGATTACACAGTCATTCTAATTTTCCTAATTAATTTTTCTTTTCCCAGCCAAAAGTTTTCTTAGGAGAGTTAGCAAAAAAAGCTTGTGATTTATCTGTGCCAGCTGTACTGAGTTTTGTTTTTTTAAAGGGCCAACCTCTGGCCCAAGAAACTTGATAAGTGACTTAAAACAATGGAACATCAAAGCTTGAACCCACTCACTTCCTGCAGTTTTGTCAAAACGTTATTGCTTGGGTGAAAAAGGCAACTTTATGTAATTCAAATACTTAAGGGGATTTCACACATTCCCAATAGTCAAATAGCTAGTTCCTAATGAGCTGCACCAATGTGCAATTAAATTTGAAGCCAGCGAGCTTCAAATGTGTTATGCAACTTCATATTTGTGAAACTAGGTAGCAGCTCAAGCACTCTTTGATTTGGAAAAAGCAAAAGCAAAAAAGCAGGGATGCAGCTAGGAAACAAAGTTGAAGTGAACTTCAAAGTCTTTCAAACTCTCACAACACAAAAAGAGAAAAGCCAAAGTAATGACCAGTTTTGCAAAGAACACCAAACTCTGTTTGTCCATATAATCATGCTACAAACTGTTTTTCAAAAGCAGATGCTTAATTTCATAGGGACTTGGTGATAAATTGTTTTTGTAGTAACAGAGTTAAGAGCTAACCAGTAGCTTTTCAAGCAGTCAAAAGCTGTTAAAGTGCTACAAAGATAAATATAAAGGAATATAATTGGCTTCAGCTTTCTCATTCAGTTTTTGTAAAAAAAATTCAAGTCATAAATACATATATCATTTAGTTAATTTAAAAAAGAATCTAAGAGTTGAGCCAAGCAAATACAAATTTTCCTTAATTTTATTAATGGGGGCAAACAACAGATATTAACCTGAATTGCCTCTATGAGCTAACTGTGTTGCACAGTGGCTAGTGTCATCGACTATGAGTAGGGGTCCTGGTTGAAATTCCACACTAAGCCACAAAGTTCACTGGGTGATCATGGGACAACAATTATCTCTCAGTCTATCCTACCTCATAGGACTGTTGTGAGGCTAAAAATGAGAATCATATACATCAGCGATGGGAAACCTGTAAACCTCCAGATGTTGTTGGAATACAAATCCTATCATCCCTGAGACCCCAGTCCATCCTGGCTGGAATGGATGGGACTTTTAGTTCCCCATTCCTGATGTATATCATTTTGAACTGCTTGAAGAAATGTGGGATATGCAACTTTTTTAAAAAATAGAAATATGCATTATGAACCACATATAACTTACCATTTGTCTGCAGTGATCTTGCCAGCATCTGTTTATTTTCTTTAAAAACAGGAGACTGTCGAGAGAATCTGTGCTAGAAAGGTTAAGGGAAGCAATCTTTTTTTTTTTTAGTCAATATATCAGTAGTTACTCTAGATTGGGATTCTAGCCTGAATTTGGAGCTATCATTTCTGAAAGAAATTAATGCTTCAGATTAGAAGAATTTCTAGACTTTTACAGTGACAACCACATCAAGTCTTTAAGACTCTGGAGTCCCCCTGCAAGCATCCAAGAGGGGAAATATATGATTCTTAATATAGTTGAACGAAGGAAATTATTGCACTGATGATTAATCATACCCCAAATCTTCAAGAACTGTCAGCAATAGATTCTCCACTCTAGAACACAATCTAAACCAAATGAGACCTAAGCAAGACTCTGGGGAAATTAAGAATGCAGGTGGCCTTGTTAACTTCAATATCACTGTGAAAAGATGCCAACATGCTACAAACCTAAACCATAAACAAGACTTTACTTTTCAGATTCCAACTACATTCTTTGTGAAGCATTTTTACTTTGGTGAGACTACAATGTATACTTTATGAACACTAAAACTATTAATAACTGTTTAGCTGCGTTTTTTGTATATAAAAAGGATATTCTCTAAACTGCAGTATTTGGGCTTTCACATGGTCTTCACAGACTTGTCTTAGCTGTTTATACAGCATGGGTGATGCTTTATAAGAACAGACATTTTCAACAGCCTGGGATATGAGGACAGAGAAAGAAAGAGTTCAACATCATCAAGGTAGCCACCACCACCTCCTTCCCCTCCCCCAGGTTTCAGATCCTTTTTATTTATTTTTTTAAGGAGGGATAGAATACTTCTGGAAGAGATATCCCAGGGAGAGACAACAGATCTCCCCGTCCTCTTCTAGGTAAACCTATTTTGTCTTACTTAACTATATTCTTGAAACAGTTCAGTTTATGGGAAGATTTCTGGGCAACTGCTTCACCAGACAGAATACTAGCAGTTTATTCAAGCACTGAGAATAATATGGAGAAAATGCTCCAAAATAGACAGTTCAAAAGAAAATTAATCCAAGAAGACCCAAATGAGAATACTGGGTGCAATGGGGGAAATGGAGTGTCCTGGGAGAAGGCATGGCTGCCGTACTAGCTGGACTCAACAATGCATTCCACAGTGCACTCTTTTCTTGCAGGCTCCCCTTGTATATTTACCGTATTTTTTGCACCATAACACTCACTTTTTTCCTCCTAGAAAGTAAGGGGAAATGTCTGTGCGTGTTATGGAGTGAATGCCTACGCATGACAGGGGGATCTGCTGCAGTCGTGAGCAGAGGATCCATGGTTCCCCTTCCTTCCCTCCTCCGTGGCTCGCTTTGAAACAGCAAAGCGGGAGAAGAGCCGCTGAGTGGGGAGGAGAGAGGGACAGAGAGCCTGCTTGCTTTAAAGGAGCAAAGTGGGAGAGGAGAGGAGCCGCTTACACGGGTCACCCCAAATTCACCAGCAGATCACATAGCATGTCCATGGCTACAGCTTGCACCAAAAAAATCACGTACCCACTGTTGCCTGGGGCCGCAGTGGTGCAAAAACGTGGTTACAAAGCATGGATCCACATGGATCCTCAGGATTTTTGCATTGGGCTACCCCAAACTCACCGTCAGATCACATGTCTGTGGCCACAGCATGAACCACAAAAATCATACATCCACTCTTTCGTTTAGAATATTTTTTTCCTTGTTTTCCTCCTCTAAAAACTGTGTGCGTGTTATGGTCGGGTGCATGTTATAGAGCGAAAAATATGGTATAAATCTATAAGAACACACCCCTCCTGACATTTTAGTAAGATTCATTTTTTAGCTTCTTGCCACAGTTTAATAAGATTCATTTTTTAGCTTCTATTCCACAGTGTGAAGTTTGCTCCCTAGTATAATTTCAACTATAGATGCTGGCATGGCTTGAGAACTGGTTACCACTGTAATGACCATTCCTTTTGCTGAAATTTAGATCGGCAGGAATGCATTACTTGCAGTTTTAGGATTATGAAACCAGAAGGGGCATAACAGAAGCCCTGTCTACATAGCTATTAAAGTTCTAAGAGAATTTTAAGGGTGCAGGTTAAATGGGAGCAGAAATCACCTGCTAAAATTGTTATTTTTGCAGAGACAGTGATATAGGCTTGTGGAACCTAGGGCCCCTCCAGATGTTGTTGGACTGCAATCCTAATCATTCCTGAATATTGCCCATTTTTTAGCTTCTTGCCATAGGTTCAACACTGCAGGCAGATCCCCCAACTGTCCCATTGCTACTGGGACATCCCAGATGACAGAAGCCAATTCCGGCTTCTGTTTTGATCCTGGAATGTTCCGTTTTTTGGTCTGGTGCTCTGGTTCAAGCACTGAACCAAAAGACACTCACTCTGGTGATTGTCAGCAGCGTCACACCAAAGCGCCTTACCATCCAGCAGTGTGGCATGACTCTCCTGATCACAGAACACTGGGTGAGAGTGAGTGGCGCGAGGGGGCAGGAGGGTTAGGGAGAGTGGTGAGAGCAGGGTGGGGGGATGGAATGGGGTGTGTTCTGAATTTAGTTAGGAAAAAGTTGGAGCATAGGTGCAGATAAAGGGCAGAAATACCTGAATGCACCCCATGCAGGGAGAAATCTAGGCATCAGGGCATTAGAAATGTCCAAGAACAGGTTTTCCACATGATGTATTCTTTGTTACAGACAGAAACTCTCCCAAATTGCTACTTCTAAAATATCCATTTTATTCATACAAGTGTTTTAAAAAACCTCGAAACTCTTACTTGGTAGAGCTCTTCAAGATTATATTTAATAGATGTACTGCTTTGAATTGCTCTGACTGCTTCATGAAGCTTCTGCCATGTGTCCTGAGTGTAGTTATCAGGCAAAGTGGGCCTCTCTGCGTTAAACAGACAAAGAACAAGGGGTGAGGAATGGTATATTCTTTCACAACTTTATAATTTTGAGTGTGGTTTCTTAATCGATAAATAAAGCATATTCTATTTTTATTTGGAGATTACAACCTTTTGCAACAGGCAACATGAAGAAAAGTGCTTTTTAAATGGAAATAAAACAGTGTGATAAGAGATCACACACCTTTTAAACTTTTTATGAAACACCATTCCATACAAACACGAACTGAAAAATACAAAAATCCACCAAATCAGCAGTCATTCAACCACTACTTCAAATGTGCAGAAAAGGGTACCCTTATATACACATGATCTGCATTAAGAGTATTCTGTGCCTCACTCTCTCACACAAAGACTTCAGTCCTATGTATGCTTGGAAGTAAGCCCTACTGAACTGAAAGGGATTTACTCTCAACTAAACATGCATAGGATTAGGCTGCATATGTAGTACAAGGAACAGGTGTAATTTGTACTTTATCCCATTTCCTGTCACTTGATTGATGATGATTAGTGCTCCACTTCTGCATGTTAATAGTCAGTACTTTATTAAAGGGATATTGGCTTCCTCATAACTAATTTGGACCAGCATTTCATTTTGCCCTTTATTCCAGCCCTTTCATTTTTAGAGTCATTTTTTCTTATTTAAAAAAGTTGAAGGTGAATTTGTGCATCTGTATCCATTCATCACAATCACCCAATTTTTTCAGCTAATTTCAAAATGTGAGGATATGGAGTGGATTGTTTCTAACCTCACACATGTTCTCTGCTGTTATTCTTTTAATACCTGCAAAATTGTGGATCTGTCTCTGGACGCAACTGCCAGTATCCAGCATTTTTTTCAAAAGGTCAAAAATTCACATTATGAGGGAACACACATGAACGAGGAACACCAAAATTATACTACTGGAACAAATGAAGGCTGCAATTCTGTGCAAACTTACTTGAGAGTGAATCCCACTGAACATATTGGGACTTGTTTCTGTGGAAACATGCCTAGGATTCCCCTGTACGTGTAATACCTGTTGCTGCACATATATTCTAAAATGAACTGTCATGTATGTATATGTCCCTGAATTTGTTATGCAGCATTAAAGTGGGTATGGGTGAGAAAGAAGGGTTAGGCTAACTAAGTTTAGGCAAGTAACATACCGGTAATGTTTTGTGAAAAAAATACAAAGCTCAGCTTCATAGGAGTGAAATCTCTCTTTTGGAGATGTTTAACTGGACACATGAGAAGTATAGATGCTTGAGAGTGTATACTTCAAATTGAAAGGATTAGTTGTTCCTTAGCATACTTTAACTTCCTCAACATTTCAGGTGATGTCTACAGATTCTAATTTGTTAATGATAAGAGTATGAAAGCAGTGGATAGCGGTTAGACACAATTAAACAACATGCAGTACACAGCAGCTTGCTGTCATCTGGTGGCCTGCAGACAATGCAGCAGGACGCCAAGCAACAGATGAAGGAAATATGAGACTTAAAACTGCCTCTGTGATAACAGCAACAAAATCTAGTTTCACTCTTATAGAGAGGTCTCATGTGGACAGTAAAGTGAGGAAAGGGCAATGGATGTCACACGTCAACACAAGCCAAGGGGCCTGTGCTCCTGATTGGCTGCCAGTGACTGATCTGACCAGGCAAAGTGCCAAACACTCTTATACTCCTGCATGTCAAACAAGGAAAAGTTGCTTAGAGTCCTTGGTCTGCCTGACAAAGAGCAACCCCTCCCCAGCCAGGCTTAAGATGACAGCAAGTACATCTGTATGGTAAATATCAAGTTTCCTGCATTCAGGCATGTTTACAAGCAAGCTTGTATGTATGTATGCAAGCAAACAAACACACACACATACTCACACTCTTGCGTGCCTGAAGAGCTTTTTAAAATCAAGGAACACTTCTGGAATTCTGCTGACTCATATTAATAAGTCAACAGCATTACGATTAAAATATGTGAATCTTAAAGATACAGAGAAGTAAGACTGTTTTCACCAATCAGTTTTAAAATTGCTTGCTGTCTGTTAGGTCAAATGTCACTTTTAATGCCACATGTGAAAATGTTCTGAGCTACATTCACAAGATCACACCCTTTTACTCCACATAATTTTTTAGAGAGCCCCATCCCATCATCATAATTGCAGGTTCACCCATAAGAACATAGCAGGAGGCTTGGGGGCAAGAAATTAAGCTTCTGTCTCTAACCCCATCCTCAAATGCAACTAGGGTTGCAAGCCTATGCATACTTACCTGGGAGGAAGTCCTATTGAAGTCAGTGGGGCTTACTTCTGTGTGTGTGTGTGTGTGTGTGTGTGTGTGTGTAGGCTTGCACTGAAAGGCAGGTTTCAAGGATATTAAGAGATAACCCCTGGGGTATAGGGCGATATATAAATTCAATGAACAACAACAACCCTATCCACATTTGTGATGTTGACCGCCTAATATCCCCAGGTGCAAAACAAGGCAGGTCAGTAACATTAAACAAACAAACAAACAAACAAAAACCCCAAACCGACAGTGTAGGAGAAACCATTTTGTATCCCTAACTCGTCACCCAAGGAAAACCCACTTTTACACCATTTTTAGAATCCCGCCTTTGAATCTGACAACCCCTTAAGCACATCTGCAAAGGGGTGGGAGGGAAAAAAACACCACCAGGTTGCATTTCTAAACGAGCTATTCAAATGGGGACGAAAAAGAAATCAGAACAAAACGTTTGAAATGAGGGTGTTGATGAGCGCGACACGTTCACTTGCAAAAAAACAAAACCCAAACCAACAGGGGAGACGAGTCCCACACGCGAACATCTCCTTCCACCTCCAGCATCCTAGGGGCGCTTGCACACCCACCTCTGAAGTTCTTGATCACTAATTTCTTGGACGTGGCCCCTCCAGCGGCAGCTCCAGAGCCGGCCGGCCCGCTTCGGACGCCGGCCACAGCTGCCAGGGAAGCGGGCTTGGTGAAGCCGTTGGTGTGCCCCACCAGCGCCGACAAGTGCTGCTTCTTCTGGGGCTCGCCGGCCATGTTCGACCCAGCAATCCCGGGGGTGGGTGGGGTGTAGATTTCCCTTGGTGCCCCTCCCTCCTTCCCTCCGGCTTTCCTCTCAGTTTTGAACGACGGCTCTCAAAAGGGGGCGACGGTAATAACAACGGTAAAGATCCTCGCCGCCAACGGGGCGCCGCCTCAGCGACCCAGGCACTTCCATGAGGGGCGCACGCAAAGCGAAGAAGGAAAAGGCCGGAGCGGAGCCCCCTTCCCGGCCGCTGGACTCGGCGTGCGGGAACAGCGAAGAAGCGACAAGCAGCAGACGACGACGCCCCCGATGCCGCCTCACAAAATGGCTCCTTCGGTCCACTCGGGTGAAGGCCGAAGCCGCTGCCTCCGCCGCGGGTCGGGGCGGCTGCTGAAAGCAAGGCCGAGGCGGCGGATGCGCCTCGCCGGGGCAGATACCTACGACTTCCTCGGCCCGGAGGAGGGCTCTAGCCTGCTGTCACGGGACTCGGGCAGGGGCCAGGCAAGGGGGTGGTGGGAGGCAACTGGCGAAGCTGCACCTCCGACACCGCCGCCGTTTCCACAGCAGCAGCTCGGCGTTAGGCAGGCCAAGGCCGCAATCCTATATCCACTTACCTAAGGGGTGGGGTGGGCGGTGCGCGGGCGAGGGAGGCGCTATTTCTGCTTTGTTTTGCTCTTACGTTGTGTGTTTTTTTGCATAGTAAAAGGGCGCCGTGTGATTCTTTGCATTGTGAATTAAACGGAACGACAAATCAATCAGTCAAACAAATAAATCAAACAAACCGCCCCCCATCTCCTTTGAACTCTACGCAAGTTCATTCTGAGTAGGGAAAGAGAAGCCAGGTTTATTCGTCGTGAGAACAAGCTGATACTGTATAGTAAGGTCACCAGACGTCCTCGTTTCCCGGGGACAGTCCCCGGATTTACAAGTCTCAAGACCAGGCAGCAGAAGGTTGGCATTCTGTCTGCCTCGGGAGACAATGGAGGAGAAGTGGGGTGAAGACAAAAAGCGCTGGGAGTTGTAGTCCCAAAACATCTGGAGGGCTGAGTTTGCCTATGCCTGCTGTAGAGCTACGCATAGGGGAGAGACATTTTTTGTTGCAACCGAGGCAGGTGGAAGCCTCTGGGATGTGCTGCTGCAGATTATTATTATTATTATTAAATGAATTTATATACCGCTCTATACCCAGATGTCTCAGGGTGGTTCACAGATGCACCATTCACAGTGAGCAGTGATAATGAAGCCATGACATTGACAGTTTGTTTTCAGTTCTTTTCCTAACATGGGGTTTGCCATTTTGCAGCTGCAGAACAGCTGTCAACATTTTCACTGAGCTATCTAGCACAACTCAAATATCTCTTTCCCTGTCAGTCACTACTATTTCAGGCCCCTTTAGTATATATATGTATACACTGCTCAAATGTACACAACTTCACAATTGCTTACAAGGGGTAGGACCTTTTACCTGGGCTAGAACTATGTTGATAAAGTTTGAACACAAAGTAAGACATTCATATGATCCCCACTTGCCACCAAGTCTAGGCCTCTTTATTAAAAAGAAAGGCCCATTTATTAAGAAGAAAGACCCGCTGGGTTCAAGTATTCCATCAGCTTGCAACTTCACTCACTACTTGTGCAGTATGTAGGGCTGCCCATTGAAGGGGGCAAGTCACGTTGAAATCAGTTGGACTTACTTCTGGGTAAACATGCACCACCACATTTGCTGCTTTCCACATTTGTGTTTTGATTTGTTGGAAGCCGCCCAGAGTGGCTGGGGTAACCCAGACAGATGGGCGGCATATAAATAAATATTATAATTATACAAATAGTAAAAACATTAGATGATTACATGTGGACTGTAGTCAGGTTTGCATGAGACTCTCACAGACTGAACACGGGTTTGGATAGTTTGCTCGAGAGTCTGGGCCACTGGTTGTTGCAAATTGCAATTCTACTGTATAAATAGGTATAAGAGATGCATGTGATTTTGTACATATAAAGATTATATGCAAACGCCTAGGAGGTAGGGCGGAACAGCAACAACAAAAATGGAACAACAGAACAGGATGAATTTAGCACCCCTGATCCTGTCATCTATATCGCCTTAAATCGGATAAAATCCTTCCCCGCCCCTAAGACGAACCCTGCGCCGGTTGCGATTTAAATAGGAGGCTTTGGTGAGGCCCCGCCCCCTTCAATCTAAGGTGAACGGCGAGCGGAGGCCCCGCCCACCCACCTCTGCCGGCCTCGCGAGGAGCCGCGACGCAGGCTGTATGGCCGAACATGTCACGTGAGCAGAGGGAGTAGGTGGAGCCTTGAGGTGGCGATAGCCAATCCGCGAAGGGGTAAGATCTCGGCGGAAAGGAAGTTCTTTTTTTTTCTAAGCTAACGCATCTTTGTCGGTGCGACTCTTCACTGCTGGGCTTCCTCGCGAACCGCCGAAGCGACGCGTCTAGGAGTTGCGTGTGCTGAAACTCGGCGGTAGGTCGTCAACAAGGGGCTCGCGGGGAGGGGTCCGATGGAGTGGTTGTTCTGCGCATGCTCGGTGTGCAGCGTGGAGGAGTTCTGGGGCGCTGCACGTCGGGATCAGGCAAGAAAGCTCGTCGCTCTCCAACCCTGAAACCCGCAAGGCCTTTTTCTTTGCAAAGCTTCTCTCGTAATAAATGTCTGAGCCGTTCAAGTGCCCCAGACCTTCCTTTCTGAATGTACTTCTGAGCATGTGCAGAGTTCCTTTTTGGAATTTTATGGTTCTAGCTTCCACGTCAGATAGATTATCACATCCTGGGGTGGATCATATTCTCTGCTGTTTCTCTGCTCTTTCTTTCTTTCTGTCTAGAAGTATTATGTGTATAGCAGCATCTGACTTTTAAATTAGCTGGAACATAGCCTGTTGTGCAAAGGCAAGAGTCACATCCATTCTCCCACCCCGTTTTACCCAAGCATGCAAACATTTGAGGAGGGTTGACTCCCCAGTCTGGTCCACAGAATAACTATTTTGTCATCCTGATTCATAGTGTTCTTTTTGTTTTGTTTTCAGTATAAGGTGCTTACTTGCTTTGGAGCAACACCCTTTCAATGGCACATATCAGTATAAATCAATATCTGCAACAGGTAAGTGATACACTTTTGTGGTGAATCTTACACATCCTTATTTGGAAGCAAGTGCCATTGAACTCAGTGGTGCTTGCTTCTGAGTAGACAAGTCTACCTTTGACTTATCAGCACTATACTCTAATCAACTGAGCTAGCCATTAAAACTCTTATTAGAAAGTAGCTAATTGACTGGGCACAAAGTCTCTTCAAATATTTACCTTTCTTTGCCTCACTAAAATCATCCACTGCTCACTGATGTTCTTTTAGCTGCAGGGGATATAGAAAGCTGGTCTCTGCATTGGTGCAAGAATGAATGTCACATTCCCTTGCAGTGAAACTTGGAGGTTTCCCCACTCTTGCACCAGGAATGAGGGAAATTGTCACTCTCCAGATGTTGTTCGACTCAAATTACCGTCAGTTGCTGGCATCATGACTGCTGGCCAGGGATAATCAGAGCTGAAGTCCAACAACATCTTGAGGGTACCAGGTTCTCCTCCCTAGCCTTTTCACTAAAATGGCAATTGACAAAACAAGGAATGAGAATATTTCTTACTGCCTCTGTGGTTATGGCTAGGGAATTTGTTCTATAATATTTTGTGTGTGTGTTCCTGTTACAGGTGTTAGAATCTATTGACAGCAGAGATGGACTGTTTTGTGCAGAGTTGGTGTCATTTAAACATCCTCATGTTGCAAATCCTAGACTTCAGGTAAGAGATTTGGGTTGCCATCCTGTATACACTTTATCTGCAAGTAATACTAGCAGAACTGAATGGGGCTTACTAAGCATGTTTACTATGGAGTAAAACTATAAAGGTAAAGGATCCCTGGACAGTTAAGCCCTGTCAAACTTGACTATGGGCTGTGGCACTCATCTTGCTTCAGGTCGAGGGAGCTGGCGTTTGTCCGCAGACAGTTTTCTGGGTCATGTGGCCAGCATGACTAAACTGCTTCTGGCACAACAGGACACCGTGACGGAAACCAGAGCACATGGAAATGCCGTTTACCTTCCCGCCACAGCAGTACCTATTTATCTACTTGCATTGGGATGCTTTTGAACTACTAGGTTGGAAGGAGCTGGGACAGAGCAATGGGAGCTCAACCCGTTGCACAGATTCTAACCGTCCACCTTCTAATCGGCAAGCCCAAGAGGCTCAGTGGTTTAGACCACAGTGCCACTATGGAGTAAGCCCCACTGTACATGGTGGCCATTTATTCTGAGTAAACATGTATAATCATGAAAATCTTCAGCATTTACATTAAGGGAACTCAGCTGCTCTGCTGTATTTGTACTGAAAAGGTAATTTCTGCTGTAACCATTTCCAGTGTAAAATAATTGCATTCTGCTACATTGTTTTGGTTAGTTAATTTATAACCGGCTTCATGTTTCAACTATGTGGTTTACTTATCCCAACAAAAAGGAATTGGTATAATGCAAATTCTGCATTCAGTACCAAACAATGCCCCTGATATTACTAATAACAGTTCCACATTTTAAGCAAGATAATTAAAAATGAATCTCTCTAAGCATTGTATATAAATAAGAACCACAAAAATAAAACCTTAATTACTAAGGCAAGCCATAGACCAAATAGTAAGCCCTGCCCATATGTTCAGCTCTTGAATACATTGTCTTTTATTGTACTTTATGAACTTGATTTACATGCGCAATTTTTTCTTGTCACATATTATAATAAATGTGTTTGCATGGATCTGATCACTTTCCCTCATATGCACACCGTTTATTGAATATGCACTGACGTTCTAAATTTTCTCACAGATAATTTAAAAATGTTATCGCAATAGGCCAATTTTAAAATGTTAGCGCAATAGGCCAATTGGTCACACAGGACAATATTGCAAGCTTTATGAATGAAGAACTGTTGCTGTTGTTTTTTCACGCTGTTGAGTCAGTAATTGATTGCACAATGTCCAACAATCCCTGTTCCCCTGGTGGTTTCTTTCCCCTAAATCTAGCCCTTTTTGTTACATTCTTTTGCATGTAACAAGGTATCACATTTCTCATTGCATTTAATTTATTATTAGCTTTCATCTCCAGAAGAAAAATGTCAGCAAGTGCTGGAACCACCCTATGATGAAATGTTTGCTGCCCACTTAAGGTAAAACTTTTTGGGGGGTTATGGCTTGAATTCTTGAAGATTCAAGCTACAAGTTCTATGCATATTTTACCTAGGAGTAAGACTCATTGAACTTAGTGCAGTGCAGAATGAAGGGACATAAGCATTGGAAGCAGTGATAGTAAAAACAGAAAAACTGTAAGAGGAGCCCCAGTGCTCTGTATAATGTGTAACCAGGTTATGTGTATGCTCACTTGAAAATCAGTTCTGCTTTATTCAGTCTGTACAAGATTGCAGTCTGTAAGCTGGAAAGTAAAAAAATAAAATGTGTTACCCTTTCATATTCAGCTCAAATATCTTTTTAGTGTAGAGGAAAATAACAAGTATTACCTGTTGCCAAATACAAATTTTTAGACTTCAGTGCTGAAACAAAACGTACTCGCAAGTAAGCACTCTGGGTAGATATGGGGTTTTTTTTTGCTGAGCAAATAAGCAAAGAATTGCACTTATCAATCTAGCTAAAGAAAATAGTATAAAGCTTTGCTATTGTCTCATGAATCTTAATCTTTGTCTCTCCTCTTGATAGATGTACTTACGCAGTTGCCAACCACGATTTTGTAGAAGCTTACAAGTGCCAGACAGTTATAGTACAATATCCTTTATGATTCACTCCATTAAAAGTCTGCTGTGGAATTCTGAGTTCAGAACCTTCAGCATGGCCTAAGGAATAAACAAGTCTGTGTTATGACAATATGGGCTGCTGGCTGCATTCCCAGGAGAAGATAGTGTTGAACTGAAGGATATGGAGAGATGCTGGGCTTTCGTTAGATAACTGGACAAATGGGACATTTGTGCTGCTGGCTGGATGAACAATATTCCCCACCAGCCTGGTTTTATCCAGATGTTGGTGGGCTACAACTCCCATTACTCTCATCAACTAATGGGATTTGTAGTCCAGCAACATCTGAAGAGCTTCAAGTTGGGGAAGGATGCACCTAACTTCGAGGTACCTGCATAATTGCCACCCCATTGTGGATGGAATTGCTTTTCTCCTTAAAAACCACATTTGCTGTTTGGTAGTGCTGTTATATCCATCCCTTGCTTTAGATATCTAAGTGATACCGGTGGCATGGAGTGACTTTTGCCAGCTTCTGGTGGTGTGGTAGCTTCAGCCTGGATACAGACAACCTGGCTACTGGCAGCCACCCTCTGGTAAACATCTGTAGTGAATTACTGAAATACATGGTCCATGAGGCTGCCCAGTCGCTGTTGCCATTATTGTTGTCTGTGTTTGCTTTAATAACACATCATTATATAAATCACATTTTCCGTAACCCTTGCACATCTTTCCTGAGAGCCTTTCAAGCACACAAAGAAGAAAACTGGTAAGTATCTGGTAAACGTTTAAGGAGAACTATGCCGTTGCTAAATAGAACGGACTTTTCACCTAGATGCAAATGCCATTTCTTCTGTTGATGGTCAAAATGCCATTGCATTTAAAGCCATCTCTAAATGTTTCATCATTAGTTGTGCATAGGGCCAACTAAGGCTATTAGAAATCATGAAAACAAAGGTTGCACAGCTCCCAGCAAGAAGGATTGAAAGGACAAATGTGAAGAGAAAAGATGGAGCGTGTTGTAGGGGAGATGGCATCAAAGAGTACCTTGAAAGGGGTATCTCTGAAGGCTATATATATGTGCTTGAGGGCAAACTTAAAACTGCCCCGTAAGCTGCTAGACTTGGGATATGTTGTATGCATTGTTATGTTGTATTTTATTTTTTTCCAGGGCTTTGCCTATTATGTATGCGGTAGCCCTCGATCTTCGAATTTTTGCTAATAGTGTAAGTAGTATCTTTAGTCACTAAGTTACTGGGTGCCAGTGAGGTTGCTGTGGGGGTGGTGGTGAAGGCCTATCTGATCTGGGGAAAACCTTGGGGTTTTTCTGTGCTCATCCTGAGACTCGCCTTGCCTTGGGAGCACTTGCTCTGCATATTGCTTTGAGGTTTTCTTACACTCAAGCAATATATAAATTTGGTTAAAGAAATTGTTCTTGGGGTCTTGTTTGCAGTGTAAGCAGGACATGCATTGGTTCTACAAAGCAAGCGTTTCCTATAGGGCAGTTGTTCTGACAGCAGACAATCTAATTTTGCTGGTTGTGGGGTTGGGAGGAGAGAGCTGGCCTACGGTGTGTTTAAGGACATGTTGAAGATGTCTACTGCTCAGAGCAAAATGGTTAGACCCTTGATTGTGCAGCTGTGTGTTTGCAACAGGCAGAATGGGGGGTTGATTCATCCTTTTCGAATGCATGTTTGAGTTCTACACTTCATCTCGGTTACTGTTAGGAAAAGACAAAGGCCTGCCAGTAGGAGTATGACTGTGACTCTCGGTTGCTTTGTGTCACGATAGGCTGACCAGCAGCTGGCAAAGAAAGGCAAAGGCAAAGTTGGCGACATGTTGGAAAAAGCAGCAGAACTCCTTATGAGCTGTTTTCGAGTATGTGCCAGTGACACGTAAGTGAATGTGCTGTTTAAATTGGACCAGGAGTAGCCTGTGTGTGTCTGTATATATGTATATAGGTGGCAGCTTGGTTAGGTTCTGTTGATTTTGTCGGTTTGCAAAAAAGTGGATCAGAGGCTTAGAGGATTTTCTTTGTATTTTAAAAAATCCTGTCTTTTAAAATACAATCTGATCCTGATGCATTTTTAATGTTTTTTATAGTCGAGCTGGCATTGAGGATTCCAAGAAGTGGGGCATGTTGTTTCTGGTGAATCAGCTGTTCAAGATTTATTTTAAGGTACGACCTTGAACCAAACTCCTAAAGCAATCCTGCCGTTTTGTGCTGATTTCCCTCTGCTAACGTCACACTTATTTCCAGATCAACAAGCTTCATCTGTGCAAGCCGCTGATAAGAGCAATTGATAGCTCAAATCTTAAAGATGAATACAGTATGGCACAGAGGGTGACATACAGATACTATGTTGGACGGAAAGCTATGTTTGACAGTGACTTTAAACAAGGTACTGTATTGGTTTATTTGTTTTTTGCCAAAAGTGTCGTGCACATTGATGTGGTTTTGTGCAGTTTTAAGCAGTTTGTGTTGGTGCATCTATCTGTAATGCCATTGTGATGTGATGTATTGCACTGGTGCAATAGCGCTTAAGGTGAAGGTACAAACTACAGTTCTTCAAGCCGCAAGTTCTAGGAGTGGGTTAGTTAGCCTTGTTAGCTAAATCTCTCTGCAGATGCACTGCTGCCCATTTAAGAGTGCTATGGGCGCGCGACTCTTTCCTATCTATAATCTGTCATTTGAATTCTACTCAGTATTGATCCAGAGTAGATTCCAATGTATAGTTAGCAGAGTAACAACTTAAACACGTTGCAGGATCCTCCCCAAAAAGGCATTTCATCCAGCAGAGCTTTACTGCTACTGAAGGCAAATGAGCATAATGGTCACAAATCCAGTACATTCAGGATTGGCACTGTCCATAAGAAATCCAGTTGCAGCAGACTTAAACTTGCAGTAACTTATAGTTTGACTAAATCTTAACACTAGATATAGAACTGAGGAGATTTCACCCCTCCCATATCCAAGAATCTCCTGAGGAGTCTGCTGATTCTCCAGAGAGGAGGAGGCGTGTTCTGCTCTCTACTTATTCTGCTCCAGCACCAAATCAGTCAGTCAGTGTCGGAGAGAGAGAGACTGAGTGTTAGAGATCGTGTGTAGAGATAAGGTTGCTGCTAAGAGCAGCTGCAGACACTCAGTGCAGTGCAGCATTTATTTATGCTTAGACCTATTAAGCTCTGTATATAGTTTGTATAGTTGTAGATAGAATAAAAGAAGATATTCTACAGAGCTGCTCTCCGAGTTGTTTATATACTCTGCTAGACTCTGCTGTGCTGCTGACGACTGTCTTCTTGTGGGAGTGAATCCGGTGCTCACAACTCTAAGCTGTGAGTCCACAGCACTTTGACCTGTTCCTGTGCAGAAGGTGGTCTCTGGAAGTGCTACCCAGCTCGCCTAGCCCAGTCGGGGCTGAAGTGGATGAGTCCAGTTGGTGGCACTGGCTCAAGGGCGATGCTGACAAGAACACCATACCAGAAGGAAAAGAGATAGGAGAGAGAATGAAACCCAGGCTCCATCTGGCCTCAATATTATAGTCAGCATGACCTTGACAGAAAGAGATAACCCAACCAGTTTAAACCAGCTGTACTCAGCTTTTCTGAAGGAATAACCCGAACACCATGAACCTTCTGCTTGTTTATTTCACACAGAGAAGCTTCTGGAACCTTCTTGACTTAAGTAGAATAGGACAGATCTCTACACCTAAGATCAAGACTTTCTGTACTAAGAAATGCAAACTGAAATAATCCCCCTCCCCAACCTTTCAGTTTCAGATGAAACTATGGCTAGTATTACATTTGAACCGCGTGGTTTCATTAACCATAGTTAATGGCAGCCATGGTTAGAAATGGGTTTGCACTAACTGGTTTATGTCGATGTAACACTGCCCATAGTTAGCCCTGAAGCTGAAAGAAGAAAAGGGGATTGTCCAGGAGAGAGCCAAGGAAGGGAGAATGCACAACCCCCAAAGCACTGCTGATGTCCTAAATCTAGTTCTGTGGTAATGTCTACCTGAAACTAAAGTGGGTGGAGTTGCATTAATATTGTAGGTATTTTAAATATATATTTTTTCTTTCTCTAGTTTTATTGATATACTACTTTCAGTGTTCAAATATATCTGTTGGGGCGGGGGAATGAAATGACCTGAAAATAAGTGAAATGGCTCTCATTCAACTTAGGTCGTATACTTAAAAAAAACCAAAACAGTGTATCAGAGTCTTTTGCTTTCTCAAACACTTGGGTTTCTGGCAAACATTGGAAGGCAAAAGCTTATTTTAGAAGACATCTGAAGGCAGCCCTGTTTAGGGAAGCTTTTAATGTTTAATAGATTATTGTATTTTAGTGTTCCTTTGGAAGCCACCCAGAGTGGCTGGGGAAACCCAGCCAGATGGGCGGGGTATAAATAATAAATTATTATTATTACACTTCAGGAAAGCTGATACCACAGAGCTAACAGTGAGTGTGGAAATAAATGCTATTAAACTTGACTATATACAAGCCGCACTCAAATATGATGATAAATACTTGGTTTGGGTGGGGGAAGGAGTGGCGGAGGCTGGTTTTATTTCAGTGTGAATACTTGCAAAACTGTAAAATAAAGGACAAAAAGCCGTGAACCTTTTCCAGGTAGCTTTGACGCCATTATTCTAAAAAGTGTTTCCTTACCATTGGTAAATATGAGGTATCTGTTTCAGCCATGGCATTAATCTTCTTTCTGTGTTTTCAGCTGAAGAGTATCTATCTTTTGCCTTTGAGCACTGCCACCGCTCCAGCCAGAAAAACAAAAGGATGATTTTAATTTATTTGCTGCCTGTGAAAATGTTACTGGTGAGTGGCACCTGAACATATCAAAATCCTTTAGGCATACTCCAGCGCTTTGTAACTACGATCTGTGTTTACCAGGCTGTTCAGACAAGTATAGGCTAGGGTGAACCTGCACAACATGTAACCTCTCAAGCTGAACGTGTGCCGCCACCACCACCCATGGAGAAATCCAGCCACATGCTTGATAACTTATCAGCATTTAAAGTTCCTAGTTCGCAGCAAAACCAAGAGGTGTATTCAGTGCCTGGTAGTTTATGCTTGGCTTGGTGAATCACCAAGTCAATGGTGAAAATTGCAGAATGGCTCAGTTGGAACTCTGCTGAGAACCATTCCAGAACAGAGGGCTGGAATTCTTCAAGAGCAGGATGTCCTAAAGCTGTCAAATCAACTTCAGACTGTGCTTTGATTTCAGGGCCACATGCCAATGATCCAGCTTTTAAAAAAATATGACCTCATGCAGTTTGCTGAAGTTACAAAGGCTGTGAGGTAAGTTTCATTTCTTTGACAGAATCTGACCTTTTATGAGCTGATTTCCACATTCACAACAGGGCTTCAGCTTCCTTCCCTCTCCCCTAAAACCTTCCCTACTGCATAGAAAACTACTGTGTCCAGAAGAAACAGTTCTCCTTTTCCCTGTCTAGCCACCTCCTTCCCTATGTCTATGTACCATATGTAGGAAGGACGTGCTGTATGTGTCTGCCCTGAAACAAGCCTTTTCAAAACACTTCTTAATTTTAAATTCCTCTAGTGAAGGGAACCTTCTTTTATTGAACGAGGCTCTGGCGAAACATGAGACATTCTTCATCCGCTGTGGTATCTTCCTTATTCTCGAGAAGCTGAAAATCATCACCTACAGGAATCTCTTCAAGAAAGTGTAAGAAGAGTATCACTCGTGTTGTCTGAAAAGGCAGTCTGTGATGAATATGTACTTAGAGTTATTATAATAATTTCTGGTGTTAAATATAGGGAAAAGCCATCTGGGCTTGAATCATATTACCTCTTGCCATTTTCGTTAACAGAGTCCTGTGACATTTTGAATGGCGGAAATAAACAAGCTGAAGTTTTTCCTTCAGAGCAATTGGTTCCTCTTACACCTAGGGCCTAATAATTAGAGAGCCAGTGTGGTGTAGTGGTTAAGAGCAGTGGACTCGTAATCTGGTGAACCAGGTTCGATTCCCCGCTCCTCCACATGCAGCTGCTGGGTGACCTTGGGCTAGTCACGCTTCTCTGAAGTCTCTCAGCCCCACTCACCTCACAGAGTGTTTGTTGTGGGGGAGGAAGGGAAAGGAGAATGTTAGCCACTTTGAGACTCCTTCGGGTAGTGATAAAGCGGGATATCAAACCCAAACTCCTCTTCTTCTTCCTAAGTATAAGAGTGCTGATTAAAAATGTATTTTCCTGTTTGTAGGCCTAGATTTACACCTTTGCCAGATATTCCTGGAAGCAGTTGTTAATGTAATAGCCATTATTGCTTTTCAAATCCATTTCTTGGTTTGAGATTTCCCTGTTAAGATTTGGTTTATAGACCTGGGAAGTTTTACCTGAAAAGGGAAGACCGTCCAGCATGGGGGAAGACTGACTCTGACCCCTTTCTCTTGACTCTGCCCCTGGTCCTGCTGGCATACGAAGATTCAGCCAGGCTGCCATGTTTGTTTGTTCGTTTTGTTAGGCGACTCTCCCTTTTGGTAGCCATGATGCTAGTTACCTTGGAAAAATTTCTAGGAACATTTCACTGAATATGAACAAAGCTTGTAGAAATCAAGTTAGGGGCAAGAAGTAAAAGTGAATTACATTGTGTTAACTTTGTTTTCTTTCCTTTTTTAAAAGGTAAAGAAGTTGACAGATTCAGGAACAACTGGCATAACTAGATTATTTTGCCCCCTAACCCTGTGCTTGCAGTACAGCCTTAGGTTTCTATCCCACCTCAAAAATAAAGGAGGATGCAATGGATGCAGCTAAGCTTGAGATTTTAGTGACTAAGTGAGGTTTATTTCCCCCTTAAATCTTTGTCCAAGCATTATAACAGGTCGCACCCAGCTTTGACTCTCTGCTGAGGAAAAAAAAATTGGTTGGATTAGCATGGCCTGGCCTTTAGGTGGGGCTCAAATATGGTTTCCCCAGATAGAGAAAGTATTTTGTACTCCGCCATTTACAGAAATATGAATTGGTACTTACAGGATAGAGATGGTGGGACTCCCATCTAGGTTTGCTACAGTAACTGAGGTGTGCTTGTTCTTCTTTCAGGTATTTGTTACTCAAAACTCACCAGCTGTCTTTAGATGCCTTTCTGGTTGCCCTGAAATTCATGAAAGTTAATGATGTTGATACGGATGAAGTCCAGTGCATTCTAGCTAACCTCATATATATGGTGAGCATCATGGTTTTTCATTCATCCTGAACAAATGAAACCATTCTGCAGAAACATGTTGTTGTCGTGCCAGGCCTATATAAAACCAACTCTCAATTCATTAATGAACACTGGCAAGTTATTTGCATATATGGTGGCATGCAACGACTATACATAGACTTGTGCCTATTCAGTGCAAATAGTTTATAAATCTAATATTAAAGTATTATGCAAGGGGCATTTTCTTAGCGGTGGTTTTACGTACTACCACAATACGTGTACAAAAGGATGTCTATTATCCTGTGCAGGCCTCTCACATTGCCCAATTTCTTTTCTGTAAAAAATGAAAAAGGTTTGCCATTTTTCTGGCTTTTCATCCACTGTTAACTACACAGCGTTCCATTTAAGTAGGAAATGAAAAACCATTCCTTTATTAACATGATGATATTATTTGGAAGCCCTGTGCACTTTACTGAATGCATATCTCATTCCAGCAAAAGTCTATAAAGGGTTTTACCTTCACAATATTCTAATATTCATTTCACAATATACTAATATTCATTTTCCTGTTCCAGGGTCACATCAAAGGCTATATATCGCACCAGCACCAAAAGCTTGTTGTCAGCAAGCAAAACCCGTTTCCTCCATTGTCTACCGTCTGTTGAATCTGCTGTGACCTAAATGGAGACATGCTGTCCATCGACGCTGGTTGCTGTTGGAGCAGGATGGAACTGGCCGTGAATTTAGACCAAATCTGCTGGGAGTACTCATGAGTATTTAAGAGACTGCTATAATGAAATGGGGCTTTCCTGCTTATTCCTCCAACCCAAACCCACTCTGCACTCTGCATAGGACCTTTACTAACAGCAGACAGGCAGAGGCTGCAGCAGGCTAGGGAAAATGGGAGAAACTAGCGAGGCTGCCTTGTGGAACTGTGCTGGATCCAAGCCTTGTAGAAAACTGCAACCTTTTTTAAAAAATTGTTTTTGTACAGTTGTGTCTTCTTTTGACACCCTTTGGTTAAATGTTACTATAGCTGGAACAGTTGAAAATGTGTTTTGCAACCATTTGTATCTGATATTGGTTGACTAAATACTGAATAACAGTAAACATTTATCTTGTGGTATTTGTGTGTTCAAACGACAGAGAAGGGCTAGAAAATCCTCATTTTTCCCCTGAGAGGATTGAAACTTTTATTTATTTAATTGGACGTTTTAAAAATGCTTTGGTGTGGCTTGTGTGCTTTCCTCATGCACTGTGTGCAACCTCCGTTTAGCATCTTTTGAAATAGTTGACTACAAAAAAGAGACATTGAATTTACAAAGAATAATAGTTTGTCTGGTTTTGTAAAATAGTTGCATAGCTCCATTTTGTTAAGCATTCTGATTCCTTTCTGCAGTGTGTATCCCAGGAGTCACAGAAATAAATGTGATAATTCCCACTGAAGAGACTACAGCGGTGAATAAGAAGAATGTTTTTGGCATAAATTTATAGTCAGATTTTACACCACGGTTTTAACAATTTATGCAGGTGACATTTATACGCAGATGGGCTTTCATTGCCCCTGCAAGATGGCATGTAGGACAATGTCGTGAAGTGTTGTCTGAAATCCTGTCATACAGGCGCACCCCTGCTTGCTAAAACTCATGCAAATGTAGCTATGAAAATCAAAAGGCACCAACCAGTTGCAATATCTCAGGACCAGCTAGTACTGTGTAAATAAAGCTACATTATTATTATTTTTTAAATGATGTTAGTAATGTGTTCTGTTAAAATGCATAGGTCAGGGCAAAAAGTTTTATTGTCAACAGTTAAGTGCACGTAATTTTTACAACTGACTTCTACACAAATACATACAAATGCCGGGCCTTGCCATTCCATATATTCCTCTGCCCTTGCTTTCGGTTAGTCCATTTTTTGCTTAAACCACATCATGTATCGTGTCGTCTTAGTGAATATAAGTGTTTCCCACTTAGTTGCTTCTGTTGCCCATGGTTCTAAAACACCCGTCAGAAACCAAGTGCCTTTATAGTCAACAGCGCTAAAGCTACCTCCAGCCAGTAGTTCTCCCGATACTTCGCGGCTATAGCCACAGAATTCCCTTGTTATCAGTGTCCTGTTGAGGATTTGCTTGCATTCGTCTCCGTTGAGGTACGAAACCGACAGCTCCGCCGTTGAACCTGTGGAGGTATTTCCATCGGCTTTCCAGCCACTGAGAGTGGCCTCCCGTTCCGAAATCAGCACGTGCTCCGCAAAATCCCTCTCTGGGATGCATATGGGCAGGTGGTGGCTGCTGCAGCCAATGTGCTGTTCGAGTTCAAGCAAAGCCAAGTTGTTCTCACCGGTGTCACTATCATAGCGGATGTGTATGTTTATCTGTTTCACAGGTATTTCTTGCCTAGCTCTTTGCAGCCTGTTGATTCCTGTGCAAGTAATGATGTACCCGTTAGTTGTTGCAATAGCATTTGCTTGGAATAGGCTCACATTGGCAAACAGTTATTATAGCAATAGTGCCTTGAATTGAAATAAGCACATAGCCATTTCTCAATAGGACTTAACGACATTATACTCTGGCGATACTGTTAGTTTCCAAACGCATCTGGACTGTCAGCAAATCCTTTTTTGGTGAGAAGAGCAAACATTTGATACGGAGCTCGCAGGAATGCATGTGTATGTTTACCGCCCTTTCACCCCAATTTTTATAGGGGCGGAAAGAAGAGAAACCACAGAATGCTACAACCTTAAAGGTAAAGGTAAAGGAACCCCTAACCATTAGGTCCAGTCGTGGCCAACTCTGGGGTTGTGGCTCTCATCTCGCTTTACTGGCCGAGGGAGCCGGCGTACAGCTTCCGGGTCATGCGGCCAGCATGACTAAGCTGCTTCTGGCGAACCAGAGCAGCGCACAGAAACGCCATTTCCCTTCCCACCGGAGCGGTACCTATTTATCTACTTGCACTTTGATGTGCTTTCGAACTGCTAGGTTGGCAGGAGCAGGGACCGAGCAACGGGAGCTCACCCCGTTGTGGGGATTCGAACCGCCGACTTTCTGATCGGCAAGTCCTAGGCTCTGTGGTTTAACCCACAGTGCCACCTGCGTCCCATACTGTTGTTGAAAATGTCATTTACTCTTGCCCAGGTCAAATCCTGAGTGGGTTGACTTGGCAAAGCTAGGAAAGTTCTCTAGAATTCTTACAACTCTTAATATGGATTTGGTAAGGTTGGGTATGTGTCACAGTCGCCTGCTTATCTTGGAATGCAATGGTGAAGCGTAATCTTTTGTTGGTTATCTACACCAATTGCCTGAACCAAAGTGGTTGCAGTCTTGTTAATAATAGTTCCTGCACAACCCCCAGTGTGAAATGTACGGGAAGTGCACAAAAAGTACCTTCATGCGCTTTTGCATTGCAAAGAGGAGACATGCCTGAGATGGCTGTGAGCTTTCAAAACGGAGATTTGTCATTGAAATTCTACTCAATATTGATCCAGAGTAGATTCCAATGTATAGTTAGCAGAGTAAAAATTTAAACACCTTGCAGGATTCCCCCAAAATAGAACAGAGGCATTTCATTCAGCAGAGCTTTACTGCTACTGAAGGCAAATGTGCATAATGGTCACAAATCCAGTACATTCAGGATTAGCACTGTCTATAAGAAATCCAGTTGCAGTAGACTAACTCACACTTACAATAACTTGCAATAAGTCTAAAACTTAACACAAAGCATACTATGTACAGAACACCACACCAGAAGGAAAAGATAGAGAAAGTGTGAAATCCAGGCTCTATCTGGCCTATTATTATAGTCAGCAAGACCTTGACAGAAATAAATAACAGGACCAGTTTAAACCAGCTGTAATCGGCATCTCCGAAGGAATAACCCAAACAACATGAACCTTCTGCTTGTTTCTTTCACACAGATAATTCAAGAGGGTGGTGGAAGCTTAAGTAGAATAGGAAAGATCTCTACACATCAGATCAAGAAATGCAAACTGACAAAAGGGTCATTTGGCTACCTACCAATCACAGCGATGACGGGAGTCAGCCGTGCACATTCAGCTGTAGTCAGGACAAAGTTAGTTTTCAGTAGAACACCACCACAGAACCATTCTCCTTCTGAGTTTAAGAGCAGGACCTTGAAAGTATGGAAGACAGTACATGGCTCTAATTTAGCAATTTTAAGTCCATAGGGCAGAATACATCGTTCTTCTGCACCAGGGAACACACCACTACAGAAGAAAAGCTCATTTCTGGTGTAACCACAACCAGTCAAAGGGATGTTGAGTGCACTGCAAATTGGGCAAAAGTTTAGAGGGGCAGTTGAGAGGAGGGAAGAGAGCAAGCTGTGGTCTGAGCAAGGAAAGTGGGGACAGACCTGCCTAAGCACTGGTTAGGCACATATTTACAGCAAGTCTGGATAAAGGCTGTGTTCAACATTTCACATACCTGCCAAGGGAATCCTCTCTGGATTGTTTCGGTTGCATCCAGCTGCACTGGTAAGTGGTCTTTATGTCTGCCGCATGCACACTGATCTAACAATGGTAGGTAAAAATATGGAGAAATGCTATGAGTGGCTTCCAGAACTTTGATTCATTTTTAATATTAACTTCTTTGTGGGGGGGGGGAGCCCAGACACACCACTAAACCCAATCAGATCCTTGGTTGACAAAAACAAGCACAGTTCCTTTCCATTTAGCTACAGTTTTGCTCGGTGGGTTTTGTCACGACTCTGAAACCAGATATTCATTTCTCCCCCTCAAATTTGCATTGTAAAGAAGGCTTGGGCTTTATACACGGCATGCATGAGTTTTAAGGATGATGTGCACATGTCACAACTTTATGAATGTAATTTGTTTACTTTCTTCCACGGGAAAGAAAAAGTAATTTATTCCTATGGGTTGGTGGGGAAGGTACTGTTCTTTTGGGCAATGTTGCAATGGGGGTAGGGCTACCCAGTCTCCACCAAAAGGCGACCCCAATGGGTAGGCATCTCTGCCTGCAATGTCCAAGCATATCTCTCTCTCTTGCTCTCTCTCTCTCTCACACACACACCAATCCCTGCAAAATAACAGTTCTCTATGCATACTCCAACCAATCATAATGATATACATTTTTCTCACAGTACAGTAGTAGTAATAATAGCAACAGCAGGGGACAATCAGCAGTGCCCACTTATGAATGGAAGGAACCCCCAGGAACAGAATGGGACTTCCCCTTCCTCTCCTCCCCTCCCCACCACAGCTTCCCCACCACCAGAGAGTTGGGAGACAAAGGACCAGAAAAGAGAATTCAATTGCACAAGCATTGACTCACATGAGGTTGGATATCATCCAGTCTTTGTACAGGGATGTACATAAGGACTTTCGGGGGGGGGAGAGAACCCCTGCAATTCTTAGCAACCCACTAAGAGAGGCAGCTATCCCCGTTTTACAGAAGGGGAAGAATGAAGCAGCCACTGGATTTTATGACTGATGTGATGACTTGAATCACAGTTCATTTCCTTAACTACTATGGTACATTGGCCTGTATTGTTACCTCCTAAAATAATTATTTTCTTTTCCATTTTCTAGACTTACCTTGGGGAAGGCATGATTTAGCATCTTTCCCAAGTTCATAGGCTTTTGCACACGAACAGCGGTACGACGTCAGTTCTGGATAGCAGAAGTGCTGGCAGCCCTCGTTTATTTCATGGCGGCACTCATTTTTAGCTACAGAAAAAAACACACATTTAAAACTACAGTGGTACCTCAGGTTACATACGCTTCAGGTTAGATACGCTTCAGGTTACAGACTCCGCTAACCCAGAAATAGTACCTCGGGTTGAGAACTTTGCTTCAGGGTGAGAACAGAAATCGTGCTCTGGCGGCGTGGCAGCAGCGGGAGGCCCCATTAGCTAAAGTGTTGCTTCAGGTTAAGAACAGTTTCAGGTTAAGAACGGACCTCCGGAATAAATGAAGTACTTAACCAGAGGTACCACTGTATAGAACAAGCATTTAAACAAAGGACAATCTCCAGTGAATCCACTCACTTATGCAGAGGAAATATCCTTGCACAACAGGACTTCTGATTTCACTTCTCTCTGCTCCAGCCTCTGATGTACCTCCCAAAATCTAATCTAAGGGCTTCCTCAAAACTCCAAAGCAGTTTTGGGGGACTTCAGGAGGGAGAAATGAAGGAGAAGTTATGTTGCGCAAGCAGACACCAGCTTGTACTATATCAGATCTCACCCAAAATTAACAATCAGCTGAAATTATCTTGCAGAAATTAACATGGGCTCCCTTTCCCTAATATTTATTTATTTTTTCTTTGATGCTCAATTATTTTTCTAGCATCTACAGGCTTAACCACTAGTCCCTATTTTTGTGTGAGATACATGACACTTGCGGCATCCATTAATTCCTGGCAGCAATGTTTTCCAGAAAAGACTAAAGCTGTAATCCAGCTGTAACAGTCAGATTTCACTTTTGACTATGGAAGTCAAGAGTTTACCATTTATCTTGGGAATAAATTTAAAAGAAAGCAATTCACACATCCATCATTCGCCCGAAGAACAACTGCCTTTATGATCAGAAATGGCGAGTTGGGTTCAGAATTCCACCCATGGGATATTCTTATTAGAGAGCTGGAGGGAAGAGGTGACTCATCAATTTATTCTCTCTGAAGCCCTCCATGCATCCTGAAAATCTGTTCAGGATGTGGTTGTTAAGACCCTCCCACAAGCAGCATGGAGGTGGCATGAGAAGCTGTAGGAGGAAGGTGGTGATTGGTGGAAATCACCTCCCATCACCATCTGTTTTAAAACTGAAGCATCTCCCTAGATCTCAGTTCTATCCGCAAACGGAAGGATCAAATATGTAATCTCTTGCTTGTCAGACAGAAAGGGGGACAATTGTGTACAACACCCTTGTGAATTTTCCTATGGCACCTAGTTAGCTATTGTTGGAAGATAGAGATTCATAATGAGTAATTAATAATGATATTACGGGACATAGGCTGGATCTAGACACACCAAAGAAGCGTTTCAGGTTAAAGCGTTGTTAATTTAAACAGGGAAAACAGGTAGAGAAAAATGGGACTCCACATCGCCGTCTGGTGGCACAATGTTATATTTAGAGAGATTCTAGGAAATGATGTGGCACATGCCTTTTTATAAAGAGAACATTGCCATTTACCAAAAGCACAGTTGGCTCCTTCAAAGCCATCTCTACAATCACATGTGTAGCTTCGGATGCTGTCCTTGCATACACCATTATGCAGGCAGGGGTTGGAGGAACATGGTGCACCATCTTGGGGGGGGAGGAGAGGAAATATTATTAGTAAGTGCATTTAGAATAGTGAGAATATTTTCTGCTGCATCGAAATTGTTTTTGTGAACCCCATTCCCTCCCCTCTAAAAACCCACATTTCAATAAGGGATGCTGCCCAGTTTCAGTAGTCCTGATTTCAGAATGTGAATCTTGGCAACTCTTGGAAGGCATTATAAAGGTAAAGGGACCCCTGATCATTAGGTCCAGTCGTGGCCGACTCTGGGGTTGCGGCGCTCATCTCGCTTTATTGGCCGAGGGAGCCGGCATTCAGCTTCCGGCTCATGTGGCCAGCATAACTAAGCCACTTCTGGCAAACCAGAGCAGCGCACGGAAACGCCGTTTACCTTCCCACTGGAGCGGTACCTATTTATCTACTTGCACTTTGACGTGCTTTCAAACTGCTAGGTTGGCAGGAGCAGGGACCGAGCAGCGGGAGCTCACCCCGTTGCGGGGATTCGAACCGCCGACCTTCTGATCAGCAAGTCCTAGGCTCTGTGGTTTAGCCCACAGTGTCACCCGTGTCCCGGAAGGCATTATACCATCAAGTTAATCTGTATCCAAACTGCTTCTGAACCCAATTTTTCTGCCTGCTTGCTTGCTGCTGCTCCTGCAGTAGGAAGGGCAGAAATTTATACCCTTTGCAATATAGGAAGCTGCTTTAAATTGAGTCAGGCCAATGGTCCACCTCAGTTGTCTATGCCAATTGGCAGCGGCTCACCATGGTTTTGTACAGGGAACATCTCCTGCCTGGAGATGCTAAAGATCAAACTTGAGACCTTCTGCGTGCAAAGCAGATTCTTTGCCAGTGAGCTATGACCCTCTGACACTTGGAAAGTAGCTGTGGCTGCAGCCCAGGTGCCAGGAATGGTGGGAAATTCAGCTTTCCTGGCAAACGTGTGTGATAAGTTGTGGGTGAACATATCAGACGACACAGTGATTCTTCAAACAGCTCTTGTTTATTCACAGGCCAGAACAGAACTGAACTGAAGGGTTCAGTCAGCCTGCTTATATAGAGCTCCAGTACAACGTAACTGTAACAATTTTCTAAAACTATCCAATCACTGAATGTCACTTTCGATCCCTTATTTGCATAACTATCTACAGTATCCCCCTGCTGGCCCAGGGTGAGAACTTCAGTACATAACAGTGTGAACTCTATTTTCCCCACACTTCTGGCTTCTGTTTCACAGCTGTAGCAGAGTGCCAAGTACCAGATAAGTCAATTTGGCTCATAAGTGGACTTGGAATAAATCTAAACATTTCCCAAGTTTGAAACAGAATAATTGGGTTTTCTAGAGCAAATTACTAATTGGACCAAAGCCTAACTGGAGTGATTTGCCTCATCACTTATTTCAAGGGCAAATTTTCTGCAATAATTTGGCTCACACCCTACTTCTGTGATCATCCAGTTCATGAGGCAAGTCCAAGAATGGAGGAGAGCTGGAGGAACTGAATGGACTTGTTATTTATGTATTTTCCCTGCCACAAAACAAAAGAGCAAAAGGAAGTGTATATTAGCCTCATAACATATGCTCTATTATCAACAGATTTCCTTTAGTATAATGAGCAACTCCAATAAATCCCTTAGTTTTTAATATAATATCCAATAAAAAAATAATGAAATATGAAAAACTACTTACCAAAGTAGCCATTCCAAAACTTGTCCTGGGGGAAAAAATGTAATGTTTTTTGTTTTTAACAGTGGACCATCTCTCTCTCTCTCTCTCTCTCTCTCTCTCTCTCTCTCTCTCTCCCCCCCAGCAACATATTGTACCAAATATAGGATTACCACCTGATTTCTCTGATGATTTCTCTGTGTGATATTGGACAGAAAAAGTTAATGGGGTCAGTCAGACTGCTTAAAAGATCCTTAATAGTAAGGGGTGAGAACCAATGTGGTACAGTGGTTAGAGTGCCGTACTAGGAATTGGGAAACCAGAGTTCTAATCTCCACTCAGCCTAACCTACCCCACAGGTTTGTTGTGAAAAATAGTGCAAGAATGATTATATCTTAAGAATTTATCATTGGTTCAGCAACGATTGCGTCATGAATTGGATTTCAATGCCAGGACTACAGCTCGATTGATAGGCCCATAAAGGTAAAGTTTAGAATACATACAGTTTTCTCAGTGTCTTCAAATACTTCTCTAGCCTCTTCGTATGTGCACCTTTCTTCAAGGCATTCTCTTTCCAAATTACCTTGGAGGAACTCTTCGAAATACATGAATCTGGCACGCTTAGACCTTGCAACAACTTGATTTGCATCCCCAGCCGACAGAAACACTGAAAAGAGGGGAAAGGTGGAGGGGAGCAAATAGATTTTGCCCACAAACCTACTGGGAGCAATCTCTCTCCATGTGTATTTCGCTTCCTATGCATGGAGCGATCAGAATAGCTTTCTGTAGAGTCAAGCTGGGGGAACTTATTCAACCTTTCCAGGCACCCTTTTGAGTAGCTTGTGCTAGTGGTGGGTAGTGCCACAGGCAAAAGTGTCCCAGAACTTTGAAATGTATTTCACAGACCATGTGACTGAACCACTAATTTTGGTTGCATCTGATGAAGCAGACTCTATTGCTGAGAGCTCACATATATACATGCGTATTATTTCAGAAAGTGCAAATCTGGTCAACTTGGCTTTAAAAATGTGAACCAAATCAAATTTCACTCTGATCCCTACTACCAAATATACTGCATCTATATAGATCACGGAATCTGCCATGTGAGTCAAACCAACTAAGTTTTCACCTAACTGAAGAAGACTGTTTTGGAGGGGAGTAGCTCTCAAAGGTACAGATTAAATGACAAGTCTAAAAGCCCCCGACTCCCATGTCCATTCATATATGGCAAATTAACACTGTTGTGGACAAAACACCATACCTTTCGATTCTGCCTGATGAAAAATGAATGCAAGGAAGAGAAACCATATTGTCCAGTTGTTGTGAGTTCCCATTTTGGTTCCCTTGGAACAGTTAATTGGATTTCGCCTGCTTAGCAGTTAGCTCTTGGGTGAAGTTACTGAATGACTAAAGTTTAAAGTTCAAGAACCCAGTAAGAAAACAAAAGGGCAATGGCAGGGCCTAATATTTACAAATGGAAGCTCTGAAAGAAAGGACTTCTTCCCTACAGTGGCAGGAAGCATTCCAGGATATCTCTACAACTGACCAAAACTTACTCCATGTTGTGGCAAGATATTTCAACCCCCTTCCCTCAGCAGCTGAAAGCAAATTGGGTTCTGTAAGCGGGCGAGGGCATTGAAATACCCTAGAACTTCATCACGCCAGCCTGTTGTATGGATCTTTGGGGACTCTGTCGCTGAACTAGGACACATGAAGCTACTTGTCTGCCCTAATCCAAAACAGATTGCATACATTCAGTTGCGATTACAGTTTTGCAATTTGTTCCACCCAAATGGTTTTTAGGAAATGAGATGCTTTAGAGCGTAATTACTGTAAATATGTGTACGATTTGCATTTGGCTTATGGATGTTAGGATTTTAGGAAGTTGGAAAACGCTGAATGTTATTCTATTGAATCAAAATCCCTCATCTGTAACACTTTTTGGGAATACACATTTCTAGCACTGTTTCTGCATTGGTACTTTGCGGCCACAAGAGGGAGAACACACACAATTTAGTGGACAGGCTTTCTGCCAAGCTATAGACTGGGAGATTGAGAGTCACTAGAAAATGGGGCTACAATTCAGTGTATGGAATGAAACAAAGATCATCAAGTATTAGCTATGTACATTCTCTAGCCAGATAAATACAGGGAGGTTGGCCCATTCAGATGCAGGCTTGCAGATGATTTGTGATTTCTGAACAGGTTGGAATACTAACCTTCTGTGGCAGCTCTCAACTCACATGGCCTGATAACATGCTTTCAAAAAACAAAACAAATCCAGCACCGTCCACAAGGCATATAATTTGTTGCTACTGTAAAGGATGCGTTGTTGAAAATGATGTATAACAACATAGCGTTTTCCCATCAGATAAACGTTAACACTTTCTTTTATTATGGCATTATAGGGACGGGGGAAGAAATTCAGTTCAGTTAGCATTTAAAGGCTAACATGGAATTTGTGATTCTATAAAGAATACATGAAGCAAAACATCCTTCAAAACTTGCACTTCTCTGAATTTTGCAATCCAGTTCTCCAGACAAGTAAATGTGCACAAAAATGCATGTACTAGGTGGGCACAGAATACATATAAATCAAAATAACATACAAAAATGCATTGCATTAGGCAAAACTACATACTATATTGATCTTTCTTGTTCTGGAAGAACACCTGCACAAGGCTTTTGAAATGAAGAGGCCATTAAAGTAACATAGTGTAAGTCATCCCTTACTAAGCTGGTGCCCTCAGGATGTTTTGTACTACAACTCCCATCAATGCCAACCAGCATAGCTGTGCTGGCTGTGGCTGATGGGAGTTATAGTCCAAAAATAATCCTGGTTGGCAGAGGCTGGCTTAAGTCCTAGGCAAAGTGACCTATTTAATTCATCTGTGGAAATGCCTGTGTGAAACACGACAATAAACCATGATCAGGGAGACAATGGTTGTCCTCTTACGCTCCACCGTGTTACAGCTTTGGACGCATTATTCTCCTCAGCCAACCTATGAATCTCGACACCTTGGTATAAATCCCATATTTCCCCTCCCTTGCACACCCTTCCCCCCAGCTGATTACACCAGTCACAAAATAAGTGTCCCAGTATTGAGTGACATGTGGTCCTCCGCTGTCTCCCTGACATGCATCTTGGGCTACGGTATGGTAACCAGCACAGAACATATTTTCAGTGATTGGGAAATTGCTGGATAGCTTGCAGATATGCCTCTCGACATAGGGGACATCAATTTTTTTGAGCGTGGCGGAAACTCGGCCTCTTTCGTGGAGGCGGCCAAAGCCACTGATCATACCCTTTCCTGCTCTCATCAGGACTTGATTTGCAAAGTCCGCAGTGGGAAGGCATGCAGGGATCACGTTTTCGGAAAACTGGATAGGGGTCTTCAGCTGAATGAGGGCTATATCGTAATCATAGGTTGCCAAAACAAATTTTTGATGTACGTATATCTTCTCCACTGTATGAACAGTCCCTGTTCTTGCACTCACTGTTGTGTTCACTTCCCCTGTGTGAGAACAACACAGTATAATTATTACGTGATACAAATATGAGGTGCATTGGTATTCAAAATGGGTGTTGTTGTTATTAATCTCCCCCCATTAGAATATAATAAAAACAACAACATTTGTACTCCACAACATTTGATCCAGAATAAATACAAAACTTGCTGATCTCTTCCCAACTCATCCAGTCCTTGCTCACAAAACTATGTCTTTCCACCCTCCCAGAACCCCAACTTCTGGATGTATAATGATAATAATTTTGACACCTATTATTTGACACCTGATAATACAGTTAACCGAATTAACAAATAGATTTTTTTAAAAATTCAATGGAAGACAGAACGAAGAACAGGGAAGGGGGATGAAAATGGCAATATTTTCTGAGATTCTGTGGCAGCTGCCAGAGGTAAGCAGGGGTTGCGCACACCTCCTGAATTGCCAAAAAGGTAAGGAAGTCCCGCCAGGTATCTTCAAGATGATCTGCATTTTCTCTAAGTCTGCCTACACACTATACACTTCCTGCTAAATATTTGAAGGACATTTGAAGCGCATTCTTTCATTCAAAGAATTCTGGGAACTGTAGTAGTCTGCTACTGGGAATATTTCTGGGACCAGTCTTCCCACTACGCATAGCGAGGGCAGCTTATTTCGGGAGTCACAAAAAGGTTGGAAACCGATGGCAATTTGTTATTGTTGCATTTTTCCTGCCAGGAAAGGGAGGAAGTACTTGTGGGATTTGCTCTCTCAGGTGACAGAATCATTTGTCCAGCTTGGGTATTATGCTCCTTGATATGTGTGTGTGCGCGCACACACACACTCACCATTTGCAGCTCTGACTCAGACAGGCTGGCCCTAGACGTTCTATGACTGGGACTTGCACTTTCTGTAAAGGTAAAGGGTAAAGGGGACCCCTGACCATTAGGTTCAGTCGTGGCCAACTCTGGGGTTGCGGCGCTCATCTTGCTTTACTGGCCAAGTACAGCATCCGGGTCATGTGGCCAGCATGACTAAGCCGCTTCTGGTGTACCAGAGCAGCACACGGAGACGCCGTTTACCTTCCCGCCGGAGCGGTACCCATTCATCTACTTGCACTTTGATGTGCTTTCAAACTGCTAGATTGGCAGGAGCTGGGACCGAGCAACAGGAACTCACCCCGCTGTGGGGATTCGAACCGCCGACCTTCTGATCGGCAAGCCCTAGGCTCTGTGGTTTAACCCACAGCGCCACCCACATCCCAGGCATCTTCTGTAGGTGGGTGCTAATCCTCCCCACCCCCCGCCAGTGTATTTTCTCAATTACCACTGATATTCCAAAGCTGCAAGTTGCCCCACGGGGAAAAACACCTTCCTTTGAGCACCACAGTTCATACCCAATTCATTCACACCCACCTGCCCACTTCTGATTTCTTTTTTTAAAAATCCCACATGAGATTAGTAACACACACACACAGACACACACACAACCACAGCTCACAGCCAAAGGCTTATTTACAAAACATGAATTTTGGTGAGATATTGAGCAAGATACTAAAAACTATTAGTGATTACCTCTGTATACCTCACCTACCAAATTTTTTTTTTATAATTTAGCATCTTTGAATAGGTGACAAAAATCGAAAATACCCACCAACAACAACTTTCAGCGTTTTTGTCTGATTTATACAATGAGCCGCGGTAAGCACATACATTGGGCTCAGAATGGTCCCTCCACAAAACCCTTCTCCTGCATCATCTATCAGAAGTGCCTGAAAAAAAGAAGCAGGTACAAAAATCAGGATTGCGTGAGTAAGTAGATTTTTTTTCTGAGGGAGAAATGACACCGTAGGATGTATTGAGTCTTCTTTCTAGAACACCTGTAAGAATCAAAATAAGGCAGAGCCAAATGAGGGGAGCAAACCAAATAAGGACATACAAAGACAGGGAAGAAAAGAAAAGAGCAGATTTAGAAAAGCAACTTTTAAGTGCCTGAGTGACGTGGTGCATTTCTGTCAGGGGTTTAATAGGAAGCAGGGCTGTCGCTACCATTAGGCAGAGTGAGGCAGCTTTCTCAGGCAGCAGGGGAAAGCTAAGGGGCAAGGAGTGGGAAAAGCTGTGAGGGCCATACAGCCTGGCCTGAGCCCCATAAGCTAGCCTGCTGCCTGCAGGTATAGTGAAGGACTCTGCCCCATCAACTAAGGCTGAAGTAAGAGTTTATGTACAGAGAATGGAGGAGATGCCATCTTGCCCTTTGCCTCAGGCAGCAAAATGCCTTGATGGGAAGAGCCCAGGGTTGGTTAAGGAATTGCCAAACTCCAATTCCAAAAGAGATTCATTTGTCTGATTCGGTCAGGATGGAACATGAGCTGGATAGTCTACTTCAGAATCTGAAGTCCTGTGGGAAACCTGATGAGGCTGAAGGTTCCAGGCCCATAGCCCTGACTCTCTTCTTGTAAAAGCTATTTATTGCCTTTAAAAAAAAAAGTTTAAAAACAGGTAATCTAGCCAACCACAGCCTGGAGTGGGGATCCTTGCTGTTCCCCACTTTAATACAATATCGGAGCAGTTAAAAATGATAGAATCAGTGTCCATTGTTAAATATGGATAATAAATGAGTACGGTATATAATATTTATACAAGATACATGACAGAGTAACTTACCTGCCAAGGACACTGGCCCAGTTTACAATCCTCTCCGTTAACTATTCTGACACCACGGTCCTCGTCAGGATCTTCTTCGACCCCATACAATGGCTCTTCATCTTCGGGACCAGGGCTTGGGAAAATCTGTGTGTCATTATAATCCAACTCTTCTAAATAACTTGCTTCTCTCTTTGCCACCTTCTTTTTCTGAATCCGACCACATGGATATGGAACTGCAAAAACAGCATTTTAAATTAGGCAGCACAACCAAGCCAACTTGTGCCAATGAAACTGTTATGTACTGAAGTTCTTACCCTGGGCCAGCAGGGGGATACTGTAGATAGTTATGCAAAGAAGGGATCTAAAGTGACGTTCAGTGATTGGATAGTTTTAGAAAATTGTTACAGTTACATTGTACTGGAGCTCTATATAAGCAGGCTGACTGAACCCTTCAGTTCAGTTCTGTCCTGGCCTGTGAATAAACAAGAGCTGTTTGAAGAATCGCTGTGTCGTCTGATATGTTCACCCACAACTTAACAGAAACAAAAAAGTCAGTCTTTTAAAATATGCCTTTTCCTAGGGAGGGCTGAAATATTCTTTTTATTATTATATTTATTTATGCCCTGCCTTTTCCCCTGAAGATACTCAAGACAGCTTACAGATAAAAATAAGAAGCACTAAAACCATAGAAAAAATAATTAAAAATTAGAATCTATAGAATTAAATCTCCCTCCCTCTCTCTCTCTCACACACACACACATCTATTAAAATTTTACAAAAAAATGCAAAAAAAAGGACGACACAAGCCCCCTCATTAAAAGCAGCCAGTTTCCAACGGCTGTTGGAACAAGAATGCTTTCACCTGTTTCACAAGGAAGGAGCCAGTCCAGCTCTCTAGGGAAGGGATTCCAAAGTTTGGGAGCAGCCACAGAAAAGGCCCTGTCCCACATCCTTACCAAGCATATCTGTGAGGGTGGCGGGAGCTAGAGAAGGGCCTCTCCCAAAGATCTCAAAGCCCAAGCAGGTTTGTATAAGTCCTTCAGACAGCTTTGACCCAAGCAGTTTAGGGCTTTCTTAGCCATAACTAACACTTTGAATTGTGCCCAGAAACAGATTGGTAGCCAGTGGAGCTGTTTGAAGAAGAGAGTCATATGCTCCATATAACCAGCCCTGGGTCAAGAAACTGGCTCCTGGATGTGGCTTGGATCCAGGAAGATGAAAGGTGGACAAAGCAGGAAAGAAGGGAAGTCAGAAGGCAAAGACCCATTGAACTCAATGGAGCATTATTTTTGAATAAACATTCGTAAGAGTGCCTTACGAACCTATGATTACTTAATTTTCCTGTGACCAACTATCTTTTCATTGCACCTTTCAAATATGATGAAATTTAAAAAAGCACAGAGGAAAGACATAGGTCACCTTAAAATGAAAATATCAGCTAAAGGACCTTCAGATCTAATGGTCAAATGAAATTCTTTTTGATTAAAAAAATTCTCTTTCTCAGACCCTTAAACCACATCAGAATCTGTGCACTCACAGTTAGAAACAAACTATATATCAATAATAAAGGATGCAGAACACAAAGTGTAGATAGAAGTATTTTGTGGTTTTATATTCTGATTTTATCCTGTGAACAGCCCTTAGACCTGCGGGTATAGGGCGGTATATAAATTAAATAAAATCAAATTGAAATAAATAAATAAATAGATGCGGAACATCACAGAGGTTTAGATATGAAATTAGGGTTTAACTTTAAAATGCATCTTTCATGGCTTATAGTAACTAATCCTTTAAAAAAACAAACACTGATATTGCTGGGTGAGGGAAAAACGAGGGGGGGAAATAGTACCTCCAGTGTCTCTCTTAACATTTTTTTTTTTGGTACTACGATTTATTTTAAGGTAGAAGTCAAAAGAACAAATTCTATGGGTGCTTCTGAATGGCTATTTATTGTGATATGGGTGCTCTTCGTGCATGCAGGATTTTAATTTTGCAGCAGCCAGAAAACGTTGTCAGCATCAATATGTCAGCCTATGTCCCTCTTCCTCTTCTTTAACTTATTTTGTGAATAGGAGAAACAACAACTTTAGATTGCTGAAGACTCCTGGAAATTTATGGATTTATTTCAGAACATGAAGAGAAAAAATGGAGATAAGAAAGTTTGAGAATATCCTTGTAAAAGGGGAAAAGCAAACTCGAAATTAAACTGTTGGTAGCATTAAAAAAGACAATGCATGCAAAAATGCACCCAAAAAATAAGAATATATAATTATAACAAGTTGCTTCAACCAAACAAATGGCTTCATACCTGTAGGAATGCAGGATTGTCCATTGTTTTCCAGAATATATCCATTGGCACAAAAGCATTCAATATTGTTTTCTACAAGCTTGCAGAACTGCTTACAGCCACCATTCTGCAATTTGCAGGATCTTTGTATGACTGTATAAAAGACAAATACATGAGTGCTGAAGCATAAATTAACACACATTTTTCAGGCAATGGTTAAAATGTTACTTAAAGCCAGAGCCATTTTCCTCTAGGTTGTAAATTTTTCAAGGCATTTTTTTTTTTGCACTGGGTAATTCCTTTGTGTTCTCTACTGTTTAAGCTAAAGCTCTATCAATGGACAAATGGGGCAATTGTTGAGGGTCACTGAAAAGCCAACTGCTTTTCAGGAAAATTGGTTTGTAGTCTAGCCAATTCATGACCGCAAGCCTGAGCATAACGTCCTCCAAGACGCAGCAGCAATTTTTGAAACTGTGTGCTTTGCTCCAGTGGGAGAAACAAAACAGGAAGCCTCGTTTATGTTTGAACCAGAAATCATGGTTTGTTGTTCCCTAACAAGCCACGATCAGCAAGCCAACAAAAGAACAACAAATCGTGGGTCAGGACTGGCTAGCTATCGTGGTTTGCTAGGGAGAAAGAAACCACAAACCCTGGAGGAGCGGAGTAGGAACAATTTGGCAGGAATTGCTCATTCACGATAAAACACAATAAGCCAGATAGTCAAGCTACCATTATGTGCAAACGCAACCATTGTGTGGATACCATAAATGCATAGGGACGTAAGAATCAAATCTCCTGGATCAGACCAGCATCTTATTCTCAGTGGTCAACAAGATGGCCATGAGAAGCATTCTTAAATACTTATCTAATACATATGGGAATCCTGTTTTGCTCAAGTTACATTTAAAGAGGAACGTTTTCTTCAACCCTGCAGTCAGATGCATAAGCTCTCCCCTTCCTTAGGATCTCACCGTAGTGAACATTTAAAAGGATCAGGGAACTGAAATGATAGGTGATGTCTGCCTCTAGTTCCCAGCCAGTGCCGTACAGCATATTATTTATGGTGGGGGGGGGGCAAAGGTAAAGGTAAAGGGACCCCTGACCATTAGGTCCAGTCGTGGCCGACTCTGGGGTTGCAGCGCTCATCTCGCTTTATTGGCCGAGGGAGCCGGTGTACAGCTTCTGGGTCATGTGGCCAGCATGACTAAGCCGCTTCTGGTGAACCAGAGTAGCGCACGGAAACGCTGTTTAACTTCCCACCGGAGCGGTACCTATTTATCTACTTGCACTTTGACGTGCTTTCTAACTGCTAGGTTGGCAGGAGCAGGGACCAAGCAGCCGGAGCTCAGCCCGTCGCGGTGATTCGAACCACCGACCTTCTGATCAGCAAGCCCTAGGCTCTCTGGTTTAACCCACAGCGCCACCCGCATTCCTAGGTGGGGGGAGAGTCCCCTAAACCAATAAATTAATAAATGGTAAGATTTTGGGATATGAAAGGAGAAATACAAGCTGCAGAGGAAATCCTGGCCTAGCCTATGCAAAAGGACCTGGCCAAGCATGGGCTGTTACAAAACAATGCAGAGCCACTGAGGACCATTGGCAATGCAAGAGAACTGTCAGGGGTGCCAACATGAATAAAATATTGTGGGGGCCCGGCTAAGCCTTGCCCCACATAATCTATCACATGACGCAGTGCACACACAGCATTTGAATGGGAATGTCCATCAACTTTGTGAGGCTCAAGTCCCCACAAACGCCAGGAGTTGGCTCCTAAGTTTCCGGTGTGAAGAGAGACAAGTTGCCAGGGTAACTGGATGTAATGAGACAGGAAGAGTTTAGGGGCCTTTCACAAAGCTTGGAATAGCTGAAAAATGCAGGACGATTTAGGCTGGCTGGCTGGGAGAGATGCCTTGGACTCAAATACTGTACTGTTGTGAGGGACAAGTCCCTCTTGAGATCTGTAGTCCCTCCATCTAAATTCAGGTGTAAATATGTGAATAAATCCTATTTCTTAAAGCTACGACAGCCTCTGCCATGTCTTCAGTTCTCCAAAGAAACACAGACCCTGGTTGAGGACAAAGACCACAGTTCGGCAGGGATTGGGGTGGCCTGTTAAAAATGGGATCTGTGTTTCACAAAGAGAAGGCCTGGGAGCAACGTGCACCTGAAGTAGAAAATGGAGGGAGGAAGACCAACAACCTTCGAGCCGGAAGCTAAACTAGCAGAGAGAGAGAAATGGTATTGGCAGTTCCCACATTCATAACAACATATTTAGAAATGCTGTTTCGTATCGTCTCAGCCTAGGATGCTTCTGTGGTGCTGTATGGAGCCCACCCTCAGAGAACGTGGTGAAATAAACCAACAAAAAAGAGAGTCACTGCTATTTTGCAACTGAAACACAACTTACCACTATCACAGTTCGGCCCATCATAGCCATCCAAACATGTGCAGGTATATTTATTAATGCCATCTTTGCATGTTCCACGGTCATGGCAAGGGTTTGAAGCACACTGATCCCCATCTAGCATTTGGGGAAAAAATATATTTTTGTAATATAATTTCTTGTTATCCAAGGTATTAATGAATGTGTTAAGAATGAAAATATGAGGTTACCCGGTGTCACTTTTTATACTGGTTCCCCAAAGTTCATCTAGTCCAACTACCTGTCAGCATAGGGCATCTACCACTATGATGTCCCTGATAGGTGGCCAGTCAGCCTCTGCTTTGAAACCTCTTACAAAGGAGAGTCCACCAGCTTCTAAGGTGGTCTGCTCCACTGTTGCTACAGCTCCTGTGCCTAAATCCTGGACATTATATTGAGGTAAGTTCCACTGAAATTAATAGAACTTGCTATGGACTGGGGTCTTATAAGCACACTTATTGTCGATGTGTGGGGCATATAGATTAAGAGCTAAGGGTTCAGCTTTCATTCCTATTGCAAAATGCTGATCATAAGTTCTTAAAACAGCTGCTCACAGCTCTAAGAGTTGCTGCCATCCTTTGAAAATAGGAAGCCACCTTTGCAAACGTGGATTGTAATCCCTTGTTTGCTTTGGCTCTCTCAGTCTCACCCCCACCAAAATGTAAAACTCTTCCACCAGCAGGCTTTGCTTCTGTTGTTTCAAATATATATATATGTTGAAGGCACCAATCAGTCAATATGTGGCATAGGGTCTTCCTTTATCAGTTTTATGCAGCCATGGGAGAGTGGAAACACACAATTTAGCATCTCTGAACATGTTTTCTACTAAGATACAGGCTGGGGAGCATTTAAACATGGAGCTACAGTTCCTTTGTCACAATCAAAGTAGTTCACATTAACCTGGAACAACTAAAATCTGTCCTAGCTAAGAAGTGTAATTGAATCTGAAATAATAATAATAATAATAATAATAATAATAATAATAATGTATATCCTACATTAGTCATACTGTGAGTAGACTCATAGAAGTCAAGCAACTCAAATCTACTTGGATTATTGCCTTAGTTGGATATTACCCAATGAATCAACTAATTTATTTCTTATCTAATACATATCAACAGCATTTTAAAGAAATACTTGGTTGAAAAAAAAATGGATCTCTTACCTACATACACATTCCAGAACTCCTCCTAATAAGAAAACAGCAGATTTTATTTACAACAATATAGCAGTTCTTCCAACAGCAGCAGCAGCAACAGCAGCAGCAGCAACAGCTCTTCCCATAATCTGGTCATGTTAGAGCTCCAATGCCTTACTTCACTCTAGCTGTGACCGCTGTCCCAGAAGCACAGGTGTACCTGTTACTTTGCATCCTTACTCACCTCAGTGAGATAGTCTTCAAACAGACTCAGCAGAACCCATCAAGAAATGTAGACCCACTTGTTAATTTTCAGACCACATATTCATTGGGCAGCAGTGCTGCTTTTGTGATCCACCTTAGGTCAGGCTGTAACCCAACTGAGGACCAGTATAGACAGGCCAACAGTATAGACAGAGTCTACCAATTAAGGACATCTTTCAGTCCTCTGCCAATTTCTGCTACAGCCTGCCGCCTCGCATAATGGAACTGCTTAAGCCACCTGAACTGACCTAGCAAACAGTACTAACGTTGTGTTGTAATGTAACCCACCTTGGGACTTCAGGTGGGAGGGCGGGTAGATTAAGAAGAATACTCTGTCAAGCATCAGCAAGAGCTGTGCATATATTGACAACTTCAAACAGATCTGGGAGTATTTGCAAAAAATAATTGCATTTGGTTTAATAGTAGCAATTGACTGCCATTACTAAATACTAAAAGAAAAGAAGCATTAGCTAACTGAGAGACAATATTGCACTACCTGGACTAAGGCAACTTGAGGGAGGATTGCTATTTCAGAGTTCCCCCCTTATCACTTGCAGATTCCCCTCTTTCCTACCTGTGGAATTCCTTTATTACCTTTACTCTTGTCTTTCTGGCTTGTTGAGCAGATGGCCATAATTTATGATAGGTAAGGGTGAAACAGACCACTCATGAAAGAGTCTGAGAATTATAAGGGGGTGGAATTAAATAAATGGCTTCTGGCCATTAAGTGCATTGAACAAAATATTTGAGTTTATTATGAAGTGTGAGAGGAGCATAAAGTATTAGAGGGGAAGAAGAGAAATGCAATGTAAAGGTGTTGATTGATGCTTTTCTTTTCTTTCTCTTTTGATAAACAGAAACCCTTTCTTCCAACGCTATGATTCTATGATTCTCCTTTCATAGTAGAATTGGCACGTAAATAAACAAGGAGATGATGTGTTGCAAGCAAGTAGGTAGCTGCTGTATTGTTAATTTTGTTTCATCACTGTAATGTTTGTAACACTCTAATATTTCTAATAAGTATGCCACATCAGTGTTAAGTTCCTGTTTTTCTTAACTTACCATAGCTTCTATGCCTTAAGCGTCCTTAATACCTTGTTACTTACACTGTTAACATTCTTAATATTTCTAATGATTTTAATGACTTATGTTTTTGGTCTTGACCGTTCTATATCTTATGAAGAACCACTGTATCTCAGCTGTTTTTGTACAGTAATAAAAATAATAGAAATATGTTAATAAAATATTAATAAAGGAATCAGCTGCTGCACACATATATGTAAGCATGGGGAAAGTATCATTTAAGATGCAATATAAAAACAGGGCCAACCACACACTACTGAGTGCATCTTCACAACAGAGTTGTCAGAGTGGTATTATTCAATAGACAGTCTTGACCCTTCCTGCTTGTCCACTCCCTTTTTCATTATTATTATCCACAATTTCCCCCTCCTCTGCTTTGTCTAGGACAGGGATGGGGAGCCTGCAGAATGATGTCAATGGACTACAATTCCCATCATCTCTTACCCTTGACATTGCTGGCTGGGACTAATGGGAGTTGGATTCCAACAACGTCTGTACAGTCCCAGATTCCCCATTCCTGGCTTAGGGAGAGAGATATGGAGAGATATGGCTGGGTTCCAGTTTGTTCTCCAGCTGGAAGAAGCAATAGTAAGGAAGAAGAGGGGGAAATAGTAGCACATGGAGAGAACGCTAGGGTATTGCAGGAGTAAAGGTAAAGGGACCCCTGACCATTAGGTTCAGTCGCAGACGACTCTGGGGTTGCGGCGCTCATCTCACTTTACTGGCCAAGGGAGCCAGCATACAGCTTCCAGGTCATGTGGCCAGCATGACTAAGCCGCTTCTGGCGAACCAGAGCAGCACACAGAAATGCCGTTTCCCTTCCCGCTGGAGCGGTACCTATTTATCTACTTGCACTTTGATATGCTTTCGAACTGCTAGCTTGGCAGGAGCAGGGACCGAGCAACGGGAGCTCACCCCGTCGCAGGGATTCAAACCGCCGACCTTCTGGTTGGCAAGTCCTAGGCTCTGTGGTTTAACCCACAGCGCCACCCGCGTCCCTATTTGCAGGAGCAGGAAGCTGTTAAATGCAGCTGACAGTTCCACTGTGAAGGCACGGCTGGTAGAACATAGCTGTCGGCCCTGTTTTGATCTTGCTCCGGAGGACTGAGGACAGAAAGAGGCAGTCATATGAAGGCAAAGCAAACACATTGGCCAGCTTTGTCCTTACAGTTTTCTCTTGGTTTTCAAAGGCTTCTCTGGCTTCTTCCTTGGAACACCTCTCTTCCATGCACTCCCTTTCAATGTTTCCCTGCCTAAACTCCTCAAAAGCAGAATTGGCACGCTTTGCTCGTTCCAAAAAATTGTTTGCCTTTTTATCCTGTAGAAACACTAAAGAAAACAACAACAACCAAGTCATGCCTCGTATGCAAATTTCAAAACACATTACGGAAAACTGTTTTGCATTTATAGATAAATGTTGCACATGGTTTCACATCTCTGCTTGTGATAGAAAGCACACCATGGTTCTTTCTCTGTCTCTTTCCGTCTCATGTGCATGTTGTCTGAGGCAGCACCCACAGGGCAACAGTGATTCAGTTCTTAGGCTAGACCGCCTGGCTCATATGTTTGCCTATGGAGTGAAGATAAGCCACCCAGTGCTTGTGGTGGCTGCTGCTCCCTAGAGGAGGTTGACTTACTTCGCTTCCAGCCTTCTCAAATTTCACTTGGGGGAAAGGAGAAAGCCACTCCCATTTTGCAGCTGAAAACAGCAAGCTCATCCCAAACCCAGCACACCCACTGCATTTCAAGTGGCATTTGCAATTGTTGTACACACCAGAGTGGGAGGAGGGAATGTATTCACTTGATGCACACTACCTGTTGGGTTTTTGCACCCCTTGCAACCCGCTCCCCGTCTGTGCATGTGCTGTAATCCCTGCACGAGCAATGGCTTTCTCAAATGCACACACCTCAGCTTAGCTGTGAAAGTGGCTTAAGTTTTCCTTTTGAATTGAAACTGGTTTGAAGGAAAACACATCAAACAGCAGGACTGCTCAAGAACCTACAGGATAACTCTGCATGGCAGGTAACTCCATGTGTACATGGATCCAAAAGGGAGGTGGTGTGGGTGTACTGGAACCAGAGGAAACAGCAATGTGTACACAGCTTTAGTTGCTCCCACAGCAGTAAAATCCCTCTGAAACCTCCCACGATCATTGGATGCTCTCTTTCCATACAGCATGGGGTGAAGAAACAGGTGGCATAATAGCCTGTAGTTGCAGGGTGGGTGGCTAACACAGGCATCAGGAGACTTCCCTGGTCCATGTCTCAAGAATTCTCAAAATTCCTACTTAGACCACCATATTGGATTTCACTACATGCCACAAAGATGTGGAAGTAAAATCCATCATTCTGGGATTGCCACTCTACACATCTTGTAGGCAGTCGCTTTCTGCAGGCATCACCTTGTTGCTTTCAAAATTGCACACACTCCATCTTTTTGTCATTTGCTCCTTTCAGGGTCTGTAGTCTGTTGATGCTCTGTTGACTCTCTCTCACCAACTCCCTGGGCTCTGCCTCTAAAGCCTGATGGCCGAACACAAAGCTCTGGCCTTATCTTTGGTTCTTCCTCTTTCTCCCCTCTCCCAAAATCATTGCAGAAATCTACCGATTCATCTGCAAAATCTCAGCTAAAACCTCAGCTTCATGCTGTGGTCATCTCCCACCTTGACTGTTCCAGCTGTTTTCTCTGACTTACACCTTTCATACCTTGTTCCTCTCAACTCTATCCCTCAATTTCTACTGCCCAAATTATTCTCCTATCACCCTGAAAATTCCCCCTCTAAAGTTTTCAATTGCATTGAGGAGGCAGAAGGTAGGTGAGGAAAGGCTTATTTTGCTTCCACATCTGCTGTTATGCTAATAATTATCAGCCACCTCCCCCAGCATTTAAGTTGCACATCAAGTGCAAAGGTGCTTTTAACATCATGTTGTTTGGTCCCCTAAACTGGTGGCCATCACTACATCATGTGTGGCAGTGAATTCCATAAATTTAACTACCTGTGGTATGAATAAATACTACCTTTTGCCTGACCTATTCCCTGCCAACCATTGAGGACTCCTGAGAAGAGGTTTATGAAGACCCAAAATGGGGCGGCATCACTTTTTCACTAGATGCTATTGTTTCCATGCCCCTAGTCCCATCCTATATCGGCCACTTCAGTTCCCATGGTAGCCAAAGCACATGAAGAAATACAGATCATCATTCGACTGGGCCGATTGCATGTGATGTACGCTATTATCCTAAGCAACCGTACTCAACAGTGGGTTACAGTTAAATTAACATGGCTTGCTTCCATGTCCAACCAAGTGTTTACTAACAGGGTGTTAACATTCATAAAGCCTATATTGCTTATGCTGATGACATAAAAAGGAATTTAAAACACCAAAGCCAGCTACTTGTTTAAAAATATCGTTCCAGATTGCCAGTGGGGTCTTGTTATATTGTATGTGAAGTTTTTATGAAGTTATTCTGTTCATAGCAGCATTGGTGTGTTTGAGAGAACAAACATATTAAATTTATTGCCACAACTTCTTTGATCTGTGAAATGTTATGATCCCCCCCAACTAAAACCAGGTGCATTTCTTCATTTCATAGAAACATTACTTCCACTATCATTCTCACCGTTTCTTGTTTATTAACTCCTTCTGTGTCACACTTTTTATTTTTCTGGGAACAATATTAGATATATGTTTCTGCCTTCCTCATCCAAAACATTTATTTGCTATATGAAAGGCTCTTTCCCTTGTCATGTATATCATTTTCTCTCCCACCACCCCGTAGCTGAAAGAGAATGTATTTTTACCATCTCACAGACAGAACTACATTCCAGGGTGCTTTCCCACACCATTTAAATCACATTGAAAGCAACACCCCCCCCAAAAAAACTTTGGGAACTGTAGTTCCTCAATGCATTGTAGCTCTGTGATGGGTAATCTATAGTTTCCAGGATTATTGGGGGGGGGGAGTGCTTTAAATGTATGGTGCATATGCAGCCTACAAATTCATTCCCACACCATACACAGGCAAACAAGATGCATTATACTGTATAATATATTGAGACCCTTTCGGTGGAGAAGACTTCTCCTAATCTGTGACCCTTACTTTCTTCCTACACACAAAGGAAAAATAATAATTCTTATTCGAAATAAATGAAAGCAATTGCAAGGAGAGACAGAGAAATTATTTAAGGCTCTCTTACCATTTCTTTCTGCCTTCAGGAAACTTGTCAGAGAAGTGAGAATCAGAATGAGGAACAGCTGGCTAGCCATGGTGCCTATCCGTGGAAAAACAACACACTGTTCTACTGCAGGGGCTAGTCGTGAATAAGGTTCAAACAGCACACTTCCTGTTGCTGGGCTGCACCTCTTATCACACATAACAAACGGGGTTGTGTTTGGATGAGGATTCTCCGAATTATTGTGCTGAATGATAAGACATCCTGGCCTTTTCCAAGTAAGGTCATAAGAGGCAGAGTAAAGGCAAAGTGGTGCCTTGGATGTTTCAAAAAGCAGCTTCCCTTGCCTTTCTGCTCAGATATTTAGGCACAGAGGAAGTGTGTCTGTAAGTCAAAAGCTGATTACATTTACGGAAATAAGCCCTCTGTTCACAACAAAATTCAAAACAAACCCATTTGGGCAATTTGTTCCTAATGAAGTCTCTTCCCCCCCTTCCCCTTTCCAAAAACATTTTGTCATGGGTGTCCCTTTTCCAGTATCTGAACAAGAAAGTAAGAGAGAAGAAATGAAATTCATATATTAGGGGAGAAGATGCCTAAAAATGAATTACGTTAGTGAAAATAATATTCAAACATGCTTGCAAAAATGCGCACCTTAGGTCAAAACTGCACACGAAAGCATGGTTACTAGTATTTGCACTAAAATGCTGAATAATTTTCATGTTTTTTAAAAAAAATTGCAAGCTGTTGCAGAAACGTGGAGAACTGAAGATTGGAAAAGTAAGCAATGGAGAGAACCATAATTGACATATCCTTTCATCCGTACTCCTCATTGGGAAGGTGGCCCCAAGGTGATCCTCTGATCATTTTGGTTGCTCAGCTCTATGTGCATATGGGTTAACTCAGTCTAACCTACCTCGGAGAGTTGTTGAAAGAGTAAGAGCGGGGATGGGAATGTACATAGCGTTCACAAACCGTGTAGAGAGAAAGGAACAAAGCCGAGACAGCATCTCCTATCACTTTAAATACTTTGCCTTATGCAAACTGAATTATGCATGTCCACTCTCTTTTGTACTGAAACTTTTAAGACTGCAAGAATCAAATCAAATTCTTATTTTTCTTGTTGTAAGTGAAAAATGTTAAAGATTACACTACGATTATAAACATTGTATGCTCCCTTTCTGGTCGCAATGTTAAAAATAATTCTGAAGAATAAACTTGTGAAAATGAATAAAAGTAAGTGTTAATTCGGTATATAGCCTTTAATTGATATACAATGCTCAAAGAATGCTGAAAAACAAGTGTCAAAAAAAACCAAGGAAAGTGCTAATGAAGGCTGCAATGCTGTATACATTTATCTGTGATTAAATCCCATTGAACTCAATAGGCCTTAATTCTGAGAGGGTGTATGTACAACTGCAGTGCTAGAGGTATTCTGCATGTGATTGTTTAGCCACCCAATGTATTCTACGACATTGGTGTAAACTCCGTATGTGCCCATTGCCGCACAGCCTTTACCCCAGCTCACGATCCCTGTTAGAAACCACGTGTTCTTGTACTCAGTGGCGTGAGGTCCACCGCTGTCACCTTCACAAGAGTCTCGACTCCCATCAAGGTATCCTGCGCAGAACATGTTCTTTGTAATATTTAAGTTAGTGTGCTGAGCACATTCTTTCCTATGCATTTTGACGAGTCTCACTTGCATAAGTGTGGCTGACGTAGCCCCGCCTTCTAAGAGACGCCCCCATCCACTCACTGTGGAGTATTCAATGAAGCTCAGCACATCTGCAGCAAACCGCTGCTGAGGCAAGCATATGGGCACCACGTAATCTGTGAAATTGACAGGTGTCGCTAACTGCAACAAGGCAATGTCATTTTCAACTTTTTTGGGAGAATACTTTTCATGGATTATGATTTTAGCAACTCTTCTTTCCTGTTCACCTTCTTCTTCCTGGTCTATCCTGTATTTACCTGGAAAAGCAGGAACATTTGTTAAGCCACAGGTGTCAGGTTTCTTAATAGCACAGATCTCAGAGTCGAGCCAGGTCTTTAGGCTCATCTTCAGAGAGGATTAATAGCACAAAGACTGTCCTTATTTTGGGGTCACACACTGGCAAATTTAGGTTGTGCAATTATCATCAAAGAACCCACTTTCACAAGACTGGACATTTTGTAAAGCGAAAGGAAAATGTGCTGGAATGTGTGGAATAGCGTTAGTTTTGATGCATCATCATCATCCAATTTCCATGCAAACTAATCAGAATAATTTGTGGGACACGGGTGGCGCTGTGGGTTAAACCACTGAGCCTAGGACTTGCCAATCAGAAGGTTGGCGGTTTGAATGCCCACGATGGGGTGAGCGCCCATCGCTCGGTCCCTGCTCCTGCCAACCTAGTAGTTCGAAAGCACGTCAAAGTGCAAGTAGACAAATAGGTACCGCTCCGACGGGAAGGTAAACGGCATTTCCGTGCGCTGCTCTGGTTCGCCAGAAGCGGCTTAGTCATGCTGGCCACATGACCTGGAAGCTGTACGCCGGCTCCCTTGGCCAATAAAGCAAGATGAGCACTGCAACCCCAGAGTCGGTCATGACTGGACCTAATGGTCAGGGGTCCCTTTACCTTTAGCCAACACTGTCTAATCTCCCTGGAAACAAATCAGGATGACCACTCAACAAACAGGTTTTCTGGAAGCACTGCATGGTCATTAATGGTTATGTTTTCAATTATTTTCTTGTTGCATGGCAGAATAATTTTCCATTATTGAACCTCCTGCAGGTACTCTTCCCCAGAGCAATTATTTCCTTCCCTGGGACCTCATTCTCCCTGACAGCAGGGGACCTATCACTGTGCGAATGGGACACAGCCGTAACATCCCTGAAGGCCTTATCTGCCACCTTCACTGCATCTTTTAGCTTTTCCAGGTCTGCCACTTTGGTCTCAATGGAACAAATACGTTCCCAGGGAGCCAGGAACTCACTGCACCTTGGCGAAACCCGTGACTTCTGTCCAACAGGGACAAAACACTGGAAAGCCTTGATTCCCCTGCTGGCATTCTACCTGCATAATATTTTATTTAGTTTAAGCTACCTTACTGAGAGTTTGGATTTTATGTCAAGGAAAGGAAGGGCATCATGGAATACCCTGGTCTCCTCACAGATGGATTCATATTACAGACTGTGTTTGTAGAAGCGGAATGTGTCACACTGATCAGATTCTGATGTCCAAATATTTATGCTGATAGTCTTACTTGATCTACATACCCAGTGATCCAGTTATTGGCCTTTGAGCTCCCTGCATGGCATAGCACTCAATAATGTTTGTTTGTTTGTTTGTTTGTTTGTTTGTTTTTATTTAAAACTTGTACCTCCTTCTCCACTTTACCAGGGAAGCTTGTTCCAACTGGCCAACCATATGGATCAAGCTCTATGTAGTTTCAGCACAGCATAATTGCAAGCCTCTCGTTATCTTCTCAATTCCACTGAGGACTGTACTCACCCAGCTTTATCCTGAGTGCTTCGCGGCGTGTTTGTGAGAAGCAGTGGGCTGCAGTAACTACCCATGATGGAGCAATAAGAACACCTCCACACCTCTGCCTTTGACCTTCTATCATGAGAGCCTGAAAATACAACAACCATCACTGCAAAACCCTTTACAAGAAACATGATTTATTTGGCATTTATGAAGGACCTGTCAACACATCTACCAGTAATGTGTTCAACTGAGTGGAATGGTTAGGTTGTTTAAATGACACTTAAAATTTTGGGGAACTGAAATAGTCAGAAGGCTGCAGCAACTTCTCCAAATGAGGGAAAGTTACAATGTTTGTGGGAAACAAACAGATGAGTAAGGAGGGGTGTGACTGACTACAAATGTATGTAAGGTGTGGAAAAAGTAGGGAGAAAGATGTTTCTATCTCTCTTTCTCTCAAAGCGCTAGAACCCTAGGAGCATCAAATGAAGTTGGATGGCAGGAGATTTAAGACAGGCAAAAAAAAATAATAGTTCTTTAAAAACAGCTTTAAAGGGCGATTCAGCATAGTTAAACTACGGAATTTGCCCACAGAAAATGTAGTGATGGCTACCAATTTAGGCATCTTTAAAATGAGATTAGACGAACTCCTGAAAGATAAATTGTCATAGCTATGTACTACCACCAGAATCAGATGTTTTCAACACCTCTGAATACTAACTTGCTTGGAGATAACTGCAGGAGAACATCCTGTTGCTCTCATCTCTAGCTTGTGGGCTTTCAGGGACATCTGGTCGGCCACTGCAGGAAATAGGATGCTGAAGCTGACAGGCCTTGTTCTGACCCAGCAGGGCTCTTATGTCCTTATGGCCAAGGAGAGCACCTGAGATACCAAAGCAAAGGCAAGGGTCTAGACATCCTAAGAGTGGTTACAAAACTTAGTACGTAGAGGGAGAGCTGAATGAAGAGCATCTATGCTTGTCTTTTTTCTGCCCCCAAAGCTATTAGCAGCTTTGGACAATAGGAGGTGAGAGGTGGTTTACACTGTGGAAAGGTGCAAAGTTAAGAATTCTTTCCCAGGGAACTACACACCGAATATCAAAAGCAAAACAAACAGCACACATAACTTTGGGTTTGACCTCCATTCAAGCACATTACACGTTGGGCTTTTCTGTTCCTGTCCAAAAAAAAGCCAAAAAAAGAGAAGAAAGCACACTTGTGCATGTTCTCCCTCAAGGTTGTGCTTTCCAACATTCAAAATACAACTTCTTGTTCATGTTTCTTACCCCTGCCCACACCTCATGAATGTTACTATTCCTATTATCAGTCTAATTTTTATAACTATTTTAAAAATGATTTATTTTTTTAGTATAAAGTATCAGTATAGGAATTGGGACGCGGGTGGTGCTGTGGGTTAAACCACAGAGCCTAGGACTTGCCGATCAGAAGGTCGCCGGTTCAAATCCCTGCGATGGGGTGAGCTTCCGTTGCTCGGTCCTTGCTCCTGCCAACCTAGCAGTTTGAAAGCACGTCAAAGTGCAAGTAGATAAATAGGTACCGCTCCTGCGGGAAGGTAAACAGCGTTTCCGTGCACTGTTCTGGTTCGCCAGAAGAGGCTTAGTCATGCTGGCCACATGACCTGGAAGCTGTACGCCGGCTCCCTTGGCCAGTAAAGTGAGATGAGTGCCGCAACCCCAGAGTCGGCCATGACTGGACCTAATGGTCAGGGGTCCCTTTACCTTTACCAATCAGTATAGGAATGGTTGTCTAGCCATTGAAAAAATAAGACAAGCTTCTCCTGTCTGCACTGAACACCTTGCAATGTTTTACCACTTTGTGAATGTTATGTTGGAGGTTCTGTTTGGATATTGTTTTGTCTCTTTTGAAATGTAGGGATCTGGCAGTTTTCTTTCCCCCTAATGCACTATGCACTGTATGGAAAGTCAAGAGGAACCTGTTTGTGCCCTTCCCCCAATTAAGTGTTTCTGATGCAAAGACAGACAGACAGAGAATTGTACTAAAGTTATTTGAAGACTCACTTGCCATGGGCATTCACCTGGAGGACAGGTATAACCACCTACGATTCTTCCCTGTCGGTCCTCCCTTTTTTTGGCCAGAAGTGGTATTTTCCCACAAGGATAATCAACTGCAAAAAGATGTAGCTTTTGTTATGCGTGAAACGTATATGAGCCCTTCCCCACTTCTGAGTTTGGTCTGTATCACGAAACACCAGTAAATAATATTTTGAAACATACAGTTGAGCTTTCAGACTATAATACTGTGACCATGTTTTTAAGCGCAACTTTCCAATCTTCTGTTATTAACTACTATGAAAATCATGGGACGTGGGTGGCGCTGTGGGTTAAACCACTGTGCCACTTGGGCTTGCCGTTCGAAAGGTCGGCGGTTCGAATCCCTGCAACGGGGTGAGCTCCCGTTGTTTAGTCCCAGCTCCTGCCAACCTAGCAGTTCAAAAGCACACAGTGCAAGTAGATAAACAGGTACTGCTCTGGCAGTAAACGGCGTTTCCATGTTCTGCTCTGGTTTCATCAGAAGTGGCTTAGTTACCGGTATGCTGGCCACATGACCTGGAAAAACTGTCTGCAGAAGTGGACAAACGCCAGCTCCCTCGGCCTGTAAAACAAGATAAGCACTGCAACCCCAGAGTCGTTTGCAACTGGACTTAATGGTCAGGGGTCCCTTTACCTTTCCTATTTAAAAAGCTCATTCTCAGGTGGGAGTTTTGTATTGTGAAATCCTGTAAATCCACTGATTAAAAGCATTCAAAGAGTGTGACATGCAATTCTTTTTTTAATTTCTGTGCCTCATTCCCAACAGGCTGTTACAGTCACATCTGGCCTAGTCAACAAACCAGTTAAGCAGGAGTAGTTGGACTGAAACTGATGCATATATCCCAGCAAAGTCACAATCTGCACTCCAGCCAGCCACAAGTTGATGACCCTGTACTGCTGCGGCATGACAGATACACGTTCGTATCCATGCAGTATCATTATTGAAAATGGAGAACAGGACAGTAGAGCATCTGCCAAGTTTAATCCCCAATATTTCCAGGAAGGAGAAAGGCCCATCTGAAATCCTGGAGAGCTGCTGCCAGTCTGTGTGGACACTATTGAGCTATGTGAACCAATGGTCTGACTCAGCATAAAGCATTTTCCTTGCACTGCCAGTAGTTAGATCCTGGGAACAATGACGTTAAAATTGGTTTAGCTGGATTAGTATTTGAAGCCCTAAAGTAAATATTTCAGTTTATATGCTGGTAAAGATGCAACTGCTAAGTGGGAAAGAACAATTTTATCTGAATGGGGAATAGAATGGAATCTTTTTTTCTGCCATCATATTTTAGCCTACCATTTTATTTTAAATTAAAATTGCAAGATTTTTTTTAAAAAAAGATTTTAAAATATTCTCTGGCATCTATCAGGACATGGATGTAACCTGAAATACAATTGGTGTGGTGATGTGTTCTATACCTTACCTTCTGGGATACAAGATTCTTTATCACTTCCCAGCCTATATCCCTCTGCACATAAACACTGTCGTACTGCATTTGGGATATCGATGCAATAATGCTCACAATTGCCGTTGTCATAAATGCACTTCAGTCTGGTTTCTGGGCCTAAATATATGAGAACATATTAATTCACCAAATGCCTTGCAAAAGACCTGCAGAATTATATTCTAAATGTTATAGAGATAGATAGATAGATAGATAGATAGATAGATAGATAGATGGATGGATGATAGGAATATCTTACCAATTTCACAGTTTCTGCCCTCATAATCTTCAGGACAGTAACAATTGTACTTCTTGTACTCATCATGACAAGTCCCACCATTCTGACAAGGGTTGGAGTCACACTCATTAGCATCTATGAAAACACTCAGGTGTCAGCAAAAATTCTAGGAAGAGCTCCAATAGCAAATTTTCTTTTAGCATGAGTCGGCTTACCTGTGTATTGTTTCCAGAATTCCATCTGAGTAGAAAAGGACAGAGATACAGAAGAAATAATCAAAATGAGCATAAAAACGGCAATATCTAAGTAAAACAGCATCTACACTATAACAGTCTGGGAAAAGTCATCTACTATCATGATAACCTTCAAAATACTAGTTTACTTCTGAGTTTACTTGCAACTTCCCTATTTTTGAACCAAGAATTGCTTCTTAAATTGGCTGATCCCATTCAGACACTCCCCAGTATCACAGATGGGGCTTTTCTGTCTGCTCTGTTAATTTCACCTGCAATAGGTTCTTTTTTGGTGATGCAAAAGCCAATTGGGCGTATGTTCTTTCGCTTAATGTTTCACAAGGAAATTATAAATGCCGTGCCCAGTATTTCAAATTGAGTCCCATCAGATGCAACATAGGAAATGGTACGTTGAACACCACATGTTGTTCATGTACTGTATGTACATTTATTACATTTACGTGTGTTTGTACAAGAGATATGATGCACTTCAGAGATCTATCCCCAAGGCCTGGCAAAGACTGAAGAATCTCAGATCTATCAACTCCCACTAATGCATTTAAAACAAGTCATCTCCAAAACCAAACATCTCTCACCAAAGGCAGAACAGGTATTTTACCAGACACAAGAACCAGACTGAACCTTTTTGCTATTATACAGTATCAGAACTGGCAGATTCTCCTCCAAACAAGAAGTTGCAAATCACATTCAAATTGGCAAGCTACACTTTGTACTTGCAATCAGGGTCTGCAGTTCTGGTTTGGAGGGTGAGCACAACCCACAGTTTGCTGGTTTGGATTTGGGAGGGAATTGGAGTGAGCAAGGGGATTAGGGAGGAAAAGCATGAAGCCAGTGGTTCCTCATGTAATGTCAAACCATGGTTCAGTTTGTTATAAACCATTGATTCTAATACAGATTTGGCAAATGTCATCAAAATGGGAAGATGCCCTTCCATTACTTCACATTACTTACAGTCCTTTCACTATCTTTGTAGATTTCTCTGGCTTCCTCAAATGAACATTTCTCTTCCATGCATTCTCGTTCCAGTGATCCCGCTTTCAACTCTTCAAAGATGGTGTTGGCTCTCTTATTCCTTTGTAGCACACTGCTTGCTTCCTCATGCTTTAAGAAGACTTTAAAAACAAACAAAAAAATCATTGGCTTTCTGCCTCTGCAAACCACAGTTATTAGGGATATCTCCACAGATGAGAAAAGCAGGGAATGGAACTAAACCGAGATTATTGTATTTTATGTCCATTTTGGAGAGTATAAAATTAATTCTGTGGGGGATTTTGTGTGGATCAGTGTCCCCTGGTCTCCAGGTTGCCGTTTCTCAGCCCAACAATTCCTTCTTGCCCTCATTTGCTTTCACTGCTATTTCACCTTACTAGTGGTAGCAACCCATATGACTTTTGTCAAGGGTATCATAAAGCTATGTTGGTAAACTGTGCTTTTTTTCCAAGACAAAAAGGTAGAGGCATGTTGAGGCTGCTCAGCTGAGGCAAGGGGAGCCTTCCATGCCTCAGATGAGCAGCTTAATGAGCCCCCACTGCGCCTCTCGGGCTCACGTGAGCCAGAGCATCCGGGGCTTGCTCAGCTGAAGCACAGCTTTCCCACATGTCAGCTGTTTGTTGGGGGGCTGAAGAGCCTCAGAAAAGCCCTGCTACACCTCTGGTTCACAAGGAGACTGTTATGTGCTGAGTTGAATAGGATCCAAAATGCAGCAGTCTGATTGGTCCTAGAACAACAGGATCCAAAAAGCAGCAGTCTGATTGGTCCTAGAACAATAGGATTCAGAATTCAGCAGTCTGATTGGTCCGCAGGAGCCACCCAATCCAGCTCCAGTTGGAAGTGAATCCGCAACCTGATTGGCCTACAGGAGAATCCCGGAATTAGGCAATCGCGTGCGGCCCATTGTGTAAATAATGTATATAAAGCAGATATTTTGGGGGAACTTTCATTCCTCACTACTATGAGCTGAATAAAGAGCATGAAATCCACACTCAACTCCAAGTATATTTCAGAGATCCTCTCCGGATCCCTGTAGAGGATGTCCCCTTTGGGCTCCTTGTGAGCCAGAGGCACAGCAGGGCTTTGATGAGGGTGGTCTGGTCTCTCCCCTGACTGTTGGGGGCATTTTGACTGAAAAAAAGCCCTGCTCATACACATCATGTGATCACCACAACCAACCAGGAGAAACAGTTGTGAGGGGAAATGAGGCTGAGGGCAGTGTGGGTGAAATTTGTTTTGAGCAATTTCAAAATAAACATCAAAATTGAGGAATACTTAGCACAGTCCTAGTAGAAATGCTTCAAGCCAGAAAAATACTTCACTGTTCATTGTCTTATGGGGCATTGTAATTTTCTTTTGAGTTACAAAATAACCCTTTCTGTCCAGCCCACAGAGAAACTACTCCCCATCAGATTCAAACGCAGTTTCCAATGAAACATTCAAGAAATATAATTAAAATTAACAAAGTTGACTGCATAGCTCCTTGCATCCAAACAACTGTTAATTAAGAGGCATGTGCATCTTTGTGAGCATGCAATTTCCCCCCAAGTCTATCTTTTTAAGATTAGCTCCTCACTTGAGTGCAAGTGTTCAAATTTACTTCATTAATTCAAAGTCATGAATAGTGGGCTTAAATATAGTGGGGACTGATAGTTAAGTAAGTCATTCTCATAGTAGCCCCACCAAAATAAATGGACTTAAGTAAGTCAAGTCCCTGTATTTCAGTGGGTCTACTCTGAGCATGACTTGTTGGATACAACCCAGCATATCTATATTTCACAAGGTTTCTTTTTCTTTTTCCCCTAAACAAACATCTGTCTGACAAAGAATGTGCACTCTGAAAGCTGACTCTGTGTCAAATAACGAGTTGACTCTATAAAGAAATATTATTCCTGTTATGTTGCATTCAAATAGTTTAGTAACTAAATTGTATTTTTGGATTAAGCAAAAGAAACCCTGGAACAAATATTTACCATGTTTAGCTTTAGTCACATTTTATCCTTCCAGTAAAGAATAACTTAACCTCTATTTTCAAATGATGTGTATCACAAATAATATATAAGTTTGAATAGTTACAGATTATGATTGTAAAGAAGATTAGTCTATAGCTAGACTCACATATCACTTATTTGAGCCAACGGACAGTTCACACAACTTGTTTACTAATAATTCACAAAATGTAAAGGATCTCAATTTTTTGTGATTACGGCCCTTCCTCTTTAGCTTTGTGAATGCCAGAAAATTTGCTCCCCCCCAAAAAAAAACCTTTCAGTAATTTTGGTAAAATTACTGGTAAAATCCTGAATGTGGAGACAACACAGTGATATAGGTTTCTCTCTTCATGATATTATTCTACAGGTTCTGTTTAAACAAAACAATAATCAACAAAGAGAAAACTACATGGAAGCAATAATTGATAATGGTGGTTTTAGAAATACATAAAAAAGAGTTGGTCAGATTTGCTGCTTTTTTGACCTCTCAGTTTAAAACCTGGTTTTTGATCTATCTGTGAGGCACTGGGGAATTTGGTTAACTATTAAGCTTAGCAGCAGATTTTTCTAAATCATTATGGTAATCACATGAGCAGCTGTGTCACACAAAACAGTTTGGTTTTAGGAAGATTTAGAAGCATTGGAATCCTTTCTCAAAATTGCCCTGCACTTTCAATAAGAAAATTACAAGAAAAGGAAACATTTCAAGTTTATACATTATGACAGTTTTTCATGAGTCATACCTGCAGCCGGTGAAAGAGGATACACCAAGGAAAGGAAGAAAAACAGAATGCTGAAGTGACAGGAAATCATGATGAAACCAAAATGCTTGTGTCCCAAATTGTGTGCTGATATTTCAGCAAGATCGCGGTGACCAAAGTTCTGCTGCAATTGCTCCATTCATAGGAGGGGGAACAGAAACACTGGAAGAGAGAAAACTGAAGCTGTAACAAACCAATTTTCGTGGGTGGAAAGCTGAACAAACAAGAAAGATCAGATTTAAGTTCATTTATTTCTGTTTATACCAGGGGTGGAGAAGCTTTTTTCAACCCAAGGGCCGCCGTCCCTCATCAGAAACCTCCTGGGGGCCACATGCTGGTGAAAAGTGGGGCGAGGGGCAAAGGTTGTGGAGCAACAGGTGTGACTCTTGCCTTTGCACACCAAAAAGCCAATATATTTCTACATACGCGAACATCCCATACGTATCTCTCATTCCTCTAAAAAGAGGTTTTGTCGTAGTTCAAGGACACATTCCAGCCAGAAAAAAAAGCAGTTGAGGAGACTGCAGAGGGTTTTCATCTGGGAAAAGGATGTGTGGACCGGGAAGGGGAATGAATGGCCTAGGAAGAGGGTTGAGGGCTGCGTCCTGGACAGCTGCATTCAGCCTCTGACCATGAGGTTTCCTACCCCTGAGTAAAGGCCTGCTTTTCTACACAGTGTGAAAGCCAGCTGACATCAGAACCAGCGAAACACAATGAAGAAAATAAAAGTATCTAAAGTGTGTAAACAGAGCTGGAACTAAATCCTAGGAAGTTGAATATATATCCTAATACAGTGGTACCTCTGGTTACGTACTTAATTTGTTCCGGAGGTCCGTTCTTAACCTGAAACTGTTCTTAACCTGAAGCACCACTTTAGCTAATGGGGCCTCCTGCTGCAGCCGCGCTGCCGGAGCCCGATTTCTGTTCTCATCCTGAAGCAAAGTACTTAAGCTGAGGTAATATTTCTGGATTAGCAGAGTCTGTAACCTGAAGCGTATGTAACCTGAAGCGTATGTAACCAGAGGTACCACTGTACTCAATTGCATTTTCCTCTCAGGATCAAATCAGTTATTGTTTTGATGCGTTTGATCGCAGGGCCTATTTGGTAATCTGGCACTGGATGTAAAGTAAAATTAGAAGAGCTTTAAGAAAATCGCAGAACACCAAACCATTAAAACTTCTTAGGCGGCAAATGAGAAAGATTAAACTAGCCTCCTCACTAAAGGAAAACAAGCATGCGGCCTCCCCACAGAAAGTATAGTATACAGCCCTGAGAAGGCCTCTCGCATGTCTCCACCAAAAACACTTCAGATTTGGGTGGGACTCCAGCTCCGGCCCAGTCATGTCCCCTTCTTGTGAAGGGGAGGAGTGGTTCCTTCACTTTGTCCTCTCCACTGCACTCCCAGAGGACTGGCCCTGCTGCCCTCCATTCATTGGGGCCGAGCTTTTGCAGTGGGGAGTCTGCTCTGCCAGCATAGGCATAAAAACAAGCAAACTCAGGCCTAGTGCATGGAAGGGGTTGGGCGGGTCTGTTAAGAAATCGACAAAAAGGGTTCTCCTCACGAGGGTAGCACTGCTTCCCTTCCCGCATTTGGCCTTATTCCGCCCAGTCCTTTCTTAGGCCATAAGCTTCCTTTGTCCTCTGCTACAAACTTAATTATAAAGTTTCACTGAGAGGCGCTGTGTGTGTGTGTGTGTGTGTGTGTGTGTGTGTGTGTGTGGAGAAATTTCCTTTTTTTCAGTCATACTGAAACTGTTGGGATGATTCTGCCACCCGTCCCTCCCCCAGGAATATTTGGAGAATCTTCACCGCCTCCCTCATTTTGCCACTCATAAATAGGATGGTGAATTTTGGGGAGCCCATTTTCAACAGGGTCTGACACTGACCTTGGTGAACGCTGTCACCTTAATCTAGGAGGAAATGAGGGGCTGCCAATAATAAAAACAATCCCAATTTGTACTTGCTTTTCTGTATCACCATTATAACTAACTGGGTCATCGACGTGCCGTTCTTGGTGGTCAGATGTGGGGGACCTACCTGGACAGTATTTTTGAACCTTGCAATTTTGTGATGATGAGATATGCTCCAACATTTCTCTGATGGAAATAGGAATGTCCTATTCAATAATATAAATAATAATAATAATACCCCACAAATCTGATTGGGTTTCCCCAGTCACTTGGGGCGGTTTCCAACATATATAAAAACACAAAAGAACATTAAACATTAAAAAAAACCTTCCCTATGCAGGGCTGTTATGTCGGGGGTGTGTGTGTCACATAACTCCATACCCTCCAACATTTCTCTGATGAATATAGGGACATCCTAAGGAAAAGCAGGACATTATGGGATCAAATCAGAAACAGAGACCGCTTCTGTAAATCTGGCACTGTCCCTGTAAAACATAGACGCTTGGGGTTTTTTGGTATTCATTGCAGATCCTCTAACACAAACTCCGTAATACCTATGCACTTTGATTTTATCAAATGATTGACTAATCCTTAGACTTGTTCTACAGCTCTAATGAAGCATAAATCAAAGAATGTTTCCATTCTATTACTGGAATTTTCTAGGTGGACAGTATGAACTGGCCTTTCCTTATCTCAGATTCCTATTCCTGGTACAAAATACATTCCTTGCACCAGGCAATGTTAAGTACAGACTATGCTTTGGTTGTCTGGTACCAGGAGTATCCCCCCCCCCCCATGAAGTTAACGTTAGTCCACAAAAGGTTATGCAATCTTTCATCTGCTTGTCTTTAAGATGCTTTGGTACCTTGCTGATTTTGCTGCTAAACAGATTAACATGGCTACGCTTCCGAAAGTTGGGACAAGGAGCATATTTGTAATGTGCAGGAGATAGCTACAGAAGTGCAAGGTTATGTTGACAACAGTGGCTTAAAATGCAGTGAGGTTATTCTTCTCCACTGTGTTTCCAGACAGATTAGCACTGAATTGTTCACATCAAGAGGTGGAGGGGGCGATTTCTTCACCACACACACATTTTTTGGGGGGGGGGTTTCTGCACCCTGCAACCCCCCTGCCAACTCTTATCCATGATGCTGTGATCTGCACATGCTGTGATGGCTGCCTCAAATGTCCACATTACCACTTACTTCACATCCAGTTTTCTAGTCAGACTGAAGTTGGTGTAAGAGAAAAATCCACCAAACAGCAGTATTTGTCAAGAAACGATAGGATCGATATGAATTGTGACTAATGATATGTGAATGCGGTTTCAAAAAACTAGTAGTGAGAGCGCATTGGATGTGGAGCAAGTGGTAATAGGCCTCAACATGGGAGTTCTATAATGTACTGCAATAACTTGGGATAGAAGCAGAATACTGTGGGTTTAGTCTGTGATATTGGTGGTTAAAAATACAATGCACAAAGGAAGTGGGAGGGAGGGAATTTCTCCAAGAGAGGAGGCGAGAGGAAGTTTCGGAGACCGTAGGGTTAAGAGAATTGAGAAATGTTATAGTGGCAGTGGTCATTGTTTTTTCTTCATCTGAGATGATATTATAGAGATGATGGCAGAAGTCTATGCAGGTTGCAAACCACTTCTTCAAGGACCAAATTAGATTCCATGCGAACAATATACAATTAGGGTCTCCCGATAGCAGCTATCTGGCAGAACATGAACTGGATTGGGATAACAATATGCTGACAGTTTTTATTTATTAAAAGTAGTAATAATAATCAGATCATGTTATTTCCCCTATTAAAACAGATACAGATGTGTAGCCTATCAGGAAAAACCACTGCTGGTTTGACAGAACAGCAGCAGAGAGGGGCATTTAAATCTGGAAAACAGCATACAGTGGTGCCTCGCAAGACGAAAAGAATCCGTTCCGCGAGTCTCTTCGTCTTGCGGGTTTTTTCGTCTTGCGAAGCAAGCCCATTAGCGGTTTAGCGGCTTAGCGCTACAGTATTAGCGGCTTAGCGGGCTTAGCGGATCAGCTGATAAGCGGCTTAGCAATCAGCTGTTAAGCGGCTTAAAGATCAGCTGATAAGCGGCTTAACGATCAGCTGATAAGCGGCTTAGCGATCAGCTGTTAAGCGGCTTAGCCATCAGCTGATAAGCGGTTTAGCGGCTTGGGAAAAAGGGGGGGAAAAGGGAAAAAACCCCGCAGGAACTCGCAAGACATTTTCGTCTTGTGAAGCAAGCACATAGGAAATTCGTTTTGCGAAGCACCTCCAAAACGGAAAACCCTTTCATCTAGCGGGTTTTCCGTCTTGCGAGGCATTCGTCTTGCGGGGCACCACTGTACTATACCTTCTCCCTGCCGACTGCCATAACAACAACAACAATTTCATTTTATATATGCTGCCCATCTGACTGGGTTGCCCCAGCCACTCTGGCCTGCTTCCAGCAAATCAAAACATCAAACACAGTAAAACATCAAACATAAAAAACTTCCCTATACAGGGCTGCCTTCAGAGCACAGGTATCCTAAGCCAGTCTCTCCCCCCACCCCACCCCACCCCATGGCTGCCAATGAAAATGGTTCAGTAAAGATGCCTTCCTGTATGTTCCAGCAACGCAGATTGCTGAAAGTAGGGTGGCCACAAATTAGAAGCATTTCCTCTTAAACATCCAGCACTAGCCGCGACTTGGCCTAAGATTACCAGGCAGACAGAAAACCAAACTGATCCACTAGCTAAATGTTTGCATCCTTTCCATGTTTAATGTGCAAAAGCCATTTAAAAGCTGTAATAGAGAGCTTATTGGCTGCCCTTAAAGAGGCAGTTTGGAATGAAGAGAGCCATCTGAGTGAGGCTAACCTCAGGCCCTTTGCAAGAGACATTATTTGCGCTCTGTTTGCGCTCATCGCTGGGTCTGCAAGAATGCCATTTGAATAGTATTGAATCGTCAACCCAAGCTGAGGTAGAGGATGTGCATGAAAGGGAACCCCCCCTTTATTATTTAGAACCCTTTTCTGCCCGAATTTGTTAAAACACATTGATATTGGCTAGAAGTTAAGGCTTGAAATAATTTCGCCTGATGCCTGCAACCAGTGTTTTTCCTTTAAAAAAAAATGTTTAGGGGTACTCTCACTTTCCTACTCATATTGAAATACTGCCCCTCAATGAGGCCAAACTTAGATCCACAAAATGTTTAGGGGTATGCGTACCCTCAGGCAGCAGCACTGCCTTCAATAGTCTCCCCACTGCTATCCATCAAGTCCCTTTCCATCTGCAATGTACACTTTAGCAAATTCAATCCTGACTTGTCATGGATTCAATGACTTGGTATCTTTCACAACAAAAAGCAAACCCAAAGTTTTTCTGGGATAGGGATATTACTGCTAGTGTTTAGAATGCCCAGTGCACACAAATATATATATATTTTTAAACAGAGGACAGGCACACTTTAAGGGGCACTCCCATGGCAAGATATGCTAGATTGAGAAGCTGAGGATCTCTAGCTCAGCCAGAGATATGCTGGTGCTGAGCAAAGAATCTGGGGTTTGGAGTTGGGACCAGAAAGGGAGGATTTAGGTTGGATCCTGTACCAGTTCGGCTCAGTCACATGATCTGGCAACCCAACACAGAATATTATTTGAAAATATTGTTTCCCCTTTAAAGGCAAAAGCCTAAGCTGAGTGGGGTTTGGATCTGGTGTAGCTTTCTGCTGGCTTTATTTACAAATGCTTTGCTTTACGCCAGCTTCTTTTACATAGGATTCCTCCCTTAAGATTTGGTGCATCAACTTCCGACACACTGTGGTACCATGTTAACACACCCATACAAAATAGACATCGCCATCATGTTGAGGAGACCCAGCAAGAAATGCTGAATTTTATTCAAAGTTTCATACATATACAATAAAGACATCGGATCCTGTAATTGTAATTTACAACAGCGGTAGAAAATTGAAACGTGGGTCATATTAAAGTGCAATGGTATATGTACAACCACATGAACAAGGAAAAGGCATTGTCAGGGACAATGTAAAAAGAGACAGCCTCTAATATAAGGGCTTTCTCTGTGGTTTTCGTTCCCCGTAATAACTCCTCTCACTTGAGCCAGAGAAGCAATAAACCAATTTATTAATTCTATGCAAGAAAAGTCATTTATTTTTTGGCAGTATCCCAAGCTAGGGCCACTGACAGAGGAAGGGGTGTGTGTGTGTGTGTTTGTTTGTTTGTGTTAATGATGATGAGGGCCTGTGGATGCATCATAATTGTATCCTTCCTTCTAGGACGATTTTGCAATAGAGGGGTCCCCACTCCCAAACTCCTATTTACAAAATAAATTACAAAAGACTATTGCTATTTTATGACCACAACAGGACAGACAGTGCCTTGGCTGGCACAATCTCGTTTGTTTAAGATGCTTTCAAGAGATGTACTTTCCTGTGCTGGAAAATATATAAAGTAAAGCCTTGTACAACCTTTACATTGCTGCCGTATTAAGAAATTTAGAGGCCATCTTTAGCAGCCGGAAGTGTATAAATACATATTTTACATTAATACACATACACACACATATATAAATATGAACATATACAAACAGATATAAAATTCTGCACTGACCAGAGCCAGTCACAGTTTGATTGTTAACTATAAGCCAGAACTTGTTCCTGACGTTTGAAACAACAATCTGAGATGCTATTTATACTTCAGAAAAAAAGCAAAATCCAAATTAGTTTTATCTTTCCAGATTCTAATTGCCTAGTATTCATTAAGTGCTGACCACCAGACATTCACTTCTTCAATAATATACGAATGAGGTACATATGCTATGAGCTGTAAATTAATTCAGATGTATGGATGAATCCAATGTGGTTTATACATCAGTTTACATACTACTAGCCTTTGGTAAGGCAGATTTACAAATCGTATCTTGAGGGGGGAATAGCAGTTTACACAGCATTGCTCTATTTCACATGTGTTAAATGAAATGCGTATGGTTTTCATCTTCGTTTATTTTAAAACCATGTCCACAATGATTTTTCCCTGCTCAAATGACATACTCATGCATTTCATAGAAAATTAAGCACCAGGAAGGATTTAGAAAGGTTTCA